ACTTGTTAAGTAACAATGGTGATGAGGACAGTGAAGGAAACAAAGGTCGCAGGGATGACTCCTCTTCAGGATAACCTGACCTCATTTTTTGTCTGGAGTGAGGTTGGGGAGGCCAAGGATGGTGTTCCTAAAGACATGGCCTAAAGCTCTGGGATGAACACATGAAAAATAAGGTAAAAGGGGAAAATTTAAAAGAAGGGATGAGAACTCTGTAGAAGAGGGGAGAAAGTATTATTATCAGTGACAATACCAAAACCGTTCTAGTTTTTACACTACTGTACTTTGCTTGACTTGTTCTCTCTACTCTGTGCCAGCTTTGGAAGCACTGAAGATCTTTTATTTCCAGAATAATTGAGCTGTCAATCTTGAAATAAATACTGGCTTTCTTTTAGATTCCTAAGGTTTTGTGTATGAGAAATTACTGGGCTCTCAAAGCTCTAAAAGCAGAGTAGTCAATGCACACAGCACCTACAACCCCAAGGCCCGCTTGCACTGTGAGATGCTCTGATGGCCACAAGCAGCTACCGTGTGCCAGCAGGCCAAGTGCCTGAAGGGCATTTTTATCTCATTTACTCTTGACAGGTACCACCGCGATGGCCTCTACTTTACAGATGGGGAAACTGAGACACAGAAAGGTCAACTTGTCCAAGGTACCTGACTGCTAAGTGGTGGAGTCAGGGTTGGCACCACTGCATTCAGAGACTTAAAAGTCACTCTTAGCTGGGTGTGGTGATGCACATCTGTAATTCCAACTTTCTGGAAGGCTGAGGCAGGAGGATCACAAGTTGAGCCTAGCCTGGGCAACTTAATGAGACCCTGTTTCAAAATTTAAAATGGGCTAGAAATATAGTTCAACCTCCAGTACGAGGAAAAAAAGTCATCCTTAATCAGGGCCTCATCCCAATATGCTGCTCTTGGCCAAACACACCAGGTAATTCCACTCTTCTCTTTCAGACCATTCACTCTACCTGGACTGCTGATCGTTCCTTCCTCCTCCTCTTCCCACGTCCTCCCCATAAACATTACTTCTCCTGTAAAATATAGTCCTCCTTCAGGATTTGCAGGAGATAGGTTCCAGGACCCCCGTGGATACCGAAATCTATGTCCTCCATCCCTCAGATAAAATGGTGTAGCATTTGCATATAACCTAGGCAAGCCTCCCATGTGCTTTAAATCATCTCTAGATTACTTATCATGCCTAAAATAGTTGTTATATTGTTTAGGGAATGATGAGGGAAAAGGTCTATACATGTTCCCTATAGAAGCAATTGTCCTCTCTTCCATCCTCAAATATTTTCCATCTGTGGTTGGTTGAACCCTCAAATGCAAAACCTGAGGATCCAATGGGCTGACTGCACTCTCACTTTTGAGATTAGAAACTGTAATTAGCCTTTTTTGGGGGGGATCGGGGATCGAACTTGGGACCTTGCAGAGATTAGAAACTGTAAAGATAAAGGAACAAAAGTAAAAATAAAGAGCAAGAGACTCTGCTCTTGCTGGGGCATGTTAATAATCATTCAGAAAGCACCACTGACAAAGAAGGGGCAAGAATTTACATGTGGTGTAAGGGCTGAAAGAAAAGACAAACACATTTCTGGGTTTCTCTAGGTGGGAAGCATATGACCAAACAAATGGTATGCAAGTCTTTTGCTTCTCCTAAGTACACCAGGGGTGACAGGCAAGAGAACCTGCACCAAATCCCAGCATGCCCCAGTCTGCATGCAACACGGCTGTGTGCAAAGGGACAGAACCAGCCTTCCCTGTGCTGAGCTTCCCTGGGCATTGGCACTGGCCTGCCTGAGGGTTCAAGAGGAGTTGATTTGCTAGACTGGACCCAGTCCTAGCAAAGCCACGGGCTGATAAAGAAGATGCAATCAAAGCTGGATTAAGGAAGGCAAGAAAATGAATTGGGGGGAGGGCACTGTTTTATAACCAGCTGAAGAGGGAGGGTGTTTAGGGACACCAACAAAAGCGGCCCATTTCTATGAGCTTCATTTAATTTATATTTAGCCTTCCCCTTCTCAGTAATTGAATGCATTATTTATTTTGGCCAGCAACTGCTGCGTGTGGCTTTTAGAACAACAATAATAAGCTTTTAAGGTTTAGTGCCACAGCATTTAGAGACTCGGGTAAAGTCATCAGATAAATTTTTAAACACGGAGTAGAATCCGCATTCCCGCTCTCCAGCACTAGCTTAAAGTGAGGGGTCAGGTGGGTGAGGAGCCCAGTTCTAACACCGTGCAGATGAACACAGGTCCCTTGCTGTGGAGCACCGGCATCACAGGGAGGAAATCCTTCACACTTCTCGGAACAGCAAATCTTTGATGAAGATTTATTTAGCTTGAGAAATTTTGTTTTTTCTTTCTTTGATAACATGAAGCCCAATAGGGACTTTAGTCATAAATTTGTTGGAGATCTACGATATTCAAAGTCCTGTCCTGGTTTTATAAAGTTGGAAGAGGAAACTTTCAGACCACAGTTCTGGTCTCTGCAGCTCATGATCTGTGACTCATGCGGCAGGTGAAACAAAACTCTGTAGTCTTTCTTGTGTGTAGTGTTCTTGAACTTCCTATGAAGGAACCAATTAGTAAGAAGATTTAAACTTTCTAACATCCAAGGAAGTATCTTCTAATTTTCATTTTGCACATCATCAGGTTTTTGGTGGCGGCTCCTAGTTTTTGTCTTATTTTGTTCCTTGCTAACCAATCCTCAGCAAAGCAAGGAGAAAGCTCCACACTTATCAACATACAATGAGCACAGGTGCTTGTCCTAGACAAGAAGCAAACAAACTGACAGTAAGAAAATGTCAACTTGGGGCACATGTAGTAATGACAATGAGGATGACAATACAGCATGACAGAGTGGCTACTTCAGCCAGAGTGGTCTCCAAAGAGATGTGGCTTGGGCTGGGGATGCAGCTCAGTGGTAGAGTGCTTGCCTAGCATGTTCAAGGCCCCGAGTTCCATCCCTGGTATCACAAACAAAAACAACAAATGAGCACACATGCAAAATCCAAGAGCTGTGGCTTGATTCTCACCACTTGCCTTGTAAAAATATTAATAATTAAACAGCAAATATCCAAAGGAAAGAACATTCTAGAGAGAGCAAGTACAAACGCTCTGACTTGGGAAGCAGCTTTGTTCAAACAACAGAAAAAGGGCCAGGGATTTAGCTCAGTGGTTTTGCCACCTGCTGCGAAAGCACAAGGACCCGAGTTCAATCCTTGGTACCAACAACAACAACAACAACAACAACAGAAAAAGTGCTTCCTGGCTAAATCTTGTTTTGTGATGAAGACAGAAGGCAGCCACTGGATCACGTGGGACTCAGGGCCAAGATGACTAATTCCCAAAGCTTTCGGAAACTCCTAAAGATGCCCAGGGGTTAAGAGTAAAACCAAATAGTGTGAAAGATTCCTACAGGGCAACCAAGTTTGAAGACTCCTACAAGCAAAGGCTGGGTCCTTGATCCACGTACAGACAGCCACCAGGCCCACCATGTCCTGGCTGGGTGAAAAGAACAGCAGAGAGTGACTTCTCTCCAACAGGCCCAGAAGACCCACGTAAGGCAACGTCAGCAAATGGTAAAGCACCAGGCACAGCCTAATCCATGAGGCTGGGTTGGGGACCACCACTGAGGACACCCATCCTCCTCGCCTGGAGCTACAGAAATCTCTCGCTTGGCACTTACACTTCCAGCTGTTTGCACAGCTGCTACCTAAGGTTTCCTGTGGTGCAAGGCCACTCAGCCACTCACCAGCAGAGGTCCAGGCCAGCTTCCTGCCTACTCCCTGCCTCAGTTTCCTCACCTGGGCAAAGGGCACCAACCTCAGGACCAGCCTCAAGTGTTTATTGGGAGGACGAGCCAAGATAATGTGTGTGGAAGGCTTGCCACACAACCACTGCTCCCTAAATGTTGCGCCAGGATCTCCATTACCCTCTGTGGTGTGCCCTGCTGGACAGACACCTCAATACCATCCTGCAGGGCTGTCCCAAAGCCCTGGACACACCATAGAAGCAGGTAACCAAGGTGCCCTGCAGCTAACATCTGGGACTCTTACCTGAGGGTGTTCCCCAGGCTCAGGGGAGGGGCAGGGCAAAGTACCAGGAGGTTCATGTCTCACAAGCATTACCCAGCGATGACAGATGGGAGAAAGAGATAAAGAACTGTCTTCCTCTCCCCTTAGGTGAGGTCACACTGAGGTGGGTTCGCTATCACCTCTCAGGTGCCCACAGCGGACACCAGGTGGCTTCCTTACCTTCTCCCTCACACCTTCCCAGCTCCCTTCTGATTCTCGCTGAGGTTGCTTCTCAGCTGAGCCAATCCCCATTCCCACCCAGGGGTGGCTCCTGTGCCTATGACAGGGCTCCTTCCACACAGCCAGATTCCACTGGTGTGTCTCCGAGGTTTCATGCACACAAATGCCACCAACAAAAACCAAACAGGACCCTCTGTGGCTGAGCAGCCCTAATTCCCCTTAGATTTAGCTGTCCGAAGCCCAGCACCTCCAGGCTGCCTGACCCAACCTAAGATGGACTCAAGCAGGGCTTACAGGAAGCTCTCTATGCTCTGTAATCCATCGTACCTGCCTCTGTATACATGAGTCACTGGTGCGCTTCCAAGAGAGAAACAGATTCAAGTTGGCCATGGTGGCACGTGCCTACAATCTCAGGACTCTGGGAGGCTGAGTTGGGGACTGAGTTTCAGACCAGCCTGGGCAACTTAATGACTTTATAAGAACCTGCCTCAAAACTTACAAAACAATTTTTTAAAAAGGCTGAGTCTGTAACTCAATGTAAAGGCTCTGGATTCAAAACCAAGTACCCCCCCCCACACACACACACCCCAACACACAACCAAAACAAACAAACATGTACTTACCATTTCTCCTTAAGGGAATTGCTACACACACACACACACACACAGCCTGGCCCAGCTTAGCCAAGTCCACTTTTCTTGGCAGCAGAGGATGTGCTCAGGCCAGGACCCTGCTGGCTCACCTTGGGAGAGGCACTGGTTGGCCAAGGCAACCTGACCAGAATGCAGGTAGAGGTTGAGGCGTGTGAAGATTCCCACCAGGGAGGGGATGGTGATGAAGCAGTAGGCAACACAGGCCTAGAGAGAAGCGGAGAGACCCAAGCGTTAGGCGGGCAGCGCTGGGCTGGTATAGTCATACTCCCGTTTTGCCCATCCTGTATTTTTAGCAAAAAGACAACAATTCATCCTTCCATTTTCTCCCTCAATAATCCTCCCCTCATTTTTCTCTCTTGCCTTTCCTATATAGCTGATGACCTTTGGAGGGGTAGGGATGAGGACAGTATGTTGTATGAAAAGTAATTCTTAATCCATCACTGCAGAAACTGCACAGGTACCACCTACTGCTGGTAAATTAAGAAGCAACTATTCAGAATGACTACTTGGGACCATGGAATGACCAGAGGGGCTGCTGCAAAGGGCCCGAGGGGGGCTGACTCTGAGGACACAGGCACATGGTATCAAGAGGCAGGGCTGCAATGCGTATATGATGCTTAGGTCCCACTGTCATCACTTCAGCATGATTTCAGTTCAAAGACACAGACACATATTGCTGTGATACAATTCTTGAATAGCATGCTCAAAAACCTGAAATTTCTTTTCAAACTTGTGAGCATAATGTTACTAAGGAAATAAAGGACTAAGCCTTCCAGTTACAAGCATGGCATATTACACAGACAATTATATTATCAGAGAAATATTTTGTAATATTATAATCATGTATTAGAGAAAGTTAGAGGTGATTCAGCTGGCGCACAAAAATGCAAATCCATCTCTTGACCACCTTCTTAAAACACATACAGATGGAAAGGATATCTCTTATCTGAAATGTTTGGGGCCAGAAGCATTTCAGAAAGATTTTTTGGAGACTGGAATATTTGCACACACATAATAAGATATCTTGAGGATGGGACCCAAATCTAAACACAAAACACATTTGTGTTTCATATCCACTTTATACATGTAGCCTAAAGGTAATCTTATGAATGAAGCAAAGTTTCATAGTATGGAATTTTCCATTTGTGGCACCATGTTGGTGGTACTCAAAAGGTTTTAGATGTTGGAGTATTTGGATTTTTCCATTAGAGATACTCAACTTGTACTAAAATTCAGATTCTTCTGATCATTTCTTTTGGAAACAAGAAAACTGACCATAGATACCAGGGAAAATTCATCTGAAAAATCAATCAACCCTTATCACAACACACTTGTCCTTCTCTGTGAACAGCAATTTAGTAACTCGGAAACTTAATAGCCCATGGGAGTTCACAGTCTGAGAGTCCTTATCCCTAGAACATACCCGGACAAATGCAGCCGTCTTTCTGGAATGATTTCCTTTCATTACTTTCCTTGTTTCCATTGCCAGTCGGTTCACACTCTGGATTTGTTATAAAATAAAACAGAAATGGTAATGAACGATGGTCAATCCATATTAACATCTTCCTTAGAGATTAGGACCCTAAACACACACACGCACGCATGTACATGCACACACACAAAATCAAAGCACAGTGGGACCACCACTGGTCAGCCTGAACTCCAAAATACCAAAGGGGTCCACAAGGGAAGGACAAGAGGTGCTCCCTAAACTAGTCACCACTACCAGTCGGCACTGCAGATGACCATTTTCTGGTTTAAGCAACTCTCAGGGTTCACTTCTCTACTTCCAGATATCCCTTGTTCTAAGCTTAAAATCTCAAAGATCTCAAAACAAAGCTCCTGATCTAGGAGCACAGCACACAATTTAGCTATGCAATACTAAAGAGAACAGTAATAACTGGGGCCACATCATTCAGCTGGGACGCTCATCAGCTCATGTGACCCATATCCATACAGGCTGGGTACAGTTACTTATCCCTGTTTTGTAGATAAAGTCTCTACTTCTAGGTCTTAAGTTTGCTGAGCAACCTGCTGGAAGTAAAAAAAGAAAAAAAAAAGTAAAAAGATTGTTCTCCTTGAATAGACATGAGCAATTAAAGAGACTGAGGGAAGCTTTCCACAGAAATGGGAAGTTGGGACCTATGGTCCCCACACTTGTGGCAAACTCACTGGGGCGCCACATTTTACACGGAAACAGACTGTAGAGGGCTGCGGCGAGGCATCTCATGACTCAGCACCGGACTGCATTCCATCCCTTGCAGCCACGTCATATATTTGAAAAACTTTTTGACAGCTAGTACCAGGCAAAAGTGAATGTGGAAAAAAAAAGAGCAACGAGGTACAGAAAAATAAGAGTAACAGTGTCTAATCCAATTCCAAGGTTGGAGAATTGTGCACTGCCCCATAAGTACTTAATTAGGATTACTTCATTAATACATAATTCTGGTTAAGAATAAAATTAAAATATTATTTTTCTTTCAATTTATGTAATTACTTTTTCCAAATGGCTTCCAGGTTGTTAGGCCATAAATACTAAAATTGCCTGAACTTAACTTCATAACAAACAGAATTGCTACTATTTCTTTTGACCTAGAGGCCACCGAATTACTGAGAGATGTCATAATCCAAGCAAACTGGGAACCTCTGGAGAGGCAACAAGGAATGCCAGGCTACTACTTCTGTAACTAATCAGTGTAAATCACTTAACTCTTCACTGTTGACATGCAGAAATAAGAATATTCAAATTTTGGAGAAGAGGCCAATAAAACCATCCAAAGATAGCAAAGTTGTAGATTTTTATTCACTTTGGAGACACTGCATTTCAGTCCCAGAAGACCAGGGGCAGCACGGACCCAGCGAATCCCTGATAAAAATGGATGTATGGTGTCCAGATAGCCAATAAACATTTACTATTACTTTACTATTATGAACAAATGAATGAAAATCCTTACATGAATCAACTGTACAAGAACAGGCTCCAGATTGCAAAACATCGACCTGGACTCGACATAAAAACTGAGCTGTTGTTCAAAATCACGGCCAAAGGAAACCTAGGATCAAAGAAAAAGAATGCTATAAGGGACAATTCTGTCTTTAGATGGAACACCTGCAAAACACACTTAACATATTCTAACTAGAAAGACTTTATGTCAGCTGGATGTGCTGGTACATGCCTGTAATTCCACCACTCAGGAGGCTGAGGCAGGAGGATTGCCACCGAGTTCGAGGCCAGCCCGGGCTACATAGTGAGCTCAAGGGCAGCCTGGACTAATAATAGCAAGACCCTGTCTCAACTGTTGCCCAAACCCCAAAAGGCTTTGTGCTACTTCACCTGGTGTATAGCTGAAGATTGTAACTGCCATCTCAGCGCGATGACATGGGCCTTGAATGGGAACACAAAATGCCAAAGGGTATGAAATAGAAGCTCAAAACATGAATAGGATTTTCCAGACTCAGAGGAAAACCATGGAAAAGCAAATCATGGAATTTTTTTTTTTTTTTGGTCAGCAGCAGCTTTGTCACAGAACATAAATTTGGTTACTGGGAACTATCTGTCAGAGGAGTTTCCCTAACAAGGGCCACAACTTTCTGCTTCCTGATGGAGATCAGACCTTGGCAGCTCACGAGTGGCTGCCGGAGCCACAGAAGGAAGTTTCACCATAAGAACTCTCCCCTCTCCTATTTCTGTAAGTTTATGAACAGCTGGTTAGCAGGAAAAACTTAACTGCTACATCAATCATTTTTTGCCCAGAGGCTTACCCTTGCTATTTCCATTACAGCTACCAGTTTCCACATCTTATTTCCTCATATTCTTTTCCTTTATAACTCAGTGACTTTCAGACAAAGCCATAAATGGATAAACACCACCTACTCCGTACACTGTTTAAACTATGGACAAAAGAGCATCACTTGGTAAAAATCCATTGGTAATTTCCCATGTGGGAATTAAAAGGCTAATCCCGAATTTTATCCAAATTGGTATTTGACCCACAGAATCAGGTGCACAGTTTAATCAGTGTTTGTTGCTGAACAAGCCACGCTTTCAGGTTTTTGTTTTATTTTGTTGTTTGAGTTACCAGGAATTGAAGCTAGTGCCTTGTGCATGTTAGGCAAGCACTCTGTCAATGAACTGCATCCCCAGCCCTCCAACATTATTTTCAAAATGATCTCATCATTTTTATCTCAGTCTGGTTGGTTCTGATATTTCTATTAAAATAGAAGATGCCAAGCTACATGTGGTGGCAAGAACCTGTAGTCCTCGTTGTTTGGAAGGCAGAAGGCTGAAGCAGAAGATTGCTTTAACCCGGGAGTTTGAGGCCAGCCTGGTCAATGTAGTTGAGACTCTGTCTCAAACAAAACACAACATACAAAAAAACAAAAACTGGCAGCAATGGATGCTTTAGCTTTGAGCACTAAGAATTAAGGCAAAGATTGTTCAGGCTGGGATGGTATACTGGTGGAAAGTTTCCAAAGAAGGTTGCAATAATCCATTCCACTCTGCTTTTCCATTTTTTGTTTTGAAAGAGGGTCAGGTTGTCACTGAATTGCCCAGGATGTGCCCGAACTTTTGATCCTCCCGTCTCAGGCTCCCAGAGTGCTGGGATTACAGGCATGCACCACTATGTCCGGCTATACTTATCCCTCTGCAAAGTGCCTTTGCATTCTTTCTAATAAGAGGTAGAGTCTCTGTCCTCCTCCCCTTCAGCACTGGCCCTGTGATTTGCTTTGACTAACAGACTGCAGCAGCACACAGCTGAGGCTCACTGTGTGATTTCTAGCTTTGGCTTTTCGAGGCCTTGCAGCTTCCCATGAAACCAACATCATGTGGGACAGCTTGGCTAAGACTCCCAAGTGATGAGAGTGGTGGAGAGGAAGGGGCTTCATGGAGGAAACCTGAGCCACTTGTGGCCAACACTGCGTCCAGGAATTGGAGCAAGGCTGTCCTGGATCCTCTGGCCTGATCTTACCACAGGAGTCCACACCTCCCTGAGCAGCCTGATTATTGCCCAGCCAACCCACAGAACTAATAAAACAGTCATTTAAAGCTCCTGCACCTAGGGTTGAGCTGTTCTATAGCAGGGAGTAACATGGATGGAGTTAGACTTACATGTCTGGTATTTTTCATGCCCAGTATTTTAAAAAAAAATTTTAAGATAGGACCTCAATGAGTTACCCAGGTTGAATTCAAACTTCTAGTCCTTCTCCCTCTGCCTCCCAGAGGGCAGGGATTATCGGCACACACCACCGCACCCAGCTGCCAGCACACTTTTTGCCATCCTCCGACAGCTGCTTCAGGAAGCCACTTCTCTCCACTCTTGGTCCTCGTGATTTGGATCACTCAGGTGTGCAGATAATCTCCAGGCCTGGCCAGCCAGTGTGTCTGGGCCATGGCCCAAGTTAATCCACAGAGATCCCTTACAGGACTTCCACAGGCACCCTGCTGATGGGCTGCAGAGCTCGGGGGACAAAGACCTGGAGCAAATTGGTCCAAGAGGGAAGCCAGCAGAGCACAGCGTGGAGCCAAAGATGGACACGGACATCACTGGGCCCCGGGGTCCAGCTGTTCCTCTGGAGGTTCCATCCACGGACTTCTGTCACATGAGCACATGAACCCCTCTTCCAACTCTTTATTTTTCCCAAAGTCAGTTTGTTTTGGCTCACTTTGTCCCCACAGGAGAACTGGCTAATGTAATACGTTTGCTAACTTCATCTTATCTCAGAAAATGAAGAGCACCAGGGAACATAACGTTAACTGCTTTCTCTAGAATGGGGATAAGCAATTACATCACATTTCCAAGTGCACTGAAATGTCTACCCCCAAACTTACCATTTTAATAAATCCATTAATCAGATGAGCCAGTGTTCTTTTCTCATCGTCGAGAGTGAGTGCACTAAGATCAATAATTGTACATAATTAACATGGAGATAATAAATGAAAGCTTCTGAAGACAAAAACACACAAGAGGGGAGCAATTTAACAAGTAAAAATATTGTTCATTTTTCTAGATCTCAAAAGCTTCCAATCGGCTGTGCATCTTCCCTTGGGTAAAACATAATCTAAATGTACTCCTCCTCTTTCTCAAGGTACATTTATTAACAGGAAAAGAGAAGGCAGTTTTCTCTTCTTTGGAATTTGGGCAGCAAGTTTTAAATTTTGTAATTCAGACAAATTTTAACACTGTATTATAAAAAAATCTTGTCCCTTCATCAAAGAGCCTTTTCCAGAGAACACCCACACCCCTATCATCGAGATCCAACCGCTAGTATCTCACACTCATGTTCTATCACACAACTATCCACTCCCCTCTCCACCCGTCAGTCCATCTCGTTTTTGGCTACATCTTAACAGCTGCTTCTAACAATAGAAAATTTAACACAAATATAAATGAAAATATCAAGTCTTTATAGTTTTAATTATATATATGAAGGCCACTTATAAATAGTTCTCCTATTTTAATTTTTAAGATCTTAAGAGCTCAGGCTGGATGCGTGGTTCAGTGGCAGAGCACTCGCTCAGCATGCGCAAGGTCCGGGGTTCCATTCCCAGCACAGGGGCTGGGGATGTAGCTCAGTGGTGCTGCACCGGCCTGGCAAGCACAAGGTCCTGAATTTGATCTCCGGTACCAGGAAAAAAACCCACAACTATCTCAGCACAGCAAAACAAAAAAAAACAACAACCACAACAAAATTTATGAACCCAGAGAAAACAGGAATGAAAGTTTTTGTTGGTTTTTTAGGAGACAGTAAGTTTTGGCAGAGTGCATGGTTCCCACAGTTCCTTGGGACAACGTCACTCAGCCTACTTCGCAGCCAGATACGACAATGGGATGTAGATGCAAGTGATACATGAGCCTTCCAAGCACTGCCCCTTTAAGAAAGCTGCTGTCCTCCAATGAAGCATGGACTTGGTCAAGGGAGGCCAGCTACCATCAGGAAGGCAAAGATGGCATCGCTTGGGGCACAGAACAGCAAGATGGAGGCCACCTGGTCCCTGGATGATGTGCCAAAGAAAAGCTGCCTCCTCCTCTCATAAGCCAAAAACAGTGTCTTATAAACACAAGTGCCTTTCTGGGTGTGTCTCAGGCCTTTATGTCTATTTTTGTCCAAAAAGTTCTATTGGGTCTATTTATTATTAAATGATATTCTTGTTGTTTTGATTTTTATAACTACTCATTAATTTGAAAGCAGAATTATGAAAGATTCTAAAATTAAGAAAATAAGAATATAATGCATCTTGATGGTGAAGTTCCAGAACAGTTTTCTCAATTCTTGTAACATTTTTCATTAAATCAAGCTGCTGTGCTTACAAATTCTTTGGTGACTAAAGTTTTAGCCACAAATATGCACAGACTGTCACAAGCACAGTCAAATGGAAACATTTTTTAAAAAACTGAAAAAGGGTGGTGGGAGGGGGAGGGGAAGGGGAAAGGGAAGAAGGGAAAGGAAAAATTATGAGAAAAGAAAAATAATGAAAACGAAATCTATGTAAATAGGGAAGGGTGGAGGGGGTGAAAGGTGCACGGGTAATGGGGAAAAAAATAAGAACTAAGATACATCATGTACAGGTACAAGCACCCAATGATAAATGTAAACGTACTGTATACCTAAAACGGACCAATAAAAGAATTAAAAAAAAAAACTGAAAAGGATAAGAGTAATAATTGAGCCTTTGATTGAAAGTAAGAAATGTAAGCAATTTCATTTGAATTTTAAATAACAGGCTAATATAAAATTAAGAGGCTTTGTTATTGGACAAGTGTGCTTGTTATGCTATTTATTACTCACAGAAATCTCCAGGACACATGGAACTTGAGTTCACTTGGATGAAACTAGCCTTTTCCCCACAAAGAAATCCCTTTGTACAAACATCTGCTACCTCATTTTCTTAAGGTCTCCTCAGCTTGCTCTCCTGGACCAGAATGTCTTTGTTAGCAAGAATCTTAACAGACCCAATAAAGCTACTCCCAGCAGCAATTTATAGTTGTCACTCCCTAATGTGCAATTAGGCAGTACTTAAAACACAAACCACATTGCGTTTCAGCTTTAAGTGTGGCTTACTTCACGGAGTCATGCATGGTCTTGCAAATGTGCAAAAGGGCGTTCAGAATGACAGGGTCCTTGGTGGGCTCTTGTTGATGCCTAGAAGACATGAAAAGGTAAGAGTAAAAGGTCCAGGCACTGACAGGTATGAAAGATGGGATTACCGTCATCTCCTTCATGGATCTGAGAAGCTGCAAATTATCTGGGTGGCCTTTCACATGGCCCAGTTTGCCAGTAAGGGGCAATGTTCTAGTTTTCCTCTTAATTCTTTAAATAACAAGTTTGCTCTTTTATGCATATATTGTAACTTCTCCTAACACCAAAATCATGGAAAAGCTGCTACATTTCCTAAGCCAGGCAAAGGGCAAACATGTCTCATTCTGTTTCTTGCACCTTCTGAAGCTTCCTCCAACTTGCCTATAATGTGTTAAGTGCCACGAGTGCCTGCCCCAGCCTCCCAAGTACTGGGATTACAGGTGTACAGCACTACGCCCAACTCATAATGTTCTACTTTTAAAACTTAGTATCTTGGATTAAGAAAGAATTAAAATGAAATTTTAAAAGAATTAAAATGAAAATGAAAACCTTTCCAGCACACACCACCTTAAAACTATTTCATGTACCACTTCTAGAGGGCAATTGTGGGAAACACAGATTCAATAAAATGAAAGGAACTACAATTGAAAACTGATCACAAATTAGTCGGCTACTAATTTAAATACCAAAGATGAAAACCTTCCTAGTGCTCATGCCTTCATAAGTACGCTTTATTTTTATCCTTAAAGATATTATTCCCCATGCCATTTCTTGTCAGTTTGCCAATTAACCAACTTTTTTTTTGGTACTGGGGATCGAACTTGAGTCCTTGCGCTTGCGCAGCAGGCGGCAAAACCACTGAGCTAAATCCTGGGCCCAATTAACCAACTTTTATCATGACACCTGCCTTTGAAAGTGGTTCTCCTTCCAGGTATGAGGTAGGTACACATCACCAGGCCTCAAACTGTATGACCTAAAATAAGCACATTTCACAAGGGCCCTGGGAATGAAGGCTTCCAGTGACATGGAGTTGCACTCACTTGATAAAGGCTTCCATGATGTATTTGCAAACTTCCACCCGCACACTCTCTTTTTGGAACATATCCAGAAATGGCAGAAATTTTTCCTAAAACATAAAGTAGGAAGAATTAATTTATGGGTCACTTTTTCTTTAGGGGTCAAACAAATGGTAGAGGTGTTCAGAATTTCCCTGAAAGATCACACTGGAGTTTCAAAAAACTACTGCATACTGAGTATCCTTGATTAAAAAATATGAAATCTAAAATGCCCCAAATCCAAAATATTTTGAATGGCCACAAGTCCCCACAAATGGGAAATTTGAAACCATGGAATTTTATTTCATGCACACAATTACTGAAGATATTGTACAAAAGTATCTTTGGGCTATGTGTATATGGTATATATGATACACAAATGAAATTTGTGTTCACATTTGGCGCCCCTCTTTAAAGACTTGGAGTCATTATCTATATATGTAATTATTCCAAAATCTAAAATCAAACACTTCTGGGTCCTAAGCATTTCAGATAAGAAATATTCAATCTGTACTATTAAAACAACTTGTGTGTGCCCCAGATTGGTGTGGGGACCAGTTCACATTTTGGTGAACCATCTGGGCAACTGTTAGATGGCCATAAGCTTTCTCAGGTAGTAACCGGCAAGGGAACTTCAGTCTTTTCTGACTGGATGGACAAGCAGGCCCTGCAATCCCATGAGTACACACAAATGGAACCCAGAAGAAGGAAGCTAAGATAAGGAACAGAGAATGGTTTTTTTTTTTTTTGGTACCGGAAATCGAACTTGGGACCTTGCGCTTGCAAGGCAGGTGCCAGAAACACTGAGCTAAATCCCCGGCCCAGGAACAGAGAATGTTACCAGATAGAAGAGTCACCGAGATTGCCTAAGGCCCTGCAGCAAACTCAAAAGCATGTTGCAGGGGATTTTAAATTTGTTTAAGGGAAATAAATGTAGTAACTCTTAACTCCATCAGACACGAGACAACTACTAGTTCAATGCATTTCATAGTTTTGACAATAAAGTGCACGAAAAAAGCAAGTACACAAGTTAAATATCCCTAATCTGAAAACATGGGGTCTGAAATTTGGACTTTGGACTAGGAATGCTCAAGAGACAGTCCATGCAAGTGTTCCCAAATCTGAAAAACTTGGAAATCTGCAATACTTCTGGCCTCGAGCATTTTGGATAAAGGATGCTCAATCTACATCATGTGAAAATCAATATGGAAGAGGAAATGAGGAGGATGAGGGTGCCCGGCTTAATCACAAGGTTGGAAATGTGTCTTGCCCAGCAGGTGGACACATCTGGTGGCTGAGTAATCAACAAGAAAGAATACTGTATTCTTCATCTAGGGCCATACTCCCCTGAACACGCTTAATCTCATCTGATCTCAGAAGCTAAGTGGGGTTGGGTGAGGGAAGACAATACTTTTCTTCCAGTTTACGTGTGATATTTTTCCAAATGCTGCTTAAGTTGTAGGACATAACTACTCATTAATATGCTTAGACCTAAGGGTTTTATGGAAGCAACTGTCAAGTATTTTTTCTGGCCTGGGATGCATTTAAAACAGGATACAAATTTCCAATAACTAAGAAACGTTACTTACCACTGAGAAAAGAACTGAGAAATCATGGAAGTGGGCAATAACTTTCTTAATTATTGACTGAAGCTGTAAGACAACAACAACAAAAAACACTTAATAAAACTTGGGTATTGTTGTTTTTAGAAAAGGCAGCCCTCTTTCATCATTTACGATTACAGCAGGCTATATCAAACTGTTCAAGCATGAGGAATCAGGGAGTCAGGGTCAGGTCAGGCCTGTCTCAGTCTGAGCTTGCCCTTCTTACTATGTACATCCTACTTTACAGTCTTGGGGGACCAATTTTGTCTCAGCCTCCTCAGCTGTGAAATGGAGCTCAAAGCATGCCTGTGAGGATTCCAAGGGATGTTCATGTGCTCAGAACAGGGCCTGGCCAGGAAGCCTCTCCACTAACCTCAGCTGTTGAATTATTCGAGAGATAGGCAAACATTTTCTGTAAAGGGGCTATGGTCCATTACAACTACTCATTGCTGCTAATGTAGCATGGGAACAGCCATGGCCAACCAATGAACAAATGGGTGTCTGTGTGCCAATAAAACTTTATTCACAAAAGCAGGTGACCATAGGCCATATCTACAGATCCCTATTCCATCCATTATGGCCCTGAGTTTCTTCACTTCTTCAGTGGAAAGGAATTGGATGGAGTTCACCAATGGAGTAAAATGGACACCTGTGGATGGGGACACAGTTGTGAGATTTGCTTCAGAAATGCCCAGGTGCTAATGTCTGCTCCCTCCACCTCATCAGAAGCGTTTGGGCTGTGGGAACCAAGGAGGTGCTGCTTCTAAGGAAAATATAACTCCATGCCACTAGGTGCTAACTAGAAAATTCACTGATAAATATTTTGTTTATACTGAAAAATTGTTGCTTGAATCAAAGGAAATCTCTCACAATTTAAAAGCACAGAATACAAAGATTTATGAGCCTGCATCATAATTAAACAGCTTGCTAGGTTACTCTGGCAAAAGCCTAAAACAGGACTCAAAACTTCCTAACAAATCTGGGTGTGGTTGGCACATGCCCTGCAGTCCCAGCTACTTGGGAGGCTGAGGTGGGGAGAATGCTTGAATCACTTGAGGCCAGGAGTTTGAGACCAGCCTGGGCAACATAGCAAGACTTTGTTTCAGGAAAAAAAAAAAATGAATGAATGAATGAGAAAAAGATCACCCCCCAAAACCCCCCCAAATTTCATGACAAGCAATACTCCACAGGGCAGAGCATTATGATACCAGAATATTGTTGGGTTAAAAATGTCTGAAACATGAAGCAATAAATCCCTTTAGAATAAAATCTTAAAATTTCTAAGTTGAGTTACACATAAACTATGATTTAAAAGGTTTTTTTTCCTTTCACATTTCATTATAAATATGCTCATAGAAAACTAAAGAATTAGACAAAACCCAGTTAGTTACCACTTAGATTCTGCAAAAGCTAACATTTTTCTACCTTTGCTGTATCTCCTCTAATGGAAGAATTTGTAAACACACGGTCCACACACATTTTTTTAACTTTTTATTTTGAAATAACTTGCAAAAATGCTGAAAGAACCATACAAAGAATTCCCATATATTTTTTACTCAAATTCATCAATTTTTAATATTTTTGCCACATACACCCATCATGGTTTAGACATACATCCAGCAAGGCCCATGTGTCATTGGGTTGGACCCATGCAGTGGTGCTATTGAGAAAGGAAGGTGGGGGCAGTGGGGCTTTTTGGTTACTGCAGGTTGTTATGACTTCTGTCTAGATGTAGCCCCAAAGCCTCATGTGGTCACTGGTGGGACTTTTCAGAGATGGCTGGAGCTAGAGTGTGTGATGCTGGGATTAAGTATGTGGTGCTGGGATTGATTCATGGTGCAATGCTAGAATTAAGGGTATCCCACCTGGGTGTGCTACTGCCCTTGAAGCCTGGACAGAATATAAGGGACAGAAAGAGGGCTGCTGCTGTTGCTTGCTGCTTTGCTACTTCGCTGCTTGCTCCTTTCTGCCTGCCATGAACCATTTCTCCTCTGCGAGGCCCCTCTGCCATGTCACCCTGCTTGGAGCCTACCAACTATGAACTGAAACCTCTACAAATTGAGCTACAATAAATTTTTCCTCCTTCAACTTTGGGAGTATCAGGTATTTTGTCTGAGCAATGAGAAAGATAACTAAGACACAGGTGTAGCCACAAAGGAGACTGTGGGATCCTAGTCTCTTTGGGTTTTTTTCTTTTTCTTTTTCTTGTTTTTATCTTCCTGGCTCAGGAAGCAGTTTTACTCTGCCACGTCCTCACACCAAGACGTGCTCCCTTGTCACAGCTCAAAGCAATGCTGCCAAAAGATCGAGCACTGGAATCTCCAAAATAAACCTTTCCTCTTTGTAAGCTGGTTGTCTCAAGCATGTCATTAAAGTGACCCTAAGCTGACTAACAGAGTACCTTGTCATTCTCTCTGTGTGAGACACATTCTTTTCTTCCTCAACCACGTGACAGTAGACTGCATGAATCGTTTCCCTTGTCCCTTAACACTTCATTTCCTAAGTATAATCACACTCTGACATTTCCATCGTGCTGTTATCAAATTCAGGAATGTTAACCCTGATATAATAAAAACACTTCAATCTATCATCCGTGGTTCAATCATGTTAGCTGTCCCAGTAAATCCTTCACAGCATCATTATCCCTCTCTCTCTATAGGATCCAGTTTGAGATCCTGGGTTGCATTTCATTTCCATGTCTCTAGTCAGTGTTAATTTAGATCAGTTCCTTGATTTGTCTTTATCACTGATGGCAAAGATATTTTTGAAGAATTACAGAACACTCCTCAAAGAGGGCATGTCTGATGTTCCCTTATGTTACATTCAGCTTATGCATTCTCACTGAAATTCTATGTAGGCAATGCTAGGTCTTTCTCAGGGTAACACATCTGCAGGACCACAACGGCCATTTGCTTCTCATTGGTGATGTGCATTGTGATTAGCTGGTCAAGGACGACTGCACAGTCACTTTTTTCTTCCTTGTAATGAATAGACCCTCTACTGGAAAACCCGATGAGACATGCAAATATCCTGCTCCCCATCAAACTCTTCCCCCGGCTTCAGCTGGCATCATTGAGTCTAGACTGAAGGTGGATGATTTTCTCCACTGTGATGGCTGCAGATGGTGGTTTTCCAATTCTACCATTTCTTCCACTTTTCTCATTTGGTGCCCCCTGCTCACCTCTCCCCTCATCTATCTTTCTATTCATCCTAAGGATAGACTCCTGGCTTCCTATCTTACTAAGTGGCTTACAATAGCTCATTAGCCCCCTCATTTCTTCTGATGCTCACCCTGGGAGCCTGGGAGATCCCCATTCAGGCTGCTCCTGTGCCTTTCCACAGGTCTCCCTCAGTTTTGGATACTTCCTGATTTTATGACACACATAAAAAATGCTCCAGGCTCATCTTGTTCTCTTTCCTTTTGTTTTAGTAGTGGAGACTGAACCCAGTGCTCCACACTGAGCTACATCCTCAGCCCGTTTTATTGTGTTTAGTTCTGAGACAAGGTCTCACTAAGTCACTAAGTTGCCCAGTCTGGCCTGGAACTCACAATCCTCCTGCCTTACCCTCCAAGAGTGCCAGGGTTACAAGTGTGCACTACCACACCCAGCTCTCCAGGGGCACCTTGTACTTCCTTGTCCCAGATCTAGAGTAAGCCCCAGGTCTGTGTTAAACCAATTCTCCACACATCCCTAAAGTTTAGCTTTTTCTGATGTGGTCCTCCCTTCAACCAAGGGCACACATTACTGAACGGATGGCTGCGCTGCACGTGGGTAGACCTCAGGGCTTTCTTTTTTTTTTTTCTTACTATTTTTAACAATCTATTGTTCTCAAAAGGACATATAAGAACATAAAGTTTATTATAACATATATGAGCCAAAATAGAATTGTGCATACAGATATTCAATGAGTCAGAATGGATTAAAAAATGCCACAGTAATAAAGTGATAATTTACTGGGCCCTGCAAGGATAAACAGGAAGTCCCCACCCAACCATGACGGTTTTATTCTGGGGAAGAGAACAGAGCAATAACTTTCTCTTCTGTCTGTCTTTTCCTTGTTTCTCTCCTCTGTAAGATTTTTAAAGTTCACTCGCTCACTTTACCAGAATAAATGCTCTGTGAATCTTCTCTTTCCAATCTGTAGCATAATTATATGCAGACAGTTATCTGCCAATACACAGTATTTTAACACACTACAACTTTGATTTTCTGACTACATTTGTGATACAGTTCAATAATTTAGCTCATATTCATTTACTGATACAAATGTTCCACACCCAGGGCATCATTTATAAGTTGCTTTTAGATATTAGATATGACAGGATTATAGTAAATAATTCCCTCTCTTTGGGTGGACTGCTTAAAAAACACTATATTATTTGAAGTTTTCAATTAACTGGGTCTCTAGGAGTTAAAGTCTCACTATATTTTCCTGAATAAAAATTCTAGCATGCATCAGTTTTCACGTGAAGTCCTGACGATCCAGGAGGGTCCAACCACCTCCTCTGCTGCTTTTCTCATTCAGTAATGTTGATGTATTACACACCAGGCCCTGAGCATGGCCTTGCACTATTTTCATCACAAAACATAATGCAGCCAGTGGCTGTCCATAGGGTGCAGTGAAGAACCATTTTAATCAGAAAATGGTGAAACATTCTTAAGTTAGAAAAATATAACAACTCTAAAGAGTATGTAACTAATTGCCTTATACTGTACTAAGTATAACTCAAAAATTAATCTCAGGAAACACCAGTAGAACACTGTGCTATTTATTAAACACAAAATAAAACAAAACAACTTCACATCAGGTCAAGAGTTATTTCACAGTAAATAATCCTGAGCTGGATTCTACACTGGAGAGGGAAACCCTGCCATAAAGGATTGAGACAACTGACCAAGAGCTCGGGTGTAGACAGTGGAGTGTTTAGAACCAACAGATCAATGTTCAAATCCCTGAAGTTGGTAAGGGAAGCATGGTTTCGCAGAATATCCTTTAGAAATACTAGTTGAATTCCTTAGATGCAAAGGTATGGCATGATGTACGCAACTTACTCTCATGTGATTTAGGAAAAAAATGTACCTACACAAGTCTTAGTCACTTTTTTGTCACTAAGACACAATACCTGACAGCCACAACGTAAAGGAGAAGAGGTTTATTTTGGCTCACGTTTTCACACAGTTGGCTTGCTCCAAGGCATGGTGGAAGGGTCAGGAACGGGAAAGTTGTTTACCTCAAGAGAGTCAGGAAGCAAAGCGTAAAGGGAGGAGATGAGGAAGGAAAAGAGAAAGGAGACAGACCCTTCCAGGCCACGTCCCCAGTGACCATTCTCTTCTGACCAGGTCCCTCCTCACAGCACATTTAGCTACAGACTCACCAGTGGAGCAAGCCACCAGTACGTATGGTGCCCCATGACACATTGCCTCCCAAAGGGCTACCCACGAGCACATGAGGCTTTGGGGGGAAATCTAGATATAAATCACAGCACACACTTACTGATAATGATAAAACAAATTTGGCAAGATGTTAACAATCATTGCATCTGGATAAAGGATAATGGTTCTCTGAGCTGTTCTTCTAACTTTCCAATAAGATTAAATTTATTTCCAAATAAATATACAAGAGCACATGCAGCTTGTTTGACAACGAAGGTGATGATGCTTGCTGAGCACCTGTCACGTGTCCACCAAGTGTCAGCGTGTCCCATGTCACATCTCACTTGATCCTACATCACAGAGGGCAGAACTCTTACTCTTCCCATCTGACATGTGACAGACTGAAGCACAGCAGGACTGGTAAATAATCAGAGCACGAGACTGGGATATGGCAGAGCGGGATTCAAACACATAATGATCTGACTTTCTCCCTGATCCATGGATGTGAGAAATGCTAATCTATTACCTGAGGGTAGGAATCCTCGAATGCTCGATCTGGAGTCATGTGCTTGATGACATCGCCCAAAACAGTATTCACCTCTCGTTTCTAAGTGGGGAAAATAAATCTGTGTTAGACAATGAACAGAAATCACTATTTTCCCAGGGGAAAGGACTAATGTATTCAAAATATATCACATACATAGTTGAAAATATTCTGCTGGAAATAGTACAAAGGAAAACATCCCACCTGGTCTTGTACCCCAGCCCTAGACATGGCCATGCCTGCTCCAAGTCAGCACTGAACTCTGTTTTCAAAGGGCCTGGGGATTTTCATTGTTCCTGCTTCCCCTGGGTGGTGGAAAATCAGCCTCATTATTTCCTGCCTGCCTTTCCCCACCCCCAGCCTGCAATAGCAGTGGGGCATTGTGGGACCAGCATAGACTCATGTTCCTTACAGTGGACTAACCTACAGTTCATCTGTGTCTGGGGTCAGCTATCTACAGTCCAAATACAGCCTGTCATTACATGGTCAGCAAGCTGAGAAGGATTTTTACATTCAAACCAGAAAGAGGGCATTATTTCATGACAGTGAAAATTGAGATTCAGCCAGGGATTTAGCTCAGTGGTGCCGCCACCTTCCTCAAAAGTTCAAGGTCCTGAGTTCAATCCCTGGTACCAGAAAAAAGAAAAAGATTCCAGGGCCCGGAATTTAGCTCAGTGGTTTCGCTGCCTGCTGCACAAGCGCAAGTACCTGAGTTCGATCCCCAGAACCGAAAAAAAAAAAAGATTCCAATTTAATGTGCACAAATAAAGTTTAGGAAAATGTGACCATGCTTACACATGTATTACATGCTATAACAAAATGCCACCAGCTGGGTAGCTTGCAAATAATAGAAATTGATTTCTCACAATTCTGGAGGCTAGGATGTCCCAGACCAAGTCACTGGCAGATTCTGTGTGTGGTGGCCCTGCTCCTCATAGGCAGCATCATCTTGCTATGTCCTCAAACAGTGGAAGGGAACTTCTATTACCTGGGCACTAATCCTTTTCATGAGAGCACCGACCTCATGACCTAATCATCTCTCAAAGGCTCCTCCTCTTATTTTTTCAACTATGCTGGCATCCTGGGATGGTTAACAACAGAGAGTTGGCATGAACCAGGCTCAAGTGTGCCAGGCAGCTCTTGGCTGCTGTCTGCCAGCACTGTGACACCCAGCTAGGTCCAGAGCAACCAAGGGAAACTACCTGAAGCTTTACCTCTTAATGCCATTAGGTTTCAACATATGAATCTGGGGGGGGAGGGTAGACAGAAAAATTCAGACCACACAATACTACACAGAAATTCAATTTTTTTTTTTGTCGTACAGGGGATTGAACTCAGGACCCTGCGTTTGTGAGGCAGGCAGCAGCACCACTGAACTAAATCCCTGGCCCAGTAATTCAATTTTTTAAAGCTGACTAAACAAATACTCTGATAATAGGATTTGAACCCATTTCTACCTGCTTCTAACATCTCTGGTCTTTGATAAGACCAATATTTCTTAAAAGATGGCTCTTGTTTAGGCCTAGGGAAAGAAGTATCTTAGTTTGCTTAGGGGAAAAAAAATCACATACAAGTCAAAAGATGTTTGGATAAAGCTGCTTATAGGACTCCCATGAAAATCTGCCACTCATTTCAGCAGACAAGCAAGCATCTAAGGGGTTCTATAGTGAAAAGTGTTTAACTTTGTAGAAGGCAGCACTGCCCAAATTTACATGTAAGCCTGGAACACTTCTGTTATAGTATACAATTAACATTTCATCTCATTTTATTTTTATTTATTTTTAATTTTTTTCCATCTCATTTTAATGAATGCAATATGTATAAATTACAATAACAATTACCAGTGTGAAAGTGCCTGCATGCCTAGATTCATCTGTTATCATAAACATGAAAAAATAACACATACCGTGAAATGCTTGCAGGTATACTCTACCCACACTTCAGCACAATTAATGTAGTCCTACAAAGAAAAAGAAAAATAGCTTACGGCAAAATTCAACACATATAAATCCCTTCAAGGGCTTTGACGCCAAAAAAAAAATAGATGGCCTACTGATACATTTTACTGTGACAAACAAATTACAGAAAAACAGAAGTTGACTGCAATTAATCCGACTTTCATTCCAGACTTGCTCCTTGGGCCAAGATGGAAATCAAGGAGCTGTGCTACTCGGAGCACTAGAGGGACCAAAGGGTAGCATTCTCTAGAGGATGGGGCCTTGTCACACCTCAACATTGGCTGAAGACACAAGCTTCATTCAAAATGTGAGTTTTGCATGTTAGGCAAAAAAAACAAGCTTGCCACCTTTTAAAAGAATAAAACATTTGTCCTATACAGGAGTGAGGTATGTATCTCGTAAAAAGGCCATGAAGCACTAAAGATTTTAGGTAAGAAGTTACATAGGAAGGGGGCCCAAGCAGAGAGAACGTAACAGAGATGGGAATGACAAAGACCAATTGAGTCAGGCTGCCTGCCCAAAAAAACATTTCAGAGGGAAAAAAGTGGTCAGGGAAGAATGTGGCCTGTAAGTGCACCTCTTTGATTCTGATACTTTAATGCAAAGTAAGAGGACCGAGGAGAGAATAGTGGCTTCAGTTACCCACTGTCAAACTCTGGTCCAAAAATATTAAACAAAAAATTCCAGAAATAATTCATAAGTTCTACATAACTCTTATTACAATATATTGTTATAACTGTTCTGTTTAATCTCTTGCTGGGTCTAATTTATAAATCTAACTTTAGCATAGCTATGTATGTTTAGGGAAAACAGCACAAAGAGTTTGGTGGTCTTCCAGGTTTCAGGTCCCTCTGGGTGTCCTGGAATGTACTGCTTGCATCTAAGGGGGGAACAGGCCCTTCATCCACACAGGAACAACCTCAGGTCTGACCGAAATGCTAAGACAATCAACTTAAGGACATGAGCGTGGAGATCAAGATTAGAGGAAACTATTAACCCAGGCTTGTAACACAGGCTGCTTTGAAACACAGTACAGCCACAATCAGCCCAGAAGGTTGCAAGATCCTAAATAAGCAAGGCTTTCTTAATTTCTTTTCTTCTTTTTGACAAATAAAAATTGTACATAGTCATGGTGTGTAACATGGTGTTTACAATACGTACATGTTGTAGGCTAGCTAACCCCAGCTCGTTCAGATATGCATGACCTCACAAAGCAACCACTCTGTGATGAGAGCACTCAAAATCTACTCTCTTGACAACTTTCAACCATACATTATATTGTTGTGAACTTGAGTTCCTATGCTGAGATCCCCTGACCTTTGGAATAAGACTTTGCAGCTGGCCAGACTGAGTTAAACAGAGTTTAACCACTGTTCAGTGATGATTTGCTGAAGGACCCCGCAGTAGATAAATCTGCAAAGAAGTTTCTAGTTTTTTTAAGTTACAACCCTATTCTCAACATACTTCAGTAATGCAGAGACTGTGCCTCCTGAGCCTTTCCTTCTTGATAACTGCCCACCTCCAAGGCTACTTATCTACATTCAGTCCCTGCCAGCAGGACAGGGACAGTGCAGGGTGTGTGCTACTCCAGTTGTTTCTGCAGCCACGAAGACAGCCAATACCATGCCTCCCTACTGGCACTCAAGTGGCTGGCAAGTTCCTACCAAGATGGTTAGCTATGAAACCCAGCCCACAACTTGAAGGCCGTTACCACAAGCACTACAGCAACTGACATCAGTCAGTCCATCATCCCGACTTCCTACACCCGCACTTGGATGAGGCTCCAAGTGACCCTGCTCAAAGGCCAGAATCTGGAATTCCTGTTGTTTACTATTGGCTCGACTGCTCATCCTCAATTCAGGAATATCTTAGTAGGTTGGTATTTTCAAAATAAAGTGGACTTGCATTTTGTATGTATAGTCACAGGTCTTTAAAGTTTCATATATTTGTAATGTTATACTTTCTGTGCATCTTACGGCCTCACAAATGGATCATAATTATTATATAAAAAATCAACTAGCAAGGCACAGTGGTGCATGCCAGTAATCCCAGCTACTCGGGAAGCCAAGGCAGGAGGATCACAAGTTTCAGCCTAGCCTGGGAAATTAAAGCAAGACCCTGTGTCAAAATTAAAACAAACAAAAAAGGTTGGTGATGTAGCTCAGCACTCCCTGGGTTCAATGTCCAGTACCACAAAAAAGAAAAAAAAAAAGCACATCTTTAATACCATTGGTCTTGTATTATGGGTTAACAAATAATACAATAAGGATTTCTTCTTTTAAAAACCACAAGTGTGATTAGTTAAAAGAACATTTTTTAAAAAGAAAGCATTTGCTGTACAACTTCAACAACAGTTGATCTAAGGTCTAAATGGTCACTCACCTGTGGATTCTTCAGTTTAGTAATGACTTTCCAAGCTTCATTGAGAATCTGGAGTCGATCACTCTCAGGCGGATCAGCCAAAGCCAAGTTTAAGCCCAGTGAGCGAAAAAGGAGATGCTAAGAAAAATATCAAATCATTATGTTACTGGAGATTTTAAGTCAAAGTGACTTGAGGTTAAGAAAAAAGGTCATCACATTTCATCCATCCCGGAGTAAGTCCTCCAAAGACCTCTTTCAGAAGTTCACTACCTGCTATCTGAGTTACACTAAAAAACTCAAAGCGGAGTGTTTGCTCCGAGCATCAGTCCAATTCACAGGCTGTAACAGTCTGCTGGACAAAGCTTGTCCTCATGAATGAAGATATACTTTTAAAGATGTACAACCAAAGTCTTTCCTCAATACTTTATAGGAGCTAATGAAACACGTTTAGTTTTCACAGGGCCTGACTCACGGCAATTACGTGGTGTTAACAATTCCAATCTCTAGCTCATCTTCCCGAGTTCTACAGGATCAGAGCTTTGGCCTGTCTCCCATCAGCCCTGCATCAAACTGTCTCCCTTGAGGTAGACACTGCCTGTTGGTTCTCTTACAGCGCATCAAGTCAAGAGCCTACCTTAGGGAAACCAGACTCGTCACATTCTTTAATCATGCTAATGAAGTCCATGGACCTGGTGGCGACAAACTCAGCCCGGAAGGCTGACATCACAGAATTCAACAGCAAGGCGCTGCAAGACACAAAGGCTCACATCAGCCCAGCCTCCCCTTCATGACAGTCGCTTTAATGTGAAGATATATGCTGTCAGGAAGGGTGACTTACACCCCTCTAAGTGAAGGCTGGAGAAAAAATGCCAGCGTAGAAGGGGCTATTTCTAGAAACTAACACAGTGTTCTGTGCATAACTGGAACTTGAAAAACACAAAGTAACTGGATAGATGGGTGGGTGGAAGGATGGATGGCAGGTAAGTGAGTAAGGAACCCAATCCATTTAAACAGAAGTGACCCTTCAAAGAGGCTGGTGCACTACTAAAACTAAACTTTAAATAACAATATTGATCCATGCTGCAAATATACATCCGCATCTCTTTCAAAAGGGATTTCTTGGAAAGAGATCTTAAGTTCCACTCAGGACATGATGGTGAACCAGAGCCACGAAAGGCTGCTTCTACATCCACCACCACATCACCAGAGGGAACCTTGGATACCCTGGAGAAAGGAAGATCAGGTTCTTCCTGGCCCTACCACTTACCCACAGTCCCATGGGGAAAAGGACAATCATTTCCCATTTTATAGACAGGAACAGTGAGACATAGGGAGGTCAAGCAAGTGGCCCAAAGCACAAAGCCAAGGCATAATGGAGCTGAGAGCTGAGGCCAGGCATCCACTCCAGCGTCCTACACCTCCATGCTATCTACCTTGCCTCTGTCCACTGTCACCCCGTTAGCAGGCTAACCTCAAAAAAGCGACCAATTCTCATTTCAAACCCATGCTTTATGAATCTTCAGTACTTACTTGTTTCCTAGTTTCTTACATCTTTCCATCATCTCAGTCAGCAAAACCTAAGAAATTTAATTTTTAAAAAGCATCAGATTGAAGCATTTAAAGCAACATTTCTCAGAGACTTCCAAAGTACAATCTTCTAAAATAAATACGGCCACCTGCCCACTTGTATAATCCCTGGTAGGGACAGAGAGGACAGAGAGGGGAAAAAAACTCACTTTAGTGGCATTTGGTAGAATGGATAAGAGTTAGGGCCTGGGTTCGAGTCCAGCCATACCAACTGCCAGTGGCAAGGCCTTGGCAAGGCACCAACTTTGCTGCGCCAGGGTCTCCTCATCCTCACAGAGGCCTACAGTAGCTGTGCTCTCATTTCCCAAGGAGGCATCAACAAACACTGGGCTTAGTGCCTGCAGGTCACGCAGAGAAGTACTTTGCCCCCGTGGCCCCCTCTCCCGATCACCCAGGAGCAGGTGCTTCATTCTCCCATTTCACAGATGACACTGAGCTACAGAACAGTGCCAGGCTGTGCCCAAGGTCACACAGGCAGCAACGGCAGCCAAATGCAAACTTGAGTGGGCTGGCACGGAAGGCCAGGCTCTGCGCCACATTGACTTTATGTTCACGAGCGTATTTCTCTCCCTGAAGGAAGTAAACGGGTTACACACTGAAATACTGTTAATGGCTTTAGAGCTATCTTAAGACAATTACGTATCTTCAAAACAGCCCTATTTTAAAACAAAAATCAATCTGTGGCGCATTCTTTTGGGCAGTGGTTTGGAGAGGGTTTTGAAGGGCACAGCCAAGGTGGAGCCTGAGACAGGAGAGCTAATGCCAGTGGCCTCGGCACTGAGCCCTGACTCTGGGACCCACCGGCCCCAGGTGCCAGGACAGGGGGCCGACTTCCCTTTCCTCATTCGCTCTTCCCCACAGCCCAGGAGGCTAGGGAAACATTAGATCCAAAAAGATAAGGCATGTGCTTAAACAGACCTCATTTACACACGCAAAAATGCATTAAAAATCCATCCAACAACATAACTGGAATAAAAAGGCTCTGTCGTCATACAGAAATAGAATGTCCCTAAGTATTCAAGGAGCCAGATGTTATGGATCTCAGGCAGGTCTGGTACAGATTATTTTTATTATTTTCTGAGAAGTAATGAGATTGATTATCTTTGGCAAGAACAAGAAGAGCAACAGTTCAAAGCACACTGAGGGTGAAAACAGCCTTTTGGCTTCTCTCAACCACTGAAAACCCTGCGGCTCAATATATTGGGTTTTCACACACGTCAGAGCTTGAAGATTCCTATAAAACAGGTACTTTGTTAGTGCACTTGTCTGTGTTCTGGCTTCTTTTATTGCCCCATGTTTCATTTACTTAATAACATTTCATTGTTTTCATAAAAGTTAAAAAAACAATAAATGGTTAAACATAAAACTTCAAACAATATTGACATGCATCACGAAAGACGTGAGCCAGGTGTGATGGTGCGTGCCTATAAGCCCAGCATCTTGGAGGTTGGGGCAGGAGGACCCAAGTTCCAACCCACCCTGGGCAACTCAGTGAGACCCTACTGAAAAATAAAATAATTTAAAAAGGGCTAGGGATCTACCTTACTATGAAAGCCCTGGGCTCAGTCCCCAGGTGAAAGAAAGAGACAGAAAGAGAGAAAAAGGGGAAGAGAGGGAGAGAGAGAGCGTTGGAAAGGGAGAAGAGGGAGGAGGGGTGGGAGGTTGAAGGAGGGAGGAAGGAGTAAATGCTCCCCTTCTCAGTGCCTTCCATTTGGGTCTGTTTATTTTGTTTTTACAAAAATGGGAAACCTTATACACATTGGGCTGTAATTTGCTTTTTAACTCAACAATCTAGGCTGGATCTCCCTTCTCCCATGTTAATATACACAGATCTACCCCAATCTCTTTAGTGGCTAAGCAGTCCACACCACGGAGAGGACACTGGTTTTCAAACTGCCCCTAATGATGGATGTTTACAATAATTTATTTATTTTTATTTTGTGTGTGTGTGTGTGTGTGTGTGTGTGTGGTGCTGGGGATGGTACCCAGGGCCTCACACGTGCTAGGCCCAGTGCTCTACCACTGAGTTACATTTCAGCCCTAAGATCTTATACTGAACTAATTATGGACTCACAAAAATATAGTAGAGAGACGTCCTGAGTACTCATCACCTAGCTTGCCAAAGTGGTGACAATTCACGTAGCTCTGCATCACCAAAGCCAGAAATCGACACTGGTCCGATACAGTTAACTAGATCGGTCTTGGTCTACATGCACTCTCTTCTTGGTGGCAAAGGTTATCTCCTTGGGGCTGATTCCAACATCTCATCAGTGTGTGGGAATTTGTATAACCACTACCATATTTAACTGATGCATTTTTAATCTTATCTCTCTGCATTAGGATTACTGTTATTTATTCACTTCAAAGTATAAGAAAGTATACTATGGCCACATTCCTCTTTTCTAAACCAAGATTAACTCATATGTAATCCAGACTGCCAACAATTTGTATTTGTGTGCTTTTACAAAATAACTTTCCAATCAGTGTTTACAAACACAACACCGCTTCATAAAAAAATGAAATAATATGTCTATTTTCCTTTTTATTTTTTCTCATTTTTCTAAATGAATCAGAAACATAAAGAATGGGCAAAACCACAAATTAATCTTAAAAGCTAATATCTTTTCCACCGATCCAAAGTTAATATGGTCAAGACTCAAAGAAATAAACTATTTCAATGTAAAAATAAAATTCTATACCCCAGGCAGTAAAAGGAGAAATTCTGCATTGGTCCTATTATTTCTCTTTCACTGAGCACATTTTCCTAATTCAAAAGAAGCGAAGAAATAGCACTGCTGGCTGAAGGGAAACTTAACATGGCCCAGGCTATTCTTAGATTTGCATGACTGGCCTAACCATGCTTTAGACTGCTTCGAGTGACCTCTAGTAAGGCTACTGCAGTGACAGCTCCATGAGTCAGTTTGTCAGGCCCTAAAGTCCCATCTCAAATGGAGCAGTTAACAAGAGACACCTAGAAGGACAAGTTTACAGGAGACAAAACTCCCAGTGCTGGTCATAGTGCCCAAAGCCGGCCATCGCCTGGCTCTTTCCAGGGGTGTGACTTGCACAAGCTTCTAAGCCTCGGCTGCCTCAACTGTAAAGTAGGATTATAACAAGAGGTGGCCCGGAGAGGCTGTGAAAGAGAATAAGATAACCCGGGCAAAGTCACCCCCATAGAGCGTGGCGCAGACAGAGCCCCGACAAGGGCAGGATTGTGAGGGGCTCAGAGGCTTAGCTCTGACTTGATGCATCTCCTTCCTCCAACTCTGCATCCATCCCACAGGCACACTGCCTCCCGAATCACCCGGAAACGACTGGTGGCCATAGAACATGCTCAGCACCAGTGGAAGTACAGGTAACGATGTTAATGGGTTACTGTGTGCAAACCACACAGGGAGAAATTCTCATCTACAAACAAAATTACATGGGGCACGGGGGTTAAATCAGAAGGAAGCGTACCAAAAATGTTAACACTGACCATTATGGATGCCTATTTTCTTTCAACCTTTCTTTTCTAAATTATTTCTGTGGATTCTATGTTTTTACTAGTACCTTTTCTTTTTTTAGCAGTGAGGATTGAACCCAGGGCCTTCACACTGAGCTATCGGCCTTTTTAAAATTTATTGTTGAAGGGCCGGGGATTTAGCTCAGTGGTTCCGTTGCCTTCCTCGCAAGCGCAAGGACCCCAGTTCAATCCCTGGTACCAAAAAAAAAAATTTATTGTTGAGACAGGATCTCGTTAGGTCATTAAGTTGCCCAGGCTGGGCTCAACCTTGCGATCCTCCTGCCTCAGCCTCCCAGATGCTGGGATCACAGGCATGGGCCACCTTTACTAATACATTTTTTATGATTATGAAATTCTCTTATCCATTCCACCTCCTGTTTTTGTCCAATTTCCAACTGGTTTTCCTCTCCCAGTTCCTCTGATATGCTTGTGCCAGTTAGAACTTCAAAGTGCTGCTTTTTCAAATCACTGTCCTGATCAGACCTGTCAAGAGCTCCCTGCATCCAGGCCCCTCTGCAGCCTGGGCCAGCACAACGCAGTCCACTCCCCCTCAGCCTAATTTCTCACTCCTGTCCAGGAATGCTGGTCCTCTTATCATGTCTGCCCCTGTTTCTAGAGGTCCCTTCCCCTGCCTGTCCCCTGGCCTTCAGGTGCAGGCCCCCTTCTGCTTCAGTGAGGCCTGTCAGGATGGCCTGTAACAATGGCGGTACCCCACTGACGTGTGGTGTCACAGTCATCATCACAATGGTCCTCAGGGAAAGCTCTTTATAAAGCTCACTATGTAGCCCAGGTTGGCTTTGAACTCATGGCAATCCTCCTGCCTCTGCCTCCTCGGTGCTGGAATTACAGGCTTACACCACCACACCCAGTGTATTAGTTCCATTTTACTGTTGTAAAACTGAGGCACAGGGAGGCAAGTGGCCAAAGCAGGCCTGCCTACTGCCCCGGCAGCCTCGGCTGATGTGCCTTCCTCTTCTCTTCAGCATTTCCAACCAGCCAGGGATGCTGGGATTCCACACCCAACAGGGGTCACAACGAATGTCAGGCTCAGGCTGTTTTCCTTCTACACCACCCAACCCCATGCCCAACAAGTAAACAGCTGCTGGGTAACAAAGATGAACAGCTTAGCAACAGATCTGTTTCACTGACTAAAAACAGGTTTTATAAAATAGTTGCTTTTTTTCCCTCTGGGCAGAATGCACCTGTAATCTTATTTTAGTTGTAGGATGGGAAAAAAATTCTGTCTTAAAACAATGACAACAACAAAAGTCTTTTTGAGTAATCACTCTCTGATTTTTTAAATTTTGAATTTCAATGTGAAATTTCATACATCGGATAGTCACAGCTAAAGGTTTGTCTCCTTTTGCCCCTTTCACCTGCCTGCCCTTTATATTACCAATCGCTGCGGCCGAACTTTACAGTCCCCTAATTTGGAGGCTTGGCCTCTTAAAAGACAGCTCTACTTTTGTGATGGCTCGAACAAGCTAGTGTCCAAGCTTTTAGCATCAAATTGTCCCGTGTATTTTGAACAACACTTTCTATACTCACATCAATTCTTTTGCATTTTGAAAATGATTCATTTCGTAACAAGACACTGCAAGTTCCGTATTTAAGTGCCCCCAAGAACTAGAGTTTATTATTATTCAGGTGACCTAATTTTTTAATCACTTCTCCTACTGCAGTGATGACTTCCTAGAGCTGTACTCCCTGAGAAAGTTCTATTCCCAGCTTCTGCCGTCCTCTGAGATTCCTGGTGCTTAAAATAAAAGGAAAGATGCCTATGACATGTACTTTTTGTTTTAAATCTTATTTTGCTTTTCATTAAAATAAGGGGGGAAAAATAAGTGTTCTCATTTTCAACATGTCAGTCCTGCTTGTATGAAGGCCTGTCTCTCTCCACTATTCATGTACCTCTGCCCAGCACCCGGGACAGCATGCAGCTGCTGAGACTATGCTAAAGATCGTAGAGAATGCACAGCATATTTTCAAAGCAATTGCTTCCCTTCAGACTGGCTTCATTTAAAATCAATTTGTTTAATGGTTAAAAAAAAAAATTCATCTAAGATACAAGATGTCCCTGTTTTTCCCTCTCCTACTTGAGAAGTTGAAAAAATAAAAGCAGTGCATATTTGCTGAAAAGTTAGAAAACAGATGGGGAAAGAAAAATAAGATGGCCCAAGTCTCATCCTCCAGTGATTTTTGTCACATTCCCTTCCTGGCTCTCATGCAGATATAAAAATCATGTATAAATGTACTATGCGCACTTTTAGGGTGTAGGCACCCTAAAGCATTGTCTCCTTTGATCACTACAACAGAGTGGAAAATGGAATTATTAATATTGCTCGCATTTCACAGGCAAGGAAAGAAGGTCAGAGGCAGATCAGCTGCTTTCCACCTTACCACAACTACCATAACAGAGCTGAGACTGGACTCAGGCCCTGGACTCAGGGTCCTCACTTGTCAAATCCCAGGCCACATAAGCCAGTGTAAAGAGAAGACATCCCCTGAAAACATGCTGCCCATTTCCTATGATCTTCAGCACAGTCTCAGCAATGTGTGGGGCCACTGTGTTCCACTCAGCAACACCTTTGTGTCAGCACAGACAGATGCTCGTGGGTTCCACCATTTAAAGGCCCCAGAACATTGCATGGAATGCGTGCCCCGTAACTGAACCAGAACCTTCCCTGCGAGGTCCTCCATCCAGTGCCGCACCACCCCGACCAAACCAATGTGTACATACATTTTCATGTCCATCTACAGATTTCTTTTTTTACTTTTTTATGATAAGATTTTGTTTGTTTGTTTGGTACTGGGGATCGAACTCGGGTCCTTGCGCTTGCACAGCAGGCGGCGAAACCACTGAGCTAAATCCCCAGCCCCCATCTACCTATTTCTACAGGACAAATCCTTGGCACTGGGACTGCTTACTCATAGCCATGCCCTCTCTTTTTCCTGAAGGGCTTCTGACATGTGTTGGCAGCAAATAGGATACAGGCAGATATGAGTTTGCTTTGCTCTATGCATTCTTGTTTTGCAGCAAGTCTCTCTTTTCTTTTCAATAAAAAAGAGAAGAGAAAAAGAAAACTTCATCCATCACAGATATGATGACAACCTGGGCTGGCAGCCTACTGAAACTGCCTCTCAAGCTCAGAGAAGAAAAGAAGGGACTTTCTGCTGATTCTGATGTCGCTTTAATTCCTAACAATATAACAATTAGCAAGAGGGAAAGAGAGGGAAGGAGGAAGGGAGGGAATCTTATAAAAGCAATTAAGTAGCCTTACTTTCCTTCTAAAATGAGGGAATTATTACCTGCTCTACTGACTTTACTGGATTATGATACACAGGAAAAGGGCATGTGCAGGCAAGTATAGAGACAATAAAGCTCAGTGGGCCTGGAGTCAGATTCCGTGGGTTTGTGGCCAGTTTCTACTTCCCAGCTGTGTGACCTGATGTAGGATTTGGCCTGTCGGAGAGACTGCCTCCCCTTCCCAGATCATTACAGGCACAGTCCAGGAAAAAGGCTTTAGCACAGAGCAAGCCTCTGAGCAGTGCACTCTGCACACAGGCACGTAGTATAGGGCTGTCAAGCCCCAGGCGAGAGGGGCCCGCACCCCTCCAGGCAGTTACCTCAGGGGCGTGGTAGGAGATGCACTGGAAGATCCAGTCCATGGCAGGTGAATACAGGGGTAGATAGGACGGGAGCTCCACTCCCTGGACCACCAGCTGATTCTGCACCGTGTCCCCGTGGATCTGTGGAGATCACAAGACACGCAGAGAAGAGGGGAACTGCACATCGAGGAACTACCACGAGACTCCCCGACCAGACAGTCCTGGAAGCGCATGGATGGCCCCAAGAGACAGCCTAGCTTCTCAGTTGTCTGTCTGTCTGTCTTTGGAACCTGCCAAAAAATAGTCCCCACCCAAAATTTCTCATGTCATTTCTCATGAGCTGTTCTGGGAACATGCTCCACGGAAAGGAAGAATCTGATAAAAATGGAGTCAGCAGGTGCCAGGAAGCGTCTCTATACTGATCAAGTATAGAGACGCTTCCTGTTCACACATGCATATTAATTTTCTCTGTTTGTTCAGAATAATCAACACATTTTAATGGCCTACAACAGACGCTAGTGTCATTTTCTAGGGTTTGCACACTGAAAGGGCTTTAAGGCATTCTCAACTTGGAAAATCCACTGGGTTTTGTGAATTTGCTATTGCGTAGCTGTTATTTCCATGGGCTGTTCTGACAGTGTTCTCGTACCTGTTTAAATGTAAGAAGGAAGTCAAAGAAGTTCCTATTCAGGCTTTCTTTGAGGTGTGGAGCCACTTCCATTCCCACCTGCAGTCAAAGGAAATGAGAATACTTTGACAATGGGGAACACGCTGCAAATAAGATGTACATACCAATGCATTTGTGTAAATTAAAAAATATATATGTACATACATATGTATGTATAGACATACAGGAGAAGTCCAGAACATTAATTTTTATTCTTTCTGCTCATCTATTTTCCTATTCAATAAATATGTATTGTTCTTCCCAGAAAAACCATAGAAGCTATTTTTAATGAAAAAGAGCAACAATTGCAGTAATCATCTTTGTAATTTCCCAAAGGTAATGAATGTATTTCTGAACAGATGACCAAGAAAACAAATCAATGCAGCACTGAGGAGGAATGTATGCTCAAGACTGTACACAATATTCTCTTCCTCTTGAGAAAATAAAATGATCAACATGCATGTGATTGTGCTTATTACATGAAGCAAAAAGGTTACGCTAGGGACCAGTGTACGGCTGAGAGGTACAGTACTCAGAGACAGAGCTTAGTGTGCCTGAGGCTGAGGGTTCAATCCCCAGCATCTTCTCCTACCACCAAAAGATGTCAGAGGATTGGCTTGGATTTCAGATGTTGTACTGCCACTTATAGCATTGTTAAAAACAGTACAGATTTCATTCCTTGCTAGGCAATCATGGAAAGAGACATACATTTTAATATATTTTAAGCAATTTCATATAAGTGAAGCATAAAGCATTTATAATACTATAGTGTATTAGCTCCAGCATTCAGTATTTTAAAAACCTATCATAACATTTCTAGCTAAAGACATCTGCCAATCCTCTAGAAGGTAGGCAAGCACCAGGGTGGAGTGGCAAGTAGAAGTATGAGAATGCACATGTGTTTAAAATACAAAACCAAAACACTGGAATAGTCCTGAAACTGAGCTCCTCAGATACGCCACAGTTCCAAACTGCTGCTTAACCAAAAAAACAATGTCCTGAGGGAAGGTGCTCTTTGGGATCCACTCTTTTGTGAGGGACAGATTTCTCCCCTCATCTCTCCCTTTCCAGAGGTCACCAGGGTTAGCAACAGTGGTGCCTTTTGGATGGCTAGGCACCATTCTTCTGGGAGGAGTGATGTGAAAATCACCAGAAGGTTACATTTCAGGAACAGGTTTATGGCGGTTAGAGGCAGGAAAGGCTATTTGCAAGCACAAGCACACAGATTTTTAAAAAATACCAACAAATGTCAGATCCAGCTCTACTACATTCTGACTCTATTGTCTTTCCTTCTACTGAATCATATTGTAGAAAAGGCAATAATTATCTGTTAGGTGACAGCAAAGGCCGCCCAGCCGATGAGCAGTGGCAATGAGCTGAAAGGGTCATGGCTAAGAAGAGGAGTTAATCATACTTTCCCTTAATAAACAGCTCCAAGCTCCCCCACGCCCTACCCACTCACTGCTTTTGTTTCTTGTTTATCTCTTCTCATCAACCCAAAAAAGCAGCTTGGAAATCTGCTTGGGTCTAAAAGACTTTCCAGAGTAGCAAGGGGAGCTGTTCCTGACGTCCATCTGCTGGTTCAGCCTGCCTGATATTCATACCCTCTGCTTCTACTATCAGTAAGATGGAGTGTCTCGGGGGACTCAAATGTATCTCTTAGACTATGAGGTCCATGTTGGAGCTGGACCCACCCATGCTGAGTTCCAGGAAGGGGCATGTGACCCAGACTCAGTCAGTAAGCCTCTCCCATGCCATGGCCACAGCAACTGCTCTAGTGATGAACAAGTGACTTAAGTGGTCCACTAAGCACCAGCCCTAGGATTAGCCGGATGTACTCGGAAAAGGTACCTTTTCCAAAGGGTCCTAAAGTTGGCAGAATGGAAGCCCAGAGCTGCCATGGGCTTCCATATGTAAAGAGCAAGCCAAAGAATGAAGTCAACCCAGAAGAAAGCCAATTCCTGACAGTGCACATAGGGGCCTTACATTAAGCCATGCTGTCCACTGTCTGCAGTCTCCAGACACACAATTTATTAAATCTCTCATACTTCAAGTAACATGAACTAGGTTTTTGCCTCTTGAAAGCATTTTGTTAAGCATAGACTATTTCTTAATCTTCTTATGCAAGTCAGTCAAGAGACTCTAAGTAACTACTCACTGTGGGAACTGATGCCATGAAATGTACTGCACTCATCACTACTCTCCCTGGGATGGGTCTGCTTTGTTCTGACACCTGCCATTCAAAGCCACCTCATAAGCTCTAGGAAACACTTGGTGCTCCCGAATGGAAAACCCACCCAGATTTTCACACTGGGCCCTCTGTCAGAGGGGGAGCTGGTGCCCTTAAATGAATGACTTTCTCTTTCCTCGTCAGTATCAAGAAGCAGGCCTATAACATGTCCTTCGTTAAGGATGCCTGCTACACTCTGAGGGGAGTGAGTGAGGTTTCTGTGACACTTGAGGTCACAACGTTTTCATCGTTTGCTGGGTATCAGGCAGAAGAAGTACACCAAAGGCTTCAGTGCTCATGGGGGCTCTGTCCTCAGCAAAGTCTGGGGGTCACTGGGGATCATAACCCCTTGCTAACAACCTCTTACGGACAGGGCAAGCAGGGAAGACCCTCTCCTCAGAGACGCCTAAGAGGGGAATCCCCTCTGTGGCTAAAGAAAAATGGCCCCATCTTCTTCATGGGTTATATTTTTCACAAAGAAAAAACTTTGAGTAGTTTTACACTGAAGCTTCACAGTGCTTTACGGGAGAGAAAGGCCACTTGATTCCCAACCGGTCCACCTCAACCAAGACCGCTGTCCCAGGGGACACTGCTCCCTGCCAGTGGCCGTACCAACTCATGCTCTGAGCCAGCTCTTTCACAAGCAAAGAAAACAAAACAAAAACAATCAGGCTCAAGGCAAAGGGACAGCATTTTCTCAGGTCAATAAAAAGCAATCAGTGGTCTGGAAGGCCTGGGAGCTTCCTTCCCAGCAAGAACTGAGAAATAATTCTGAAAATCAGCTCATTGGTTTGAAGATGACCTTAAACATCTCCTAATGAGGATGACTTAGGATAAGCTGGTCTACTTCTAAACTAACTTTTCAAAGAAATTCTGCACCTACTTTCTGTAGGCTGGGTTCTAAAACTGGCCATCAGTAAAGTTCTCCTCCCATTGCCTTCTGAGGCAGTGGGGAAGAGCAGGGCCAAGGAAGGCCTGGAAGACAGGAGCAGCCACAGGAGTGCACGCAGCCTACCCGACACAAGTACGCCCGGGCATACACCGACACCAGTGGGTCCCCGATGCCTCTGATCATGCAGGTCAACCGGGGCAGGCATTCCAAAATCCCCCTGTCAGAGAGAGAAAGAAGGCAGCATCACACCCAATGAAAGAACTTGCTAGTTTCTTAGTTTTACAATAAAGGCTAAACTTCCTATATTTCGGTGTTTTGGCGGGGAGAGGGGGTTAAGATAGGGTCTCGCTATGCAGTTCAGGCTGGCCCCAAACTTGGGGTGATCCTCCTGCCTCAGCCTCCAGAGTGCCTAGATTACAGGCGTGCACCATCACACCCACCAAACTTGCTACATTTTGGAGATGGGAAAAACCTACAAGTTTCTGGAACAAATTAGGTCAAAGCATAGGCGTTTTCTAAGACAATGTACTAAGGCTTTCTCTCCTGGTATGATTCGCTCATTGAATGATTCCTTTCAGCACTATTATCTACTCAGTGCCTGAAGTTGACCTTCACCTTTTTTCCTGCTTGAGGTCACATTTACTTTACTAATTTTTTTAAAAAGCAAAACCTTTATTGGTACACTTTAGAGTGACATAATGATAACACTTACCTTAGGGAATTTGTACCTGTACGTGATATATCTTACTTTTTTCCTGATTCCCCCATACTCCCTCCAAGCCTTCCTCTTTACAAAAGCTTTGTTTTCATTTTCTTCCATTTTTTCTTGTCTCTTCTTCCCTTTCCCCCTCTCCCTCCCTTGTTCACCTTCTCAGTTGAACATTTTCTTACCATTTCCCAATACCTACTATACATTTTAGTCCTTGTTTCCACTTTCAGTCTCTCATACCAGAAACTGTGGTAAACATGTGTGTCCAATTTATCTCACATAAAAGTATAGTCAAGCTTACCCTTCTCTATGGCAGAGTAGTACTTCACTGTATAAAAAAAAAATCTTTATCCATTCATTGATGAGCATTTGGGCTGTTTCCAAGATTTAGCTATGACAAACTGTGCCACTATAAACATGGATGTGCATATATGCTTTTTTTTTTTTTTTGGTACCGGGGATCAAACTCAGCTCCTTGCATTTGCCCAGCAGGCGACGAAACCACTGAGCTAAATCCCCGGCCCAATATGCTTTTCTTTCAGGGAGATACCAAGAAGGGGAAGAGCTGGGTCAAATAGTTCCTCTAAGTTTTAGTTGTTCTTTTTTTGTTTTTCTGGTACCAAGGACTGACCTTAGGACCCTGTGCTTGTGAGGCAGGCGTGGTACCAATGAGCTAAATCCCCAGTCCCTGTAAGTTTTAGTTTTTTGAGCAATCTCCACATTGATTTCTACAATGGTTGCACCAGTCTACACTCCCACCAACAGTGGAGAAGGCTTTCCCCCCACTTCTTGCCAGCATTTGTTCTTGGTTGATTTCTTTTCGCTTGTTTTTTGAGACAGGGTTTCCCTTTGTAATTCAGGCTGGCCCCAAACTATGTAGCCCAGGCTGGCCTTGAACTCTTGGCGATCCTTCTGCCTCTGCCTCCTGAGTGCTGGGATTACAAGCATGCGCCACCACACCCAGGATTGATTTCTTGATAACAGCCATTCTTTTTGGAGATCGAATCTCAGCACTGTTTTAATTTGTATCTCTGGAATAACCACTGATGAACATTTTTTCATACATTTGCTGATTCTATTTCTTCATATGAGAAGTGTCTGTTCATTTCAGATGTCCATTTTTGGATTGGATCTTTAAATTTGGAGCGTCTGATTTTTTCTGAGTTCTTTATATATTCTAGATATTAGTCCTTTGTCTGAGGAACAGCTGGCAAAATTTTTTTCCCACACTGGGTTATCTCTTCACTCTGTTGGTTTCTTTCGCTGGGCAAAAGCTTTTTAATAAGAACCCAGTTGTTCTTTGTGATATTTCCCGTGCAATTGGGGTTTTATTCATAGTCTTTGCCTACCCCAATGTCTTCGAGAATTCTACCTATTATATCTTCCAGCACATTAAGTGTTTCTGTTTTCATATTTAGATCTTTGATCCTTTTGAGTGTACTGTATGTTAAAAGATATGGGTCTAGTTTCAGTTTTCAGTATGTAGAAAGCCAGTTTAGGGCCAGGGATTTAGCTCAGTGGTGCTGCCAGTTGCCTCGCAAGCGCAAGGTCCCAAGTTTAATCCCTGGTACCAAAAAAAAAAAAAAAAAGGCCAGTTTAACCAGTACCATTTATTAAACACGTCTTTTTTCCAGTGAAGGCATTTGGCTCCTTTGTCAAAGATAAGGTGGCTGAGTGTGACTGGAGTTGTTTCTGCATCTACTAATCTGTTCCACTGATCCTCAGGTCTGTTTTTCGGCCAGTACCATGCTGTTTTTAATCACAGTAGCTGTGTGGTATAATTTCAAGTTGGGGATCATGATGCCTTGTACCTTGCCCTTGTTGCCCAAAATTGCTTTCGCTACTCTAGGTCTCTTCAGGTTCCATATAAATTTTAGGTTCGTTTTCTCTCAGTTCTGTGAGATATGCTATTGCCATTTTGATTGAGATTCCACTAAATCTGTATAACAATTTTAGAAGTATGGCCATTTTCACTATATTGGTTCTTCCTACCCAAGAACAAGGGATGTCTTTCCATTTTCTGATACTCTCTTCGATCTCCTTTTTCAGACTGTGATAGTTTTCCATGTGAAGGTCTTTTACTTCCTTCATTAGATTGATTCCTAGGTATTTAATTTTGGGGGATGCTATTAAGATGTTGTTTCCCTAATTTCTCTCTCAGTGAGTTTATTATTTGTGTACAGGAATGCTATTGACTTCTGAGTGCTGACTTTGTATCCAGCCATGCTACTGAATTTGGTTATTAAATCTAGAAGTCTTTGGGCAGAGTTTTGGGTATGCAGAGTATCATGTCATCCGCAGATAATTATATTTAACTTCCTCCTTTCCTATCCTTATTTCTTTTCTTTCTCTTGTCTAATTGCTGTTTCCAGAACTATATTGAATAAGAGTGGTCACAGTGAATATCCTTGTTTGTTCCTGATTTTAGAATGAAAGCTTTCAGTTTTGTTCATTTAGTATGATGTTGGCTGTTGGTTTGTCATAGATGGCTTTTATTAGACTGAGATAAAGATCATCTACTTCAAATTTCTGTAGGGTTTTTATCATGAATGAGTGTTGGATTTTGTCAAATGCTTTTTCTGCATCTATTGAGATGATCACATGGTTTTTGTCCTTGGCTGTTAATATGGTATTACATTTATTGACTGCATCCCTAGGATGAATCCTACTTGATCATGGTGTATGACCTTCTTGATCATTTGCTGCCTTCTGTATGCCAGTATCTTATTGAGAATTTTTGTGTCTATGTTCAATAGGGCGCTTGGCCTGTAGTCTTCTTTTTGGGATGGATCCCTCTCTGCTTTAGTTACCAGGGTAATTATTGATTCCAGGAATTAATTTAGAAGTACTGCTTCCCTTTCAATTTCATTAAAGAGTTTGAGTAGCAGTGACATTAGATCTTCTCTAAATTTCTTATAGAATTCAGCAGTGATTCTGTCAGGGCCTAGGTTTTTCTTTGTTGGTAGGTTTTTAATTGCATCTTCAATTTTGTTGGCTGATATTGGCTTACTTAGAATTTTTATCATATTTTCCGCTTTGATAATTCATATGTATCCAGAAATCTGTCCATTTCTTCTGTGTCTTCTATCTTACTAGAATAAAGGTCCTTTTTTTTTTTTTTTTTTGTACCGGGGAATGAACTCGGGTCCTTGCGCTTGAGCAGCAGGTGGCGAAACCACTGACCTAAATCCCCGGCCCCACTAGAATACAGGTTCTTGATGCTTTTCTGGATTTCTGCAGGATCTGTTGTGATTTCATCCTTTTCATTCCTACATTGCAAGGATCTTGAGTCTTTCCTTTTTTTGATAAGATTGGCTAAGGGTTTGTCAGTTTTAATTTTTCAAAGCATCGACTGTTCAATTCATTGACTCTGCATTGTTTTCTTAGTTTCCATTGCATTAATTTCTGCTCTGATCTTTATAGTTTTCTCCCTCAGATGAGTTTTTGGCTTGACTTGCTCTTCTGTTTCTAGAACTTTGATGTTCAACGTTAGGTTATTTGAGCTCACTGTTTTTCTGATATGGGAATTCACCATCATAAATTTCCTTTGTGGGACTGCCTTCATTGCATCCCATAAATTCCAGTATGTTGTACTGGCATTATCATTTAATTGTAGAGACTGTCTAAATTCTTTAATTTCATCTGTGACTCATTGGTTGTTCAGGAGGGTGTTATTTTATTTCCATGTGTTTATGAAGTTCTTGTGGTTTCTTTTGCCATTGATTCCCAATTTCATTACACTATGGTCTGATAACATGCATTGGATAATTTCAATTCCTTTGCATTCACTTAAGCTTGTTGTATGAGCTAGTATGTGGTCTATTTTAGAGAATGTCCCACGTGTGGCTGAGAAGAATATGTATTCTGATGTTGTGGGGTGGAATATTCTGTAGACATCCACTAAATCCATTTGTTCAAAAGTTTGGTTCAGTTCTGAGAGATTTTTTTTGTCCAACTGGAGTATTGGGGTCTCCCATTAAATTGTTTTAGTGGTTGATTTTTCATATCCATTAATATTTATTTTATATAGTTGGCTGCACTGATATTTGGTGCATATATATTATTGTTATTTCTTATTCTTGGGTTGTTCCCTTTACAAGGATGTAGTGACCTTTGTCTCTCTTAATCCAGTCTTAGCTTGAAATCCACCTTGACTACAAATAGAATAGCTACCCCTGCTTGTTTCTGGGTCCTTGCTGGATGGAGTATTGTTTCCCATCCTTTGACTTTCAGTCTATGAATTTTTGAATCAAATGTGTTTCTTTCAGCATATTGTTAGATCTTGCTTCTTAGTCCTGCCAGTCTCTTCTGATTGAATAGAGACTATTTACACTGATGGTTATAACTTATATGTATTGATTTATCCTTGTCATGTTATTTTCTTGTTGTTGGTTTTCCTTTTTCTCCTGTTTGCTTGCCTTGCCTAGTGGATTCATTCTGTTGGGGTTCATGGAGTTGTGGTTCTCATTACCTCTTTCTAGAATGTTCTTGAGAACATTTTGGAGTGCTAGTTTGTGGTCATGAAATTCTTTCAGGTGTTGTCATGGAAGTATCTTATTTCTCCATCAATTCTGAAAGATAGTTTTGCAGGGCTCATCAATCTGAGTTGGAGGTTGTTTTCTTTTAGGGCTTGAAATACTTCAAGCTTTCCTTGACTTGAGAGTTTGTGTTGAGAAGTGTGCTTTGACTCTGATGGGCTTTCCTTTGTAAGTGATTTCTTTTCTCTAACAGCTTTTAATATTCTGTTCTTGTGTTGAATTTCTGGAATCTTGGCTATTATTGGTGTAGATTTTTTTGATCACAGCTAATTGAAGTTCTATATGCCTCATTTATCTGTATTTCAAATTCTTTTTCCCTGCTTGGCAAGTTTTCTGCCATTACTTCTGTGAACAGGTTTTGTATGTCATTTGTGCTATCTCCTGCTTTTCATTGACTTTGATCAATTTTATGTTATTCTTCTTTGCATCATCCAGCAGCTGCTGGATTGATTGTTCATGGTCCCTTGTTAAGAGATCTTTCTTTTCATGATCACTAACCACAATCCTGTCTTCTATATCTGATATTCTGTCCTCACATTGGCTCATTCTGCTGTGTATACTATCAGTGGAATTTTTAATCTCGATATGTTTGAATGTGCTTTATGGGTTCCATTTCTTTCCTATGTTGGGTATTCATGCTTTCCACCATTTTCTTAAGATCCTCTACTTTTTCACCTATATCTACTCTAGAGTCACTAATCATGTCTTTTATTATGATCATCATCTTTGTGGTTATCTGAAAAACTAGTTCTGATTTGATTCTTTTCTAGTCTCATCTGCTTTGTCACTTCTGCTGTTACCACTTCAGAGTCCAAGTGGGTAGGTTTCAAATTGTTCCACCTCATTGCCCCATGGGTTTGCCTGGTGAGCTGGAAGTTTGAGGATGCAGCTTGCTAAAGTGTCTTCTCATTTTCTTTTTTTTTTTTTTTAGTTTAATTCCTGGGTTAGTGCTTGTAAATTGTGTATGGTAAGTAGCTTTATTGCTAGTATTTAGAAACCTTACGAAATAATTACTTCTCAGACATGTTTTCCAGGTATTCCTGGCTTTTGTGTTTTGAGTCTGTTGCAAGATCCTACCTCTTCAATATATTAGGGATGAGAAGTTACTGCCTATCTGGCCTAACCCCTGGTTCTTTGGCACTGGCCTATCATACTGTTTATGACCCTTAGGCAAACTCAGTCTTGGCGTACCACGAACAACAACTGATTAGCACAATTATGTCACCTTGACTAAAGTAGTACAATCAGAGTAACAATAGCATCAAACATAGTCTAGAAAATGACAAACTGTGGTAACTACTGATTTGCCACTTTTAACTATATGAACTAGATTTATGGTTGTATAACAAAATCTAAAACAAACTAGATTATATATAGTAAATATGTCCTCAGAATGATTTTACCCACAGGGGAAAAAAATGTAAAAGGGTTTATAGGGAAAAAATAGAGAAACAGAAGAAGAGGAAGAGATGAGAAGCAAGGCTAGATGACAAAGACTATGCAAACTTTGGGGAACTGGGAAAGAATGAAAAGAAATAAAAATAGGAACAGAACAACAATAAAAAAAACTAGAAATACTGTTCACATATATAAGAAGATCAAGAAAGAAAATAGTAAAATCCAAAAAAAGAGAAAAAATAAGAAAAAAAATATCCACTTCCAAGACGTGTGTCTCTGCTGTCACTGGTAGACAAATTGGACACACAGAGCTCAGATCCATGTTGATCAATACCAAGATGGCTGGGGATCATAAATGATGGGGAGTGGATAATCTCAGCAAGCCTGCACCTTTAGTTCTGAAGCTCAGGTTGGTTTTGGCTGTGAGGCTGAAACTTGACTTGTTCAGCCTGCAACACTCCATGTATCTCCTGCTGGCTTCAACTCAGTTCCCTGTTGGCTCAGTTCTCCTGTGGACTTGAACTCAGTTCTGCCTCACCCTGATGGAACCAGCCTGCAGTTGCTCTGTGTTCCAAGCTCAGTTGGCCCTTCTCCAAGATGGCTATAGGCCAGTCACCCTCTCCTGGGGGACTTCTGAACCCAAATAATACACCAGTCCACTGGGGTCCACTGCTCTGTTCCACTGGTGCACTTCTCCATAGAGGTCTCTGGGGTCACCAATAGTCACCATGCATCTGCAGGTTTCAGCTACCCTCCCCATGCAGTGAGTCAGAGCTCAAGAAAAAAGCACCACCTGCCACCTCCTTCTCTATAGAAGTCTCTCTCCTCACTCTCCCTGTGGGCTTCAATTCTTGCTTCAGATCCTTGCTAGGTCCCAGGGACCCACTTCCTTCTTGTTTTCTCATCCTCACATTGCTATATTCCAGCTTCCGGACACCAAATCTTGGAGAGGCTGTTTCTCTGCTGTTCATCACTCCTCCATCTTCTATCTTACTAATTTTTTTTTTTTTTTTTTTGGTACTGGGGATCGAACTCGGGACCTTACGCTTGTGAGGCAGGCGGTGGAATCACTGAGCTAAATCCCTGGCCCTGTTTTACTAATTTTAACAGTTTTGTCCCTCGACAATTTCCCACCCACTGGTCACTCCTTGATCGTCTCTCTGCATCTCTCTATATATTCCTCTGGCACTGATCCAATCAATGTCCTGTGCCCATCTCTTCCCAGAACCTCAGGCCAGCATCAGACACTTTCTGTCCCTGCTCCCCATCCAGGTGAATTGTGGGACTTCCTTCTGTTTACAACTATAGATCTCTTCTTAGACCCACACACATAGGAGAGGAAACTGAGGCTCAGAGACTCGAAACAATTTTCTCAAACCATATAGTCAATAGCTATATGGCCAGGACTCAAATGAGGTCAAAGTGATCTCCCATACACTACTTAACCAGATTCCCCTAGTTTGGGTTTTCTTCTACATTCATCAACAGATATTAAAATGGGGTCTCTATCTCATTAAATTTTCACTTGGACTACATACTGATTAAGTGGTTAACATAAGATCTACCATAAAGTGCTCGTGAATGATAGCTATCACACTGCCATGAGTGTGTCTATATATGTGTGAGAGTTTTAGAAATGTTATGGTGCTAGACACTCAGGAAGAGCCTTACGTTTCAGAGAGGAATTTATTACACTTCAGGATGGATGCTTCCACATAGCTATAAAAACATTCCATTAAGGAAGACAGTTTCCAGACAGCTTGTTCCCTGTGGACAAAGAATGTTTCAGAAGAAAGCTAGTAAGTCTTAGGAGAGAGGATCACAGTGGCCCACAACCACCCAGAGAATTAAGTTAGCTAGTGGCTGGCTGTTTCTATATATGGCCCTCAAGGTTCCATACTTATTTAAAATAATTCTGGAAAATGTTGTGTGTTGATTCATGGTTGCATGCTGAGATGCAAAGTGGGTTTTGAGCATTTCTCATCAAAGCTTCACAGGAAAAGAATGAACTTTAGATAACTAAGGGATAATCTGTGGGTAAGTTGAATTCTCTGTTCCACAATACTGGCATCTGTGCAGAAAAGACTGACCTGATTTTGTTTTTTGGGTTTTTTTCTTCAAGTTTTTGGAACCAGAGAAAAAACACAAAGACAAAGTGTCTTAATTGAGAGAGTTAACATGGGAATGTTCCCCAAGGAAACAAAAGCCAAAGTACCGCATCATACTGAATGCAAAAACGAAAACTTGAAAGAGTAGGAGTCTAACTAAGCAAGGGCTTCTCCAAAGTGGAGTGTCCTTATCTTTAGGCTGGCAATTGTAACGGGACCAGATTTTCAACAGAAACGTCAGGAAAGCCATCACATGTCTTCTATTAATGGTGCAACTCTTGTTGCTTATCTTTAACATCATCAGACACAAAAAGGATACAATCTTGGAATGAGTTCCCTGATGGAAGCAATCTTGAAAAACCAATTCAGGCATGTTTCCTTGGCCGTGTCATTTACGTTCTCTGGAGAAAAGTGATCTGAAATACAAAACCACCCGTTAGGCATCCCATACCTTGGTATTTTTGGCTGCTGGGTTTGGAAAACATTTCCATGGAGCAGAAGACAGGGAGGTACAGTCCCTCAGTACCTTTCCTTCCAAAAGTCATCATTATTAGGAAATGATTGATGACAGCAATGCTGCACATACATGCTCACACACACACACACACACACACACACACACACACACACACAGAGCTTTCAAAGTGCCAGGCTTCGTGCAGAGTGCTTTACTGACATTAGCCCAGCTCCCCCCGACACACAGTACCCTCCCCTCCCCCTGCCGTGGTCCGTATTTTCATGATCCTCTTTTACAGAGGCCGACACCAAGGTACATGAAGCGCAGTGCCTTGTTCAGGATACAGCAAGCAACTGTCACAGCTAGAATATTCTCAGCCATTCCATGTATTTTAATACAGAGGTTCTTGGTATACACGGCAGTAACTGCAACAATACTACTGAGATTTACAGATGCTTTAGGCACCTGCAAGTGTAAAATTAGATGTGATCTAAGCTTTTGCCCTAAGCATCACCTGGGCCAGATCTGAAGAGAGGTCAAGGCCCCGAGGTGAGAAACCAGCCTGAGCTGGTGCTGGCTCAATATCAGCTCTGAGACTTGAGTCACCTTGGGCTGAAACTGCCAGTGCATTCCACTATCTATTTGTTTCCTCTTTAATAACAGAACGCTCCTTTTTCTGCTGGGCATATGGCCATCCCTACAGCTGGGACCAAGTTCTGGTCCTGGAATATAAACACAAATGCAACTTTTGGCAAATATTTGTTTAAGGGAAAGGGCTTGCCTGCCCCCACTCCTCCTCCTTTGCTGATTGGAATGCAGATACGAGAGCTGGAACCTCTGTAGCTACACTGACACATGAGAGCAGCAAGACAAAAGTAATCAGTATCCCTGGTACTTGGGCTAGCTGTCCTACCAGCCATGAGCCCCTTTATTTTTATTTTGAGTTTCTGGCCCTGGCAGCCAAGTCTAATCTTGATGTACGTTGTTTTTTTTTTTTTAATAAACCATAAAAACTTCTCAGTTTTAGACTTGACATACATCTTACTAAGGAATGGAAGAAAGTATAAAGAAAAAAAAAAAGAGAAAAAACAACTTATCAACAGCAAGAAGGTCCCTGTTGAACTCTCATATGGAAACTCCTACATGATTTCAGCAAAGATCCGAGTCCATCCCAGCAATGGCTGTTCATACTTTTAAGATTCAATTAAGGGCTGGGCATTGTGACACACGCCTGTATTTCCAACAGCAGAAGTGACAGTTCAAGGCCAGCCTGGGCCACATAGTGAGTTCCAGGCCAGCCTGAACTACATAGCAGGACCCTATCTTAAAACAAACAAACATCAAATTAAAGGAAAAGTTCATTACTTTGAGACTAGCAAAGGACTCTTAGCTTGTTGGCTCTCATCTGGCTTTGCACTGAGTCATTTTTCATCCCTGACTTTGCTACTGATGGTATAAGGTGGTCAAAATTCCTAAGGAATCAGCTAAAAAGATAAACCATGAGATACTTCTCCAGCAGAGAACAGTCACTAATCACAACCGCAGATGTCCCCAAACTGCAATCTCAAGTATTTATCTATTTTTGGATGTCTGGCATGCTTTGGTCATTTGAAAACTACTGGCTTACCATTTTGATTCCTTTTTCCTCCAGTGCTGGTTATCAAAACTGGGGCCTTGCACATGCCAGCTGAAAACTTTACCACTGAACTAATCTGCAACCCTTGGCTTGCCATCTTTAAAAAGATGGAAAAGGACCATTTTTACCTTCTTGGCCTGAACCCTTACATACTTCAGAGTAACTTTCCCCCCTTAAGTTTCAAGAGACTACCCACAGGAAAAGAAAAAAGTTATTTTTAATTCATCTGTCAATCTTGTCTTTTGGAAGAGGGAAGGTGGGGCTAATTTCCCTTCATATGAAGGAATCATGCAGTTTATAGTCCAAAAGCAAAAACAGATCTCTGAAGTCTGTTTGGTTTTTTTGAGGTTACCCATAAAATCTCTTGATTCCCAGTTGAAGGAACTGAGGCTTGGCAAAGGGCAGAAAATCAGTGATTTCAGTTGCCTGAAGGGGCTGGAACTCTTGCTAAAGGCAAGACAGCCTGCATAGGCACACTGACCACAGGCTATATGACAATCTGCACGTACCAACACAAGGTCTTTGGGCTTTCCTTCCAGCTCCAGAGATGACTCAGAAAAAGGACTTGGTTATACAAGGCTTTAAAATCTCACAGCAAACTGAAGAATATATTCCCTTACTTCATTTGTGCAACACAAATGCCTTGAAAGCTAACTAAAAGCTGGGCATGGTGGCACATGCCTGTAATCCAGGCACTATGGGAGATTGAAGCAGGAAGATTAAAAGTTCAAGCCCAGTCTAAGCAACTTACCGACACTGCAGGGGTAGAAAACATATAAACAGAAAAAAGGATAAGCAGGCAAACTAACAAGGTAACAGCAAATAGCACTCAGTATCACAAAAGAATTAGACATTAGAATGATCTGAGTGACAGTAGGTTTGATAGGGTGGTTAGAGAAGGCCTCTGCAGAGATGGCATTTGAGCTAAGCCCTGAATTACCAAGAGAAGCCAGCTGTGCATAAATGAGGAGGGGATGTATTTCAAGGAGAGAGAATAGCAAGTGCAAAGGCCCTGAGGTAGGTATGACATCAGCATCACCAAGGAACAGACAGCAAGCCAAGAAGATGAGCAGGAAGGGGAGGAGCAAGCATCACAAGGAGGTACCACAGGACTGCAGTCCTGGTGATGACTCTGAGTTTTTTTCCTAAGTGCAACAGAAACTCCCTAAGGGTTCTGAGCACAGGAATGGCATGGCATGACATAAGGTTTGTGCCTGGGAGCCTGGGCTGCTACATGGAAAAAGCACTCAGAATTTGGAAACTGATTCTGAAGAGACATCAATGTAACAAAGGGAAGAGGTTTTGCTCCTAGTTCCCATTAATTTTTCTTTTATGGTGCTTCTTTTACTAACCCTGAACCTCTGTGGATGTTTTAGGAAGAGAAGTCAGGGCTGGGGATTTAGCTCAATGGTTCCAGTGCCTGCCTTGCAAGCGCAAGGTCCCGAGTTCGATCCCCAGTACCAAAAAAAAGGAAGAGGAGTGACTGATGAGTCCAGCAGTCCTTCCTGCCAAGTGCCCACCCTCTTTACAGAACAGAGCTGATGTGACTGCCTTAATCAGCAAGTGCCCAAGAGCCTAGCCAGTGAAGACCCCTGCTGACCCCGAGCCCACATCAGCAGTGGAAACCTGACAGTAGAACTGCAGAGACAATGGGAATGAGAACCACAAACCAATCCCGTATCCAAGTTGGAAGCAAATGGATTGGTCACTCGGAGTCCATGGGCTTGTCACACATGCTAGATGAAGAAAGGTTTGGGTGGGAGGAAACCGCAGCTACCTGTGTGTCCTCTTCGTGACCCCAAAAGACACTGATCACTTTGTAAACTCTTGAGAGCTAAATTGAAGTTAAAACTCCTGTAGGCAAAGAGCTCAATATTAGATTCACCAGACAGGACTTCATTCAAATGGAAAGAATGAGTACAAATGCCACAGGAGTTCCCCTTCTACATAATGTCTTTAGGCAGAATTCTGCAAAGCAGATCACAAAGCTTTCTTCATAATTTTGGTTAAGAGTCATTGCCCCAGATTGCCAGGCAGTTGTAAGCAAAGTACGCCCCTTTCCCTTTCGGGTTCTTGGGACTAGTGAAAACCATGAAAATAAAGATTTTAAGTGAAAGAAAAAAAAATCATAAAGAAATCATTTGCTAGAAAACAGAAGCCTAGTTTGCATGGCTCCAGGTGAAAAATAAAAACAGGCATTTGGGGAGAAAAGAATTTTAGCAATAAAAGTGCTAATTACTATATTGAGGCAAAGACTGGAAGTAAATATGAAAACAGCCTTTAGTTCTGAACTTTTAAGAGTTTGGGTAGGGAATCAGTTCTAAGTAATCTTTCCTAATTTGCCTCTAAAATGTTGAGTAGTCAATGAAAATTAGGAGGAAGGAAAATTACTACAAGCAGTTCATATACTAATACAAAGCAGAATCTATAATAAAAAGGATTTTTAAAAATTGCTGGTCTGGGGCCAGGGATTTAGCTCAGTGCTTTCGTCACCTGCTGCGCAAGCACAAGGATCTGAATTTGATCCCCGGTACCAAAAAAAACCAAAAAAAAATTGCTGGTCTGGGGATGTAGCTCAGTGGTAGAGAGCTTGTCTACCAAGCCTGAGGCCCAGGGTTCAATCCCCAGTACAAAAACATTAATAAATAAATTGCTGTTGCCGCCAAAGGAAACATGTATTTGGGTTTAATTCCACCTCCGGCTGAAGTTTGCTAGTGCTGGTATAACACATGGCAAATGTAAGTTCAATGATTGGATTAAATTTCCAAAATTCTTTAGCCCACAGAGAGAACCTTCCCACTGGGGCTGGGGGTCTACCTTTTCAGGCTCCCTACCGCCTAATTTGGGGGGGGGTACCAGAGATCGAACTCAGGACCTTGTGCTTGCGAGCCAGGAGGCGGAACCACTGACCTAAATCTCTGGGCCTCTATCTCCTAATTTTGATGTGCCTGGAACACTGAGGTTCTGGAGCAGCACCAGTGAAAGTATTTTGTTTGTTTTGTTTTGAGATAGGGTCTGGTCAGGCTGGCCTTGAACTCACTATGTAGTTGAGGCTGGCCTTGAACTTGTGGAGATCCTCCTTCCTCAGCCTCCGGAGTACTGGGATTATAGACCTGCACCACCACGCCCAGTGGAAATTAATTTTAATAATGCACTTTGACCCAATTCATCCAGAACGTCATTTCAACATGTAATCAATATAAACAGATTATTAATGAGCTACTAAGTCTTTGAAATCCAGTGTCCTTTTTTTAGCGCATCTCAGTTTGGACAGCTACATCTCAAGTGCTCAAGAACCTCATGTGGCCAGTGGCTGCAGCACTGAAAGGCAAGTCCCTGACTCTCTGCACAGGGTTTGTCTGAGGCTAGAAGGTTCCTAAGAGCCTGTTTAGATCCAAAGGTACAGGGAGTTCTGTCTTTCTGAGGACTGTGCATTATTACATAGTTTTTAAAAGATGGGTGAATGGATAGATGGGGGGGGGTGACAGGAAAGGGAGAAGGACAGAACGGGAAACTGGGGGAGGGCAGGAGGAAAGCACGGACAGGGCCAATACTGGGTCACTGTCACTACCCTTGTCTCTTTGTTCCCTGGGAAGAACTGCTGTCAGGAGCAGAGGAGGAGGGGTGACAGCGACCCTGGCTGCTCCAACCTGTACAAATGAGGCTGCTTCCAGGCAGCACTGCTTGTGAGTTAAAAGAAGGATAGAGGAAAAGGAGGCTGCAGCTGAGTTATGCACTACCAGACTCACTATCATTACCATTTATATGACAAGAAATTCATCATCCGCAGGCCCCATTATAATCCCTCGAGGACTTCAAATTGGTTGGCAATAAATTTAAGGCAAGCATTACTCGGGTATAGACTGTCGATTCAAGGCATCTGCTACTATTGATTTATTTGACATCGTTCTCTCAAATGCATAGTTTTAAAGCAATTTGCTTCTTAAAAAAAGGGAAGATAGGGCCGGGGATTTAGCTCAGGGGTTCCGCCGCCTGCCTCGCAAGCGCAAGGTCCCGAGTTCGATCCCTGGTACAAAAAAAAAAAAAAAAAGATATGTGGGAAAACATTAAAGTGTCAAACAGCATTCCAGTATTTGCCAAAATTCCTAGATAGCCCCATTTGAAAACCTTCTAATTTTTTGGATGACTGACACGATCAGAGGTCTTCAAACATGTCCCTTTTAACATACCAAAATGTAAAATTTTATCAGTTCTCAGTAAGTCCTGACTCGATAAAGCCTTCTAATATTTACTTCAAGGTACAGTGATACCCAGAAGTCAAGTGTGATGGCACAGGCCTGTGATCCCAGCACTCTGGGAAGCTGAGCCAAGAGGATATCACAAGTTCAAGGCCAGCTTGGGCAACTTAGCAAGACCCTGTCTCACAATAAAAAAATTTAAAAGGCTGGGGATGTAGCTTAGTGCGAAGGCCCTGTGTTCAATCCCCAGAAGCATAAGGGAAAAAAAAGAATCCCACCTAGACTGCCTAAAAGCTAGCGTTACCTGGTAAGGTGCTGCGGTTATCCACACACATGGAAAAGATGCGCTCATAGACCAGCTTTCCTGGGGGAAAAGGACATATGGTATTAGCATCACACACCACAGAGGCAAACACTAAATAAACGTGTGTCAATTGGGGACACAGACATGGCCTATCCCAGGAACATTTTAACTTGTGATAACACTGCCATCTAGTGGGCAAAACTTTAAACTATGTTCCTATTGAGTTTTTTTGTTTTTAATGAGAGAAGGGACTTTTCCTTTCTGAGAGAAGAACGGTGATCATTTTACCTTTCAGTCTTGAATGAAACCCACAGCTAACAGAGCCTCAGCTCTCTCCATGCACTCCACAGAAAATATTCTAAATTCTATGCTACATTCAATTTTCAATCAGAGGCTGCAAGTGGGCTGAGTCCAGCCTGAAACCAGATGTATTTGACATATATTGAGGGCCCACAAGGTTCTTCAGCAATTTATGAATTCATTACCAATAGGGAAACTGGGAGGATTCTTGTGAAAAATCTGCTTCCTCACATATGATGTGCAAAAATGTGCCCATACCCCTAGAGGACAACACCCAGGCGGACGGCTCAGGAGCTGCCTCTTTTGATGGCCTCTGTACTGCCACTACTGTCCACTACTCTCCTGCCAGCCTGTTCCCTCATTCGGACCTCCCCAGCGGTGCCTAGAAGCATCTGGACTTGAGCTTCCACCAGGAAGGAAGCCCCATGAGGGCAGCAAGTGTGCTCGGCTCATTCACTGCCACATGCCCAAGACCCGACCCAGGCTGGCATCCAGCAGGGGCCAGATGCTTGCTGGGCAGATGGATGGAGTGTAGGTTTTATAGGTCACAGGTCACTGTCCCAACTACTCAGCTTTGTCAGGGCAGAACTAAAGCCGCTGGAGATAATACGTAAACAGATAGGCCTACTGTATTCTGAAAAACTATTTACAATATGCAGGCAGTCTGAACCCCTGACCCAGGAGGAAAAACTATTCTGTGCATGTGTTTTGGAAAACATCATCACTACACGGGGTAAAATGACAGCTCTTCCTTTTCTGCCCCCCATCACCTTCAATTTAAAAGTGTCTGTATTCTTTTTCATAACCCCATTATTCTGGGCAATGAAGAGTATCACATCTCGAAAATGAGAAGGATGTAAAAATCATGTCTGGTCAAGGACCTGGGATGAAATGACGTCATCGAGAGCAGACATAGTGTTAGAATGAAGTAAGGAAAAGGCCAAGCTAGGAGGCGCCACTGTGGTGCCTCTCCCAGGGTGGACACCTACACTACAATCACCTAGTGACACTTTTTGGAAAGGAACATTCCTGGGCCCACCTTAGAACTAATGAAATCGAATGTTCTGGATGGCGAGTCTGGCCTAAGACTGTGGCTTTGAACCACCCTGCTGGGAAGCTGAGCATGAGAGCCACTGACGGAGGGAGACACAGGGGAACGCCTCACACTACACTCGTGCTTCTCAGACCTGGCTGCACACTCAGCACGCGGGGCTCTTGAGAAGCTGCACATGTCCTTGTCCCTCCTCACAGCTTGGGACAGGACACAGCTGGGGCCTCGGCAGAGTCTGTAAAGGTTCCCGGGTGAGCCCAATGTGCAGCCACGATGTGAAGCCCAGGTCTGCCCCATGGGCTCCAGCTGACGCTGTGGGAGGCCTGACAGGGGCCCCAGCTCCCTGCACCTCCTGCCTCCTCCTCCCTGGCAGGCCGTGCTTTCATCACCTGGGCCACGGGAGCACAGCTCTGGCCTCTGGGTTGTGTGGGGTTTGCCTCACCCATCACACAGCAAGGGCTGTGGGGCAGAAGGTACACAGAGCAGACTGAGCACCAAACCCCTTTACTTCCCACACAAACGCTTGCTGTGTCACTCAAACTAGCTTTACAAAAAATACAACTTTCATATTTCACCTTCACTTTTTGTTTTCTTGCTGTGCCGGGGACTGAACCCAGAGCCTTTGTACTGAGCTGCATCTCCAGACTCCCCGACATAAACATGCTTTTAAAAAAAACCCCACTTTTTTTGAGACAATGTCTCACTAATTTGTCACATTGCCCAGGCCAGGCTCAAATTTTTGATCCTCCTTTGTCAGCCTCCCGAGTGTTGTGTTGGGATTACAAGCACCGTCATTCCTGGCTCAAATTCATATTCTACAAAATGACTTTTGGCCAAACAAATGATTTTTCTTTGTGAAACTAGTAGACAATTGTTTTGAGAAATAATACCCATTCCTAGATTTAAGTTCCTTTCTTGATTTTTTTTTAAATTTTATACAGGGTTTGGTATGTAGCCTAGGCTGGGCTTGAACCTTGCAATCCTCCTGCCTCAGCCTCCTGAGTGCTAGGATTCTAGAAGTGCACTCCCCTCCTCGCTCTTGATGTACTTCTTTACGCACTAGGGCAGTGGTGGCAAACCTATGGCACGCATGCCACAGCAAGCTGTTTGTATCTTTGAAAGTTCTAAAAGCTTTGCCATCACTGCACTAGAAGCAGTAACCTAGATTTTAAAACAGCAAAGGTAACAACCAGCATTTTCTGAGTGCTCACTTTGTGCCAGGCACCATTCCAAATTATCTACTGCAGATCCTGCCAACTAACTCTCCAAAGAGGGAAAACACTATGTGCTTCTTTTGTGCTCTAATTCTCTCTCGAAACCCTCAGAGGTAGGGTCTAGGGCAGAGATGGCGAACCTTTTAGAGCTTTCAATGATACAAACAGCCTGCTGTGGCACGCGTGCCACAGGTTCGCCACCACCGGTCTATGCAAATCCCATCCTTCAGGTGGAGAAACTGAGGCTCACGTGCACACGACTCTGAAGGGGGAGAGGCGGGGGGAAGCCAGAAGCCCGTCTGTGCCTGTGGTCTCTCATGAGGCCCCAGTAAAGCAAAGACAGCCACGCGCCTTGCCCTGCGCATGCGCATCTCGGGAGCCCGGGGCTGTGTCCCACAGCCCTGCACAGCAAGATGCTCCGACCTGTGCCAGTCACACCAGCAGCCGTGAGGCGCCTGCCCTGCACCACCAGGAGCAGAGGGGACGACATGTGGGAAGACGGACGCAGGAGCCAGGGTTGGCATCCAAGCAAGGTACATTCCACTCCTGCTCTTTAAAAAAGGGAAACCCGGGGCCCCCAAACCCTAACAGTCTCCGTGAGCACCCACTGGTGTGGGCTGCCTCCGAGGCCCAAGGACGAGCACTCACGACAGATCCACACCATGAGCGGTCAGCCTCAAGCGGACAGGAAGGATGGGGGCCTCACACACTGCTTCTGAAGAAAACACTCCCATGGCTCAGCATGCAGCACAGCGGGACAGCGCTGAGTGACGTCCCCCGGTCCCCCGTCTTCCACCGTCTCTCAGAGCGGCCTGCTGCACTAGCTGCCTGCGTATACTGCGTGTCTTTAGCACACTCAAGAGAACAGGAGGAACACACATTCTAACTTTTTCTTGCTTAAAAAAGGAACACACTCCACAGAGGTCCAGTATCTTGGCTTTTCCACTTTACAACACCCCCGGGATCTTCCCTCTGGGGACCCAAGTGCAGCCCCCTTCCTCCTCAGAGCACGGAGTCCTCTACTGTAGAGATGTGTCATGGCCTGTTTAACTGGTCCCCTACTGATGGCCACTGGGCTGTTTCCATCTCCTGCTATTTACAAATGAGATGAATTCCCGGGGATGAAAATGCTGGCCCAAAGGGACCTGCATTGCTAACTTCCCTGGTGTGCAAAACTGTGCCCACACAGGCGACGTATGAGAGAGAAGATGCAGGGCTCTGACTGCAGAGGGCCCTGAGTGAGTCCCAGCTCAGCCACATGCTAGGCTGGAAACCTGGGATAAGCTACCTGTGTCTCTGGGTCTCAGATTCTTTATCTGTAAAATGGGGATGGTAACACACGCTACCTCACAGGGCTGCTAAGAGCATCTGCTGAGAGTCTGTCACTATGACCTCAATGGCAGCCCAGCGACTCTCCAGCATGGGGAAGCACAGCAGCTCCACCTCACTGCTCAGCTCTCTGGGATGGGGCACTGGGCACGGGGCCACCCAAAGGTGAACATGCTGCCAGGGCCGTGGGCAGTTGGTCTCACTCAGAGGTGCTGACTCACACGAAGGCGGCCAGCAAAGGAGACCAGGGGAAGGGTCACCAGGAGAGCCCGAGAAGCCCTGGCCTTGCTCTCTGACTTCAGGGCTCACGCCCGGGAGGGAAGCGAGCTTGAGGACAAGCAGAGGCGGAGTGGCGGACACCGGCCCCTGCCCTGAGACCCTCATGCAGCTCCTCCCCATCCCCACTGCCTCACCGGGCCACACCGCCCTTGGCCGGCACCCGAAGAGCTGCCAGGACCCCTGGGCAGACTCCACTCCAGCGCACACCTACAGTCCACCCAGCCCACAGGCAGGCAGAGCCTGGTAAAACCCCAAGGGGCTCTGCACCTCACGTCTCTGGGGCCTCACACCTCGGAGTCGAAGCCCACATCCTCCAGGGGCCCCACGGCCCCGTGACCTCTGGCTGTGTGCGCTCTGCCTTCTCGCCCTGCTCCTGCCACTCCAGCCACCTGGGTTTCCTCGGGGCTCTCCAAGCCCAGCAGGCCTGCCCCTACCCCACGGCACTGGCTGCTTCTCAGCCTCGCCTGGCCCTGGCCTCCGGCCCCGGAGCCATGCGGCTCCCTCCTCACCTCCTTCTCACACGCTGCTGCTCACCTCGCTCCCCAGCCAGGCCTCCCCCAGCCCCTGCTTACTCAGCCCACTCCCCCGCCCCAGTGCCCTTCCCCCTGCTGCTGGCTGTTTCCTCATAGCACTGATCACTGCCTGACACAGTGGGGCTGACCAGCCATTGCCCAGGTCTCCATCTTTTCCCGGAAGACGGATGCCACAAAGGGAGGGATCTGTGTCCCCCGCTCCCCGCTGACCCAGCCCTGTACACTCCGCGCCACCTCTGTGTGACCTGCCCCTGCCCCCCGCCCCCCACTCGCCCACTTAGCACCCATCCCCTTTCTCGGGGGCTGGCGGCGCCTTCTTTCTTTCAGGCTCAGCCTGGCCTGGAAAATCAGCACAGACCCCATGGGGGCTCGCAGCATGACACGGGTCCGAGTCTGGCCAGTGAGATGCACTGCGGGTGGGGTGTGTGCACAAAGCAGCTCTCCTTGCCCCGGGACCACGAGCCGTAAAGCTGACAGCAGCGGAGGGCACATAGTGAAGCTCGGAAATGAAGCTAACTAGCCAAGGGCAAGCACTAGAAAAGGACAAGGTCCCGATGACATTGAGTTCCTGGATCCAGCTGTACCCGAAGCCAGAAACTACTCCTGGATTTTTCAGCATAAGCCAATAAATACCCCTCTTTCCCGGGTTAGTTAGGTTTTCTGTCACTTGTTCTAGCTAATACACTCAGGCCCCCGGTCTCGTGGACAGGCCTGGGATGTGCAGAACTGACTGGCTGACGTTTTGTTTCCTGTCACGTCAGATCTTTCGATGAATTACAGGCAAGACTGCTGGGTTACCCAGGCTCAGCCTTGGTAAGACAGCAAATGCCTCTGCTTTGATGTCCTGTGTGTTCAGCTCTCAGAAGACGACAGCAGCCCCCATTTCTTTGGGGCCACCCGCATTCTGCACACCACATATAGCTTAGGGGTCACCTGGTTGGCAAACCACTAACAGCAGGATGTTCTAGCCCGACCAAGCACTACTCAGCGGTAGGCCAAGGGGCCTCCTGCTCCTCCTCTACTGGGCTTCAAGAGATCACTCTCCTCTGCCTGGGCATGAACTGTGGGCTCAGGTGGCCATGGGGATGCAGGGGACCTCAGAGGGACTATGAGCATCACCTGGACAGCAAGGCACTGGTGAGGATGACGGTGCTTCACAGCGGGGGACACTATTTCCAGCTTCGGCACCAAGGCCCATGGGCTCCCAACCCTGAGACAGGAACCCCGCAGGGCAGCCAAGTTCAGGACGTAGTCTGGACCTTGGTCTGCAGTGTGGCCGCTAGGAGGTGGGGGCACCTCTGGGAGGCCTTGAGGCCACCGTGGATGTTCCTTTGAGGGGACTGTGGCACACCGGCCCACTCCTCACCCTTGGTTCTTGGCCACGAGGTAAGCAGATTCGCTTCACCACATGATGCCTCCATGCTGTTCCTGTGCCCCCACAGGCCCCCAAACAATGTATCCACAGGAGCACAGACCTGAGCCACCAAAACTGTGAGTTCAAATAAACCTTTTCTCCTCGTAAGCTGATCATCTCAGATATTTTGTTATAGCGACAAAAAGCTGCCTAACACACTCTGTTCTGCACAGTGTGAGCTTTGGATGCCCATGTGGGGGAGAAGAACAAGATGGCTTAGACAGGACTTGTGCTCCCCAATCTGCTCAGCTTCATCCACTCCCTTCATCTGCCCAACTTGAGATGGGAGAAAACGGTACACAAGGTTCTGCCATTCAAAACCACGCCCTGCAGGTGGACAGGAGGAACAATCTCTAATGTTCTGTCACACCACGGGGTAACTACATGTACTGAAATGTCACGCTGTATCCATATACATGTGTAATTACTGCATTTATGTATATACATACAATGTACTTAATATGTACAATATGTCCACTAAAAATAAAAATGTATGAGACCACAGTATCCCTGTTAGCGGGCATGCAGGCATGGTTTGGTCTCCCTCATAATTTACCTTCTTACTCAAATCACTGCAGAACCTAATGTAAAGCAACTCTACTACCTAATTCCTGAAAAAACAAAAACATTCCCCAGACATAAGATGAACATGGTACTTACCAAATGTATCGAGTATGTCGGTGATGAGGACAAACTTGCTTGGGTAGAACTGAATAACACTTGTGTCCGAAAGAAGCTTTGAGCACTATGAAAGGGAGAAAAGGAAAGAAACTTCACTGTGCCGTGTCTGACATGGTTGGGACCCTCCAGGGCTGGAAAATTAATGATTTCTATAAACAGGACGCTTACCACCTTGTGCCAGGCCCCGTGCTAGGCAAGGAGGATGTAATGATAAGCAAACCACTGTGCTTCTGACAAAGGAACCCAGACTCTCCTCACTCAGAGCCCCGTAAGGAAGGTTCTGGGAAGCGTTGCCCCAGGACCGAGGAAGCCCTATCCAGAAGGGTCTTCCTGGAGGAACCGGGCTCAGTACTCATCTCTGCACCACAGGCCTCTCATCTGAACAATCTTTGTTCTGTTTTCCAGCCTGGCTTCCTCTGGTTTAGTTCAGTTTGGTCTGGATTCTTTTTTCTTTGATTTTGAGACAGGCTCTCACTAAGTTGCCCAGCTGTACTCAAACCTGTGATCTTCCTGCTTCAGTCTCCAACAATGCTGGGACTACAGGCACGCAGCACCGCACCTGGCTAGGCTTCCTATATGCTCCTTTCAAAGAAGTAAATACCCAAGCCTTCTTAAACTTACCTCAACTGTTAAAACTTATTCCCTAGCTGCCCTCTCCAGGAAACACGCCAAGCTTCAAGAGGAAGTGTTTCTCTGGAACTATGATCTTCAGTGCTGGGAGTGGTCCAGCTCTGACTGCATCGCACAATCCCTCCACTCTCACTGGTGCCAAAAGGCTGCTTACACATTCATGTTTTGTTTTGTTTTGTTTCAGGAATGGAGATGGAATGCAGGGTTTTTGCACTGAGCCACATCCCCACACTTTTTAAAAATTTTTTTACTTAGAGATGGGGGTCTCACTAAGTTGCCCAGGCTGGGCTGGAACTTGCAAATCTCCTGCCTCAGCCTCCCAGAGTGCTAGGATTACAGGCCTGTGCCACCAGACCAGTTACATTCAGGATTCCTTTTTTTTTGGTACCAGGGATCGAACTCAGGACCTTGCGCTTGCGAGGCAGGCGGTGGAACCACTGAGCTAAATCCCTGGCCTACATCAGGATTCTTAAGGGAAGACTGAAGCCACCCAACAAGGCCCCAACACCCCAGGCTAAGATATCTTTGTAATTAGAGGCCAAAAAGCTATTTCTACTCAGAAGAACTAAACATAATGCCATGAAAGTCTATAAATTTCAAAGCCAGCATAAGGAACCAAATAACTTTCCTGTAATTTATTATCCCAACAGTTGATCTTCAGATTGGAAAATGTCGCATAAAAATAAAATAATTAGCCAGGTGGTGCACACCTGTAATTCCAGAACTCAGAGTTTGAGGATCATGAGTTTGAGGCCAGGCTAGACTACAAGTAAGATCCCGTCTCACATAATTAAGCAAATAAGAGAAAAAAATAAAAAAAGATTTTTTACATTTAGAAAAGTTCTTTCATATGCATTTCCAATACGCAGAAAATGGTTAAAAGGCTGACCAGGTCAAGAGACAGGCTGACATGTATTTCCACTTCGGCACTGTCACTCAATATCTAAATTGTTAGAATTACGGAGTTTCTCCTAAGCACAATACGCCTAAGAGTAAACAGCATGTCTGATTTATGAACCATCCTCCTATGGCCCAGATGCTAGGGCGGATGGGGGTGTAAGCTGTTAAAACAACAGTGCTGACACGTGGCATTTGGATGCATGCAGACTTCCAATTCCTGATGCCTTGCTTTGTGATTTTCCTGTGCTCTTTGTGAGAGTTCCAACTACATCTGCCCCAGATTTGAGAACTGGAAGAACAAGCAAGCAACTCTGCCTTCTTGGGACTGCTGATAATCCACAGCACTCAGTTCCTGGGGACGTGACATCCCTGAGCTCCTACCCAGGACTGGTTTCCAAGTCTCGAGGGGAAGACCAACCTCCACGGATGAGGACAGACACACAGATTCAAGCGGAAGGTGTTGAGCTGACTTCACAAACCTCTGCACTGCTTTTCTCCCAAGCTGGGCACATAGAACGTATGTTTTATAAAACATAACAGGGACCAAACTTTTTTAAAATCCAAAATTAAAGTCATAATAATTTTGTGAATTGCTAGCTTGAACCACTGGTGGTACAGGCGCGACTGTCCCACTGGGTGGCTTTGTGGTACACATGGATCTAATCACTTGTATGGGTCTTTTTACTAATAAAATTACTAAAAAGCCACTGACGGCACAGTCGTGCCTGAACCACCTGTGGTTTAAGCCACCCAGCAAGGAGACACACAAATTATGGCCCTCTTTGAGTGTGTTCCAATCACTATTTTGAAGATCCCACCGCTTTGAAAGCTTTGGTGCTACTTCCTAACTTATCTGTTTAAGAACCAGGAACCTTGAAGTATGCATTAAAAGTACAAATTTGCTGCTCCCCACAAAACCTACTGGTCAAAGCCTCCAGCCGAGGCACCAGGGAATCAGGGTTTTAATAAGGGCTCCAGGTGACTGCTGCACAAAATAAAGCTTGCAGATGCAGGTTTAGGGCTACCCAGCACACTCGGTGGGGTGAGTATCCTATAACCAACTGTTCTCAACTTCAGAATCCTCTATGGAACACCGGAAAGTACTGGTGCCAGGGTCCTGCCAGCCAGAAATTCTGATTAAACTGGTCTGGGGTACAGCTTGGACACTGAGATTTGTTAATGCTCTCAGTGAAGTGTAAAATGCTATCAGCATTTCCTAAACAACTAATATGTTTCTCTGCCTAAAATACAGGCCATTAAACTTACTAACTTCTAACATTGGTAGAAAAACCCTGAAGAGATGTTTTCTATTTGTTTCCAATGAACAAGGAAACTAGCAGGATTCTAATATTTCAGGACACTAAGCTGTCTAAAATTAATATTTTTGAAAAAAATATTTCAATAACCAGAACAAATGGATTAAAGACCAGTGGCTGAGAAGGAAAACCACTATTAACCAGAATATATTTTTAAAAATTATAAAACCTGCTAGGGAAAAATATGACTAACATAATGGGCAAAAGAAATAAACAAAAGACATTTTATGGACAAGGAAAACCCAATGGCCCATAAGCATATGACAAAATGCTCAATTTGCTTGGGTGTGGTGGTGCATGCCTGTAATCTCAGCTCTCGGGGGGCTGAGGCAGGAGGATCACCACAAGTTTGAGGCCAGCCTGGGCTACATAGTGAGATCCTGTCTTAAAAAAACAAAACGAACAGAAAAAAAGCTCAATCTTATTAGTATATTAAAACTACAATTAAATGACTTTATTGCCTCCTACATTGGAAAAATGAAAACAGAAAGTCTGCTCACACCTCACACTGAATGGTGGCAGAATGCTGAACAGCAGACTCCCACTCTGCTCCTAGTAGGGATGGCAACAGCACGCTGGCCAGGCTGCGGGGAAACAGCTTCAGGATCTGGGAAACCTGAGGCAGCACCTAGCTGCTGCTGAGCAAGACCTTGCCCAGGTAGGTTCCTCACCTGGAGAAAGGCGTCATGCAGGCACCGGCAGATGTGTCCAGATGTGCACCCAGCAATGTTGCTCATAATAATGAAAAAGCAAAAGGCAGAGCCACACACCCATCCACAGATGGCACAGTGTACACACCAGCAGGCTGTTTCATATGGAACAGAATGCCTATCAAAAGCCTGGGGTGGGGGAGGTTGTTGTTGCTGCTTTTGGCTTTTGCAGAAACTGACAAACTGATCCTAAAATTCACAAAGAGATGCACAAGAGAAAAAAAAAAAAGAAAAGAAATGCACAAGACCCAGAACAAGCAAAACAATTTTGAGAAAGAAGAATAAAAGGTAAAAGACTTACACAACCTTTCAAAATGTACTACAATGCTACAGGGATAGAGACAGCGTGAACTCAGTGTAAGGACAAACTCAGAGACCGACAGAATTAGCACTGAGAAATCAGGAATAAACCCTTACTTTTACGGTCAACTGAGTTTTGATATAACTGCCAAGGCAATTCGAGGGGGGAAAAAGGGTCTTTTTTTCAAATGCTGCTGGGACAATTACGCATACACTTGCAAAAAATAACCTTGGACCAGTGATGGCAAACCTTTTAGAGCTCTTGATACAAACAGCCCGCTAGAGCATGCATGCCATAGGTTTGCCACCACTCTGCTTTGGACTCTTACCTCATCTCAGACACAAAAACCAACTCAAAACAGACCATGGGCCTAAGTGTATGCACTAATACTATAAAGCTTCTAGCAAAACACACGGAGAAAATCCTCATGACCATGGGTTAGTCAAACAGTTCTTAGACTGGACTCTAAATGCATCAGCTAAAATGAGAATTAACAAGTGAGATTTCATTAAAATTAAAACACTTCTGTACTTCAAAAGCTACTGTTATGAAAATGAAGACAAGCCACAGCCTAGGAGGTCATATACAGTCATGTGTCATGAAACAGTATGACGGCTGCATATACAACAGGGTTCCATAGGACCCTACTACCCGGTGACAGCTGTAGCCACCTTAAGTCTCTGTATGCACGCTGTGATGCTCTGCCACGACAAAACTACCAAATGATGCGTTTCTCAGAACACGTCCCTGTCATTAAGCAGTGGATACCTGGAGTTGATAAAGAACTTGTATCAAGACTATAAAGGGCAAGAGCCATACTGTAATCCCAGCACTCTGGGCAGCTGAGATAGGAGGGTCGCAAGTACAACCTCAGCCTGGGCAACTAATTGGATGCTGTCTCAAAATAAAAAGGGCTAGGGGTGTGGCTCAGTGGGAGAGCACTTGCCTAGCATGCACAAGGCCCGGGTCCACCTCCTAGTGTGCACAAGCGCATGCGTGCACACGCACACACACACGCACGCACACGGATCTATGAAGAATACATTCAACATGAAGACAGGCTGGTATGTGACTCAGTGACAGAGCACCTGCGTATGCCTGAGGCTCTGGGACTGATCCCCAGCACCACCAAAATAAATAAATAATAAAAAATAAAACAATGAACACAAAGATAATCTAAAAATTGGGCAGTTCTTAGACATTAAACTAAAGATGATACACACTGGCTATTTTAGTATGTAAGAAGATGTTTGACGTCATTATTAGGGCTCTGCAAATTAAAACTGCAGTGAGCCACTATGTCACATGAGGCCGGCAGAATGTACATAAATGCACGATGAGGGTGCTGGAGATGAGGACCCAACACCCTCACATACTGCTGGGAATGGAAACCACGTAGCTTTTGGAGAGCACTTTGGCAGTTTCTCATCAACTTAAACATATCCTTACCAGGTGATCCCAGCAATCCCTAGGTACTCACCCCAGAGAAGTGCAAACTAAGTCTACACCAAGATTTGCACACAAATACTCAAAACAGCATTGTTCACAATAGTCATAAAGTGGAGACCACCAAATGTCCACCAACTTGCTCATGGACACACAAAATTGTAGTTATTTATACAATGGAATACTATTCAGCAGGAAAAAAGGAACAAAGTATTGCTACATGATATGGCATGGAGAACATTAAGCTAAGTAAAAGAAATGAGACGAAAAAGAATACAGTACAGTGGTACCTTGATTCATGAATGCTTTTGTTTGCAGACAGTTTGGTTCATAAACAGAAGCATTTGGCAAAATTTTGTTTTTATTTGCAAACTCTGCATCAGGTGACAAACACAACCACAGCCATCTTTTACACACAAACACAAATGTGGCCATCTTTTCAAAAACCAAAGAACAAATTAAGTTCGTGAACTGAGGCATCACTGTACATAACAAATGATATACAAAAGGTCCATGAATGGCAGAGTTATTGTCAGAAAGTGGGTCTCTGGTCTTGGTGTGGGAGTAGCAGTACGGTTGGACTGCAAATGGTCCTGAAGGAATTAGGGAGGTATAAAAATATTCTCAAACAAGTGTGTGTGATAGTCACACAATTCTATTGATTTACTAAAAAAAAAGAAAAAAAGAAATATATACGTACAATGAGTGTTTCATTGTTTTTTGTTTTGTGGCACTATGGATGGAACCCAGGGCCTCAAGCATGCTAGACCGACCCACATTCCCAGCCCTTGGGTGGACTTTTTGATATGTAAAATATCGTTGAACAAAACTGCCAAACTCTCCCTGCAAAAAAGCCTTTGCTACAAAGCAAATAAGGCCCACTAGGCTGGTTCCTCAGATTCTGCACTTTGTATGTGTCGTACAGAATTGTTCCTATGAGCCAGATGTGGAGTCAGTTAAACATGCTGTGATTATTTGTGTGAGAAGACGTGAGTCCAATCTCTCCAGGTGTTAACCTCTAGCAGTCACAGCTCTGCACTCTGACTATCTGTGGAGAGACGCTGCCACCGCACTGGTCAGTTTGGAGTGGCCGACTGGAGGTAAGCAGGCATGTGGGGTGACAGGGACATCTTCTGGGGGTTTACGTAGTAAAGGAACAGGGACTGCGAAGAAATGGGCTCGGGTTCGCCTCCTGCCGTGAAACTGCAAAAAAGATCACCCTTGCAGTACAAGAAGTCATCTTCCGATACTTCCAGTGTTCAGTGCAAAGATGTCTCCCATAAGAGATGGGTGGGAAGGCAAAGGTCGCGTCATTATGACGTCAGGTCAGAGTGAGGTCTGTCTGGCTGAACTATAATGGCCACTTGGAAATCCTGTAACTGTGGTGTGAAAATGGTAACACATGAATTTTTCTCTACAGGACTTGCTCTTTGATCCAAGATCAACAAATGCATCAACAAAGAGAACTCGGGGAAAGTCTTTCTCCTGACACCACAAGAATGTTTTCCTCATCACACAATCATGTGGACTATGTCTTAAAAATGCACACATCAGAGACACACACCATTAATCCCAAAGATGGCGAGCCAACCTGGTCAAGGAAACCTGAAAGTGCTATTCCATCTTTAGTGTGTACAAATCATAAATGTGTCAGCAGTTGTACCAGAGCAGAGGAACGGCACAGCCCAGGGGGACCATTAACTCTGCAACCTGGGGTCAAGAACTTCCTGGAAATGTGCAGCACGCAACTTATGCAACTGCACACAGCATCCCGGGATTAGCCAAATCATAAAAACAAAATTCAGAGGCAAGGTCTTTCAGAGGAAATACGTGCAAATGAGAGAGATGAAAAAATGAGGGTAAGACCCTAAAGGCAGGCTTCTGAAAACCCCAATTAAGGAGTTTTACACAGGAAATGGGGGGGGGCCCACACACCAAGCCTGACCTGGATGACAATTTTCAGAGCCTTCACTTTCTGGTCCGAGGCCCAGGCGTCCTTGAGCGACTGGTTGAGCTCCTCTATTCGGTTCACATAATCCTGCTGAGTCAAGTTCAACAGCTCCTTTTGGGATCCCTGGGAGTGGAAGGCAGAAGGTGAGAGCACTGAAGGAAAAGGAAAAACAGTGTCTAGCATACTTGTAGTCCCAGCTCGGTCACGGGTACAGGGGTACTGGCCACACTTCGGGCTCTAAAGGTCCCCGTCTCCCCTCCATGATGGATAGTTCCGTCCTGCACTCAGAGGCTCTGTGGGTTTCCGCCCGAGAGAGCAGGACAGGGGCTGAGAGGCTGGCCCTGGGGACAAGTCAGGCCCAGGTCACCACTGCTCGCCACATGGGAAGGCACTGTCCCCATAAGCTCCCCGTAAACGGGCTCACATCAGTCAGCATGCGGGGACTGGGGCTGACCGTGCACCCTGCACAGCACCAGAGGTGCAAAACACAAAGACAACTGCTTGCTCAGGCAAAACGATGCTCTTTCTGTGCGGCAGAGCTTACGGTACTGAATGGGAGGCCATTAGCATGGACTAAGGTAGCTGCTTGTGAGGACCCGGGCATGGTGGCCCCCGCCCGCACTCCCTGCCAGAGCCCAGGCGTTGGGGGCATCTGCTGGTGTTCTCACCACTCCTGGTGCTACACACAGGGAGGGAGCGGTGCCAAGCCCTTTCCAAATGCACAGGGCATGGAATCCAAAGGCAAGAGTCTTTAATGGGTCACCTGACCTGTGAGGTAGGGACTTCCCGGCCTCTTGGCAGGAAAGGAGCCAGGTGGCCAGTTTGGTGAATGGACTATGAGCAGTGTCGTGTGTCCCTTCTGGCTGAGGCAGTGAAAACCCACCCTCTCTTCAGCCCTAGCTGTGACAACAGCGGAAGCCAAGTGCTGAGATGGCAGCACTGTGGGACAGTGCTGTGTCTGTGCCTGCACCAAGTGTGCACCAAGAGCGAGAAATAAACCTTTGCTACATGAAACTACTGACATGCAGGGGCTTAGTCCTTACTACAGCAGGACCTAGCCTCATCCTCACTGATAACCTGCTAACTGGGGAGCCCTGGGCAGCTGCCGCTGTGAGCAGGGAGGAGCAAGGAAGCCAGTCTGCAGGAGAAAAACGAAGAACTAGAAAGGGAATCAGCACCAAGAGGCTACATGGAACTGAGGGACAGCATTCCGAGCCATGTTCCTGGGTGACTGCAGTTCCTGGCGCCAGGCCATCCTGGCCTGGGGTTCAGGGAGAGGCTGCTCACTCCTTCCCACCTCAGATACCCAAAGGCTACAGAGCTCTGGTGGAGGCCCTCAGCAAACTCCTGCCTAATGAGCTGAGGACATGCAGACTGAGGCTCTCCACACTGTGATTTAAAATGTGCCATGTCTGCCTTGGCAGGTAAGCTGTAGGACTACTGGACCCTGCTGAGCACCCAACAGCTGTCCCAGAGCTGGGAGGGCCCTGCACCTCCCAGCAGACGGAGCCATGGCAACTGCCGTCAAATGGCCCTTCCTAGTTTTCATAACCCCTCATTTAACCCATGCAACTGTCCTTTATCCCATTTTTTAAATGATACTAGAGATTGAACCAAGGGACTTCATGCTGAGCTATACCCTCAGTTTTTTGTGTTTGGGTTTTCTGTTTTGCTCTTTTGAGAGAGGGTCTTGCTAAATTTCCCAGGCTGGGCTCAAACTTGTGATCTTCCTGCCTCAGCCTCCCAGAGTGCTGGGTGTACAGAGTACAGCCTGTGCCCGCTCCCAGCTCCTTATCTTATTTTATAAATGAAGAAATAAAGGTACAGAACAGGTAAACACTCAAGGCCACCCTTATAGTAGGAGTCCAGCCATGGCCACTACTCAGGGTAACTATGGTGACAGCAGCTAACACATGCAGAGCATGTGCGCACACTGGGTGTTGTGCTAAGCCCTTCATATGAGTTAACTCACTGAACCCATGACAGTCCTATGGCTAGATGCTGTTCATCCCCACATTACAGATAAATAAACTGAGGCCCAGAGCAGTGAGACTCCTGGTCCAAAGTCAAAAAATTTCTAAATGGCGGATCTGGGATTCAAACCCAGGCAGTGTGGCCAGAGTATGACGTGGCACCCACTACGGCACACTGTCTCTCGAAAGGACACTGCAGAGGACACGCATCACCTGTGTCCAAGGCCAGCACATGGTCCCATTTCCGTGTGCATCAGGACAGGGAGGGCTGTGGCCTCCCCAGCAGCCTGCCCTGCCCGGTGCGAGACTGTGGGCCCACAGCTGTCAGCTGGAATTCTTCCAAAGGATCTAGAAATCTCCAAGTACCCTTGGGGACACACCATCTTGTGTCACACGTTTCCAAAGCACAGGCAGGCTGATTAGCAGACTCCTGAGGGCCTCGGCAGCCAGCGGACTGCAAACCCTGCAGCAGGGCGCAGCGCGTGTGCTCCATCCGGCTGCTTCCTAGGAGGGGACTCCAGCTGGTTCTCACTGTCTGACACTGTCCCCAGACAACCGGGCTTGTTCAGGCACCACAGCGACAAAAGATGCCTCCAGAAAACCCACCCAAAGCAGCTTCCCATGTGCTCAGCCAAATGTGCTCTGCTGCGGGCATTTTCCCCGGACTGAGCCAGAGCCTCAGGAGGCCAAAGCAGTGCAGCCCGAGATGTCTGCCCCAGCAGATGGAGTGGAAAGGCCCCAGCCTGCACTCAGCATGACACCTGCTCACCTCCTCAAAGTCGTCCAACTCCTCCAACCGCGTCCGGACCTTCTCTGACATCGCGGAAGGGGCAGTCCCAGCTCTGCCTAGAGAGAGTGGATTTCTGTCACAGACAAGGCTTTTGTCTTGTACGAATACGTATCCCTCACAGAAAGCATTTTTCCTTCTACTTCTCATCATGAAGAAAGATGGAGGAGACCGTTTTATTACAGAAAACTCAGATTTTTGCATGTTATTTCCTTGCGTGACCTAAGTTCCACCAGAAACATCTCCCACGTGGCAGCTGTCCTGGGGACATGCTGGGCCACCTAGAAAAGGTGAATTGCCACATGCGATATTTATGAGATTGCACTCTATGTCTGTTTACTCATAAAGAAAGGCAGTCATGATAAGGATGCTGAAAGTCCAGCCACTTCATTGTTTGTCATGAACAAAGGCCCTCTCAGCCTGACACTCAGTGCAGAACTGTAGTGCCTTCACACTCCCTTCCAGTAGCAAAACAACGGCCTCACTGTATACCCACAGGTGGACGGGGACTTCAAAGCCCTCTCTTCAAGCAAACAGGACTTTCTGTGCTTCCTTCCAGCATCTGTCAACATACTCTGGCTATCAGCAGGGACCAGTGGGCAGAAAGGAAGGTTTTCAGCCTGTGGGCCAGCCACAGGGCAAGATGACCTGTCCAGAATCCTTTCCCCATCTGCAGGGGAGTTCCGCTCTTGCTCTGAGGTCCATGTGGCTCACAGTGACTGCTTGCTCCTATCAAACTGCTGGATGTCCCCAAAGGTTTGGTGCTCACTCCACAGTGCTATTGGGAGATAGCTGGGCCTCCTGGAAGGAAGGTAGGCCACTGGCGGTGTCCTCAAGGGGGACAGCAGAAGATCTCACTCCTTCCTATTCTCTTTGCTTCCTGCCACCCTGAGATGAACAGGCCCCTTCCACCGTTTGCCCACCATGACATACTGTGCCACCAAAGGCCCAAAGAATAGATCCAGTGACTATGGACTGAACCCTCTGAAACTGTGAACCAAAATACATCTTTCCAGGGCAGGGGATTTAGCTCAGTGGTTCCGCTGCCTGCCTTGCAAGCGCAAGGTCCCTGAGTTCGATCCTCGGTACCGAAAAAACCAAAACAAAACTGTCGGGAGCAATGCTACATAAATCAGAATTCCATAGCTGGGCTGTAGGCAGGAGAACTAGGCTAACCAAATGATTTTTCCCTAAAATTATGAAGCATTGCTCCCAACACAAAACAAATACATCTTTCCTCCTTTTAAAGTGATTCTCTCAGGCACTTTGTCACAGTGATGGTAGGCTGACTAATACACAAACCTATTCTTTGGAACTGAAGTTTTTTTCTGTCAAAGCACTAATTTCAGCTCTGGTGCAGACGCAGAAGTTGATCAGCTCATCGCATGGTGAAATAATGTAATATCAGCAAGTACAACAGTAATGAAGATTCCAAATAATTTGCCTATTTTACTTTGTTTCTATATTTTTCTTCCTCTTGAAATATAACACATATGGAAAGAAGATACACATACATTTTAACAGGTGGTTATAAAACCTTTGTAACCACCACTTGGTCATTCATAGTCTTGTTCTCATTCACCATAACTTTGGTTCATGAAGTTTACCCATGATCTGGTGCACAGCTGTGGCTAACTCACTTTCTCCCTGCTTAGTATTTTCCATCGTGTTAATACCAAAATTTACTTCTTTATCCTATTGTCAATGTAAATGTGGGTTGTTTCCTGTTTGGGTTGTTAAAATGTCACTATGCCTCTGGGTTCACAAATACATAAATCTCTGTAGGGCAGTCCTTTATATCAACCACTTAAGGATGAGCTCAAATGCAGATTCTGATCCAGCAGGTCTGGGGCAGGGCCTAAGAGTCTATACAGTATTACTTTCTTTCCTCCTCGCCCCTCATACTAGAGATTGAACCCAAGGATTCACACCTTGGGCAAGTACCCCACCATTGAACTATATCCCCAATTCTTTCGGAGACAGTGTCTTGCTAAATTGCCCAGGCTCACCTTGGACTTTCGATCTCCCTGCTTCAGCCCCCTAAATAGCTTGGATTACACCTGATGAAAGTCTATTTTCTACTGAACTCCTGGTTGAAGCCAATGCTGCTGATCCTTGGGCCATAATTTTAAAATATGGACCTAGGGCAGTGGTTGGAAAACTGTTTTTGGAAAAAGCCTGACGCAGAGTATTTTAGGTTTTGCAAATCATACACTTTGTTACAAATACTCAGCTCTGTCACTGTAGCACAAAACCAGCCACAGACAAATACATAAACTTACTAGGGCTATGGTTTAATAAAACTATAGCTGGGCCAGGTAGCACACACTTACAATCCCTGCTACTTCAACGACTGAAGTAGGAGGATCCCAAGTTCAAAGCCAGCCTGGGCAATTCAGTGAGGCCATGTCCCAAGAATAAAAAGAACAAAAAGGATGGGAATATAGCTCAGTGGTAGATCAATCCACAGTTCTGGAATTACTGGAGCAAGGGGTTGGCCCATTTTTGGGGAGGAGGTACTAGGGACTGAACCCAGGACCCTTCACACTGAGCTACATTCCCAGGTCTTTTTGAGACAAGGTTTTACTAAATTGCCTAAGCTGGGATTGAATTTGCAATCCTCCTGTCTCAGGCTCTCAAGAGTGTTGGGATTACAACCACTGTCTTAATCCCTTCACACTGTTACACCATAACCTAAGTAGTTTATAAACAGAAACCAATTTCTCACAGTTCTAGAACCAGGGAAATTCAAAACCAAGGCCCCAGCAGATTCAGCATGTGGAGCGGACCCGCTGTCTGCCTCAGAGATGGCTCCTTGTTGCTGTGTTCCGCACAGTGGAAGGCAGGAGCGAGGTCCCTTGGGCAGCTTTCATAAGGGGACTAATTCCACTCATGAGGACCTCCCCTGCCCGTCGTGACCTCCCTGTTGGCCTGAAGACCCCATCTCCTGACCTTAGGAGCTGGGATTTTAACCTGAGTGTCGGGGGACACAAGCATCAGAGCACAGTGCCGTCTTCAGATTCTACGGACATTGCAAAGCGCGTTACCAGTGCTTGCTGCCTACATTCCCCCCGGCAGGGCGTGAGTCTTCCAGTGCTCTACATCCTCACCGTGCTCAGGGTCCTCCATCCGGCTCTCTCCCAACTGGTGGGATGGCATGACTGGGGCATCAAAGTGACACCTATGGCAAAGCTACGTGCCCTTGGTCACCACTGTGCTGCCTCAGCCTGCAGGGGTTGAGGGGAAGCTGTGGCGGGCATGGGGCTGCAGTGCCACATCAGCCACCTGCACAAGGACCCCAGGCGTAGTCATTTGACCTGGCAGTGCGGCTGCTGCTGGTTGCTCCACCTGGCAGCTTCAAGAAAGAAACTCCAGAGTTCCATCCTGCGAGAGTATCTCAACAAGCGGGCACTGGCGTTCTATGGTTCTGTAAAAGTTCCCCATGGGCCCCTGCCACACAGCATGCTGGGCCACCCTGGTCCAGACCCTGGACTGGGAGTCTCCTGAGCACAGACTAGTGAGTGTGTGTCCCCTGCACCAGCACATCTGAACTCTCACAAGAGACAGCGACCAGCGACGTAAGGCCATGGAAAGGGCAGCTCTCTGAAGCAGGATGGGAGCTAGCAGGGGAGGTTCTCCGGCTCCCCCATGCTAGCATCAAGCTGCAGGCTTATCTTTTGGCCCTGGTAACCTCCTGCTCTCTTTCTATTCTGTCCAAGTATGAATTTGAATCCTGCATTACACAAACTTTCTCTCTGAAAAGTTGTATTCAAGGTAGTGGCATGATTTTTTCATCAAAACAACAAAAATCCTATCTTACCTTTTTCAGATCCCATGAAAAGATTCTGCAAAGACAAAGAATTCATTAGTATTTTTAAAATCCAAGGCAACACAGCCACTGTTTTCCAGCAAAGCTGTTTGCTTATCCAAATGAAAGACTGAAATACATATTCAAAGGAGGAAAATGGGGGTCACGAACAAACGCTGGAGATTCAAATCCTATTCAATTCAGGCAATAAATACCAAAAATTCTGCTGAGAGAACAGAATCATCTAAGAGAACTGTTTTTTAACTTCTCTGGATCGTGGCTCCTCACCCTCTACAGTCCTGCCACGTTGGGCTGGATAAGCTTTTGTGGCTGTTCTGTGCACAGCAGGATGTTTCACAGTATCTCCAGCCTCCAGCCCAGCCCCCACCCCCGGTGCCAGGAACACCTGCACGGCTGTGACCACCAAAGACATCTGGAGACATTTCCAAATGACCCTGGGGGATAACATTGCTCCGGGTTGAGTAAGTGAGCCCTGAATTAAGTTCGTGCATTCAGAGAAAATGTCAACAGCCCAGCAACTGTGCTGTCCTCCTGCTGCAGCCCCTGATGAGACGATGGAGCCACGTCTCACCTCTCTGCCTTCCTTGCACCAGGTTGCCCACAACTACCCTCAAGACAGTCTAACTGTGAGTGCTGAAGGGACTCCAGGAGGCTGCCTTACATGGGGGGGGCACACTGCTTTTTCTTTCCTTCTTCTGTCAACTCGGCCATGGGCAGCACTAAATACAGCACAGCAGCAAGTCGGAAAGAGCCAGAACCTCAATGGCCTTGGCGCTTCTGCTCCAGCCCCACCATAGACTTCTCCTTAGAGTAAGGAGATCCACACGTTACTCTCGCTGCCATCATTAGCGAGGACCTGGTTCTAAGCAACCGGACCTAACCCTAACTAGCACCAGCGTTAACCTGCTTACCGGGATGGGCCCCACCCTCCTGACCTTTCTGGAACTTGAACAGCTTGCCAGGTGCAGGGTGAGCCTCCTACTTCACGTGCACGCCCCCTAAACCACCTACTTTAGCTGGAGGGCACCCAAGAAAGAGCAAGCTTCTAGCTCTTGGAGGAAAACTAGCAACAGGGGCTCACATGGCAGCACCCTGTCCTGGGTGGGGGCTCTCCGATTTGCACCTCAACCTCCCCAACAGAGGCCCCGCCTCCCCAATTCTTTCTCTCAGCTGCGCCATATCCTTGATTCTCAACTTTTTTTTCAAGATACCAACCAGCACATTTTCTCCCGATGACACTGACACTTGAAGAGACACTGAGAGCCCAGGAGCTGGACAATGGGACAGCAGAAATCACCCCCAGCTCTGAGGTGGCCCTGGAACTCACAATGGACAGCTTTTCCGTAGTTGTGTACCGGGCAAGGATCTCTCCCCGCTTGTTGGCCCAAGGCTCAAAATCCGATCCTACGATGGGGTTGTCATCTCTGTCGCGTTTCTTTCTGGAACTCTCCTAAGGAGAGCAGGACATCTTCAGAGCCTATTTTAGTCTTTAAAGATAAAGTGTGAGCAGAAACTAGAGAGTCCCTGACTGCTGAAGAAAGTCAATCTGTCTAAAGGTTTATCATTATTATTATTATTATTATGAAGAAACAACTTTTCAGGTTGTTTCATCACAAATGACCAAGAAATGTACCAAAACTGCTGACACTCTTTAAGAATCAAGGCAAGGCAACTGAAAAGGTCATTTTTAAAGTATCTGAATGGTGGAGTTTGAATGATTGCTAACATCCGGGCTACAGGAACTAGGAAGCCTCCACGTTGTTGGCAGGAGCACAGACCAGTAAGGCCTCAATAGAGGACAGTCTGGTGGTGGCATTCAAGACGTTCCTACACACGGTCTCCCGCAGCGATGGGCTTCAAGACACTCCTGCAGAGTCCCTCACCTACACGCACCGAGACGTGTGTGCATGTAGGAGACCTGGGCGCTGCTGCTGACACCAGCAACACCCACGGCCGTCCAGTGCCTATCAGCACCAGAAGGGGGAAGCAGACCATTTCACACCCATCCTTTAGAATACAGCACAGCCATTCAAAGCACCAAGGCAGTTCCACTCATGACTGACAGGGAAAGTTCTCCAGGACATGTCTGGTAAAAGTGAACCTGCAGCAAACAGTCCAGTTTATGTCTGACACACTCCGGCTGACTTGAACCACTGGTGGCACAGAATGACTGTTCCACTGGGCAGCTTGTACCACTGGCAATACAAATGCATCTAATCATTTTCATCAGTCGTTTTACTAATAAAAAGTTTACAAATGGTCTGAATCTAGTCAGTTTCTTGAACCTGAATAACTACTGCCCAAATAAAATATCAACACTCTTCATACCAATTAAAGATTATAATAATTTAAAAAATTAACTCACTAAATTAAAAGAAATTTATATTCATGAGCAGCTTCTTGATAATTAATTCTCTGAATTTTAACACGGAAACCTTACAAGTCTTGTATCACAATTTCCTATAGCACTTTAATGTTTTCCTTAAGGGACTGTAATCTGATGAATCTGATCTGCTAAGTCAATGGCTTTCTGTACATCACTGTAGTCAAGGACCCCCTAAGAGGCAGTACAGGCCGCCGGATGGGCAGTCATGCATGCACCACTGGTGGTTCAGCCAGCAGGAATGACCGAATTTAAACCACAGCTTCCCAGCAGCAAGGGTACGCATTGCAGCCCTGTCGTGAATGTGTTAGAAAACAAGTCAACGAGATCCTGCATGGTATGAAGGTTGAGAGCGCCGACTCTAAAGCTCAAGTGGCTGGGACTGAATCTCCACTCAGTGGGGACTCCACCTACCTGTCCCTCCAAGCATGAGGGCTGTAATTTCTCTCACAGGGTAGCACAAGAATCCAACAGGAAATGTATTCCGAAAGACTCCTACCCCAAAGTAAGCTGATGGATTCTTTTTTATTACTATTATTTTTTGGTACTGGGGATCAAACTCGGGACCTTGCACTTGTGAGGCAGGCAGCGGAACCAATGAACTAAATCCTCAGCCCATTCTAACTTTTATTGTTATTTTTGTTAGTGTTTACATAGGAGTAGAAATGGAACTGTCAGAAGTCACTGTCCTAAACATCTATGGGAACGCTTGGCTCTGGAAGCAAATCCAGCGTCCTGACAGCACGGATGACCTCAGGGTGGAGGATGTAATGCAGGGAGTGGGGTTACAGGCCTGCATCTGCAGCGTGTAACTACATCAAAAGTAAGCAAATGCCTATGCAATTATTTAAAAAGAATGAATTATAAAAAAGAAATTAGGGGGCCGGGGATTTAGCTCAGTGCTTTCACTGCCTGCTGCGCAAGCACAAGGACCCGAGTTCTATCCCTGGTACCAAAAAAAAAAACAAAAAATGAAATTAGGGTTGGGAGTGGAGCTCAGTGGTACAACACCTGCCTAGCATAGGCAAGGCCCTGCATTCCATCCCTAGCACAGCAAAAAAAGTTTTTAAAAAGAATAAATTTTAGGGTCGGGGATTTACCTCAATGGTTCTGCTTCCTGCCTCGTAAGCTCGAGGTACCGAGTTCGATCCCCGGTATAAAAAAAAAAAAAGAATAAATTTTAACATGCCCCCCCTTCAAAAAAAAAAAAAAGAATAAGAAAAAGGAAAGAGAGTTCCCATATCTCAAGCAGCCTCTTGCTGCCCAACACTTTCCACTTTAAGCAGAACCCCGTGGATGTCTGGGTGACCTGAATTGTTGGAACCAGACGGCCCGGGTGGTGACCAGAATGCTGTTCACTGCACAAGCTCAGCAGCAGCGAGGTGCAGAAATCCAGCCACCCTGAACCCAACCCCGAGTGGCTGACAGGCCCTGGAGCACTTTACCGTGGCTACTGCCATAGCTGCGGGGTCAGCAGTGGCTGCAAACATGGAAAGCGGGTCAGTTCCATCGAGGACACTGCTCAGCGGGTCTGCCACAGAGCTGGAAGAGGACGACGACGTGGAAGAGGTGCTTCCTTTCCGGCTTACTTTCTTTGTCTTTGATTCTGTGACCTGTGGGGAGAATGTGTGGCAGTACAGCAGAGGTCTCCTATGCCTTCCCCAGTGGGACAGCCAGCCAGGTCCCGTCCTTCCCTTATGGAAGCTGGACCAGCCTTTCGCTTGTAGCAGAGGCTTATCAATCTGCGGGGGATGCTTATTTTTGGTGACAAGTTGACAAGACTCAGAACCACAGCTGTCAAGGAAAAGAAGGCAGGAAGTTAGGGTTAGCAAGGCTGTTGGGCAGAGGAGGCACCAGAACCTTGGGTTTCCGGGAAAGGAAATTAACCCAGAACACAACCCACTCTAAACAGAAAAGCAAAGCTTTCACTTAACAAACCAGAAACTATCAACTTACCTTCTACCTGCAGATCACTAGCCAGGAATGGCCAACCCTCTACCTGGCAGATTTCCATTCTAACCAATCAAATATTTTCTTGGTCTGGTTTCCAAGAATAGCTCATAACAGTTTTCCCATCATGTGTCCTCGCTGGACCCTGAACCTAGTTCGGTCTGCAGCTGCTGCTCAGCTGAATCACTGAAGGCTCCAACAAACTCACTAAGATGTTAACGCATCTAAGTTCATCTTTTAACAGATGGAAGAAGTAGGGGGGTATGATTTAGGTGACAATAACGATACATGTGCATCTCATTTGGTCTGTGGCCCCGGGAATTCTTGGGTGACAGGAGCATCTCCTGCCCTAAGGAGAAGACTCTCGTGGTCATCAGGAAGACCAAGCCATGATGAGTCGCTGGGAACTTCTGGCCTCCCCATCCTCCAGGGTGGGGAGAGTCGACTGCAGGACTGGAAAAGCCCTTGTGAAGATTCCTAAAAGCCAGGCTTTGGAAGCTGCTGGGCTGGTGAACAGGACACAGCGAGGAAAGGCAGGGGGCGCTAGAGGGCAGGGGAGCTTCCCCACACCTCACCGAGTGCCCTACCCTGTGTAATGTCCTTTACAACAAACTGGGAAACTTCTACAAAGCGCTTCCCTGAGGGCTGTGAACTGTCCTGGAAAAGGAACTGAACCCCAGTACACAGCAGCAGGTCAGAGGCACGGGCCACAACCCGCCTGGAGTCTGAGAAGCCAGGGGTCATGGGGCTGAGCCTCAGGCTGGGGGTCGGATGCAACCTGCAGGCAAAGTGTCAGAATTAAGTGAACTAGGGGACCCCTGGCTGGGGTCGGTCTGGGGGTCACACAAGTGCTGCGTGTGGACTGTGAGCCGAAAGGACAACACCGGGAGGCCGGGCTCTAAGCGTCAGAACTGAACTGAAGGACACCCAGGAGTCAGGAGGTTCAAGGGTCGCTGAGGGTGCAGGCAAAGCCCACAGCTGGGAGCAGAAGTGTTGAGAGCTTAGAAACCAAACTGACCTCTTCCTTTTCAGTGACAGAAATCCTTGGGTTCCGTCCAGCCAAGACCAGCCACCCTCAACATGTGTTAGTGTGGGGTTTTTATTTATTTTTATTTTTTTGCAGTATTAGGGATTGAACCTAGGGCCATCACACTGAGCTACATCCCCCACCCTTTAAAAAAATTTTAACTTTTGGCCAGGGATTTAGCTCAGTGGTTCCACTGCCTGCTTTGCAAGCTCCAGGTCCCGAGTTCGATCCCTGGTACCAAAAAAAAAAAATTTTAACTTCTGAAACAGGGACTCATTTATGTTGCTGAACTGCCCAGGCTGCGCTCAAACGGGAACCTTCCTCCCTCAGCCTCCCAGAGCGCTAGGGTTACAGGCGTGTGCCACCGTGCCTGGTTAGCAGCAGTATTCCTGGGTCTCTGTATCCAAGGTTCCACAAACATATGCAATACAACAACTGTGCTTGTACTGAACATGTAGACCCCTTTTCTCATCGTTATTCCCTAAATAATACAGTATGGGACCGGGGATTTAGCTCAGTGGTTCCACTGCCTGTCTCGAAAGCACAAGGTCCCAAGTTCAATCCCCGGTACCCCAAAAATAAATAAATAAATGAAAAATAATACAGTATGACCACTACTGAGAGCCATGTGCGTTGCATCCGGTATAAGCGATCCAGAGGTGACACGGTGCACAGGAGGACGTGCACAGGATGTGGCATTTGTAGGAGGGATGAGAGCACCGCGGAGTCAGCATCACAGAGGCCTAAGGACTCCACAGCGCTCCTGGAACCAAGCTTCCATGATTCCCAGGGACAAGGGACAACTGTCCTTGCTAATAACAATGCTAACCCAGCAGACAGGGGCCAGGCAGGGCTCTGGCCTGCTTTTGTTTTTTGTTTTTGAGACACAGCATCTAAGATGCTACTCAGAACGGTGCCCTCCTCTGGTAACTAAAGTGATCCTTCATATTCCAAGTAAAAAAATGAAGAAGCATGATAGACTCTGCTGACACGTCCACGTCAGGAACGGTCACTCCTCCCCAGGATGACCTCATTATTAAGAGAAGAGAAGGGGAAGCGCAAGGACCAGAGTTCGATTCCTGGTACCCTCTCCCCCCCCAAAAAAAAAGAGAAGGGAAGGGGGTGACAACAGTGATGGTAAACTGAAAGAGGACCACAGCAAGCTGCTGGGCAGAAATCTGCAACACCAGTTGCCACTGGCACAACAGAAAAGAGCTAAGGATGCGGCTGTCGTTCCTCAGGAAAGACCCAGGCTGTGTCCGGCCACAGCTCTGGACACCCACAGTGGACTCACCGTGATGGGCTTCAGGGGGTGGTAGTCCCCAAACTCCAGCGGCGCGGCCTCCAGCCGGCACGACAAAAGCTCAGCCTTGTAGTTCCTGTGCCTGGAGTGCCTGCAACAGACAGCAAACAGATGTGGGGCAGGTGACCAGGGCCCAAAACACGCAAGGCCTCCGCCCGGGCGTCGCTGAGGGTCAAGAGTTTAGAGTAGAACCACACTGCTCCCAAGACCGAGAAACACTGTGTTTTACAAGAATTTATTCTGATCTGTTTGAGGTATCAGGCCAGGCCCAGAACCCAGGGATTCGGGAAGCTGACTCCAGCTGCTCCCCCAGGGCCCTTGCTGGTTCTTGGCATGGGACAGGAGTCCAGGCCAGCAGAGAGTGGCTGTAGAGAGGCAGGGCAGCCACAGTGCTTGGAGGAAATCTCATGGCGCTGGACGGACACACACACCAGGTTTCAAGGCAGCCAGGGGCCGGCTATGTGGCACCTGCCCGAAATGCCCGCAACCCCTGCACTCTGGGAGGCTGAGGCAGGAGCACTGCAGGTTCAGCGCCAGCCTGGGCAACTTAAAAGAACCTGCCTCAAAAAAGTGCATTTTTTTTAATAATGATATAGTTAAGTTTATTGAATTCACAGAAATAATTTCTCAGATCTATGTTGTATAATGAAATGCTAGATTGACCTATGGGGGAAATCCTTACATCGATAGGGAAAAAAATGCATTTGTCAACAGGGGAGGGGCAGGGCATGTAGCCTGGTGCAAAAGGTACTAAGTTCAACTCCCAATACTGAAAGAAAAAAAGACAGCCAGAGCTTGAAGGAAGAGCTGCGGAAGAGGAAGGAACACAGAGAAAAGGCAAGGCAGGCCTGCCTGCAAAGGAGTGAGCAAGAAGCCAAGGGAGATGAAGGGCAGAGAGAGCTGGTCATCAGCTCAGGGGGCTCAGCGAGGGGAAGGATTCCTGAGATGGAAAATCGAGGGAGGAAGTGGCCAGATGCAGGCTGGAGAGGAAGGCGGGAAGGCACAGTGAAGAATCTCGAACACATGGGGGCTCAGAGCAAAGGCCCCACACACAGACTGGGAAGCCCGAAGTGGGGGAGAGAAAGTCGGGCAGAAGCAGCATCTGAAGGGGAAGCGGCGGAAATGTTCCCCAAAAGCTCCTCCCCTGGTACCTGGTCACGCAGCTTCCCTTCCAGTGAGGTGAGTGTGGCCAGCACTGCTCCTGATGTCTGCTCTTGGCAACTTCCCACCCTCTGACCACCACCTGGCCCTTGGCTGTCCATTCTGCTTAACCTCACTGTATCTGCAGTGGGGCTCAATCTCTCTCCCCCACTGCAAAACTCCAGGGTTCTAGTCTACCTAAATGCAGCCTGCTTGATGTTATTTTGTTTTCTTGAAGTACTGGAGATAGAAGCTCAGGCTTTTGTCCTGCGCTATAGCTCCCGCCTTTTTTAAATTTTCATTTAGAGACAGGGTCTTACTAAATTGCCCAGCCTGGGCTTGAACTTGAGATCCTTCTGTCCCAGCCTCCCTGGGTGTGGGGATTATAGGTATGCTGCCTGGTAGTTTTTAAACAAACAGCATGAATAGTTTTTTCTTTAACAAAGGACATGGGTATTTCCTATTTGTAAAACATCCCATTCCAGAAAATAAAGCTCTTCTGGGCATGTGGGACAAGCCCGGTTCCCACTGTATGGAAAAAAAGATTCAAAATCACAGGAACTGTCTTGTCCTCCAAGTCCCTGGAATTCACTCCCTGCCCCATTCAGACTCACAATTTCATTAACACCTCTGAAATACTAGCCCCCCAAATCTAACTGTGCCCTGCAACTGATCAGCTTTACCCAATATCTCCCACCAACCCAGAGCTGCAGCAATTAATTTCTGCCCCTTTCTAAGTAAATTTGGCTTTGAGCATAGAGCAGGAGGGGAGAGCCTGCTTCACAGCCCACTTCTGCTTTTCTTAAGGGAAAATGCCTAACATACTGCCTACTCCTTCCAGATCATCTTTCCGAGGTACACACCGTCTTCACCTTGCAAAGCACCGCAAAGGAAAGCACCTGTGCAATGTTCGTCCAGCCCCTTTTCCAACTGAGGGTGCTATCAGCCAATCCCTGACTCCTACAACAAATAAAAGCCAGGTGTGTGGCACACCCCTGTAATCCCAGCACTTGGGGGGAGGCCTGCTTGGGCTACACAGTAAGTTCAAAGACCAACCTGGGCTACATAGTGAGAACCTGATTCAAAAAATAAATTTAAAAGAAGTCAAACCCCGAGGGACAGACACATTTGAATAATAGACATCAACAGTCAAGATGGAGCTTCAAACATCAAATTACACTTCTCTTTCAAATCACTCTTTATTAGTTGTAAAGAAAATAGAACTTTGAAAGGCTAATAGAATGAGTAGGAAATTTAATCTGATCTGAAATTCAGTTGCAAACACATCATATCATAATCATAAATCAACAGCTGAAACAATTTGCTACATCAGAATAGTCCATGTGCAACAATCGCATAACAGTAACAGTTATTACACACTTAATACGCACCAGACCCACTCCCTCTTTTCTCTCACTTGGCCCTGCGGGGTGGGTACCACGACTGCACCCACTTTTCAGATGGAAAAGCAGGGACTGGTACTCTTGGTAACTTGTCAAAGTTAAGAGCAAGTAACAGGGACAGATTCAATAATTCTGTAGATTATAAATCATCTTAAGAACTTTAAAAACGAAGCAACTGATCCCCGGTACCAAAAAAAAAAAGAAAAAAGAAAGAAAAACTAAGCAACTGTCTACTTTTCTTAAAAAGATCAAGCTCTAGAATGAGTGTTTTAAAAGTTGGGAATTTTGGGGGGACTGCTTTATTAAAAAAAAAAAGCTACAGAAAACGTTTTCACTGTCTGAATGCCCATGGGCAATCACAGTATTTTGATTTTCTACCACTTCTCTCATTATTTCCTCAAATCTTTTCCCCGGTTCTCAGCATTTTCCATGTCAGAGAGACTTAAACGCTGTCCTGTAGAAAGCCCTGGGTCTTTGGGAAGGCGAAACGGCGCCCTCTAGCGGGCATTCTCTCCAAAAGCCTGACTTTGTTTCTCAGCCTATACAGCTGACAGCTGATAAAAATCCCTCACAACCTTCTGCAGCAAGGCAGCGGCTCCTTTGCTCCTTTGCAGCTGCCACTGAAAAAAGGCTATCGTTTCACACCTCCACTGCTGGCTGGGTCTAGCCCTGGACTACTTGTGTGGCCCCCACACATCAGAAAGCAAGGTGGTTTAAATACACATCACTTTTTTTGTTTCGTTGGTACCAGGGATCGAACTCGGGACCTTGAGGTTGCGAGGCAGGTGGTGGAACCACTGAGCTAAATCCCCGGCCCCTTAAATACTGACAACTCGATTTAGAATTATTTGCTTTTGGTAATACAGATACAGAAGATTGGATTTACCAAAGTACTTTCCTTATACCATAAATACCTAAATCCACTACATGCTCCGTGCTGGGTATTTTAATTCTCAAGTGTTTTTCTTAGTTACTGATCACATAATCTGACCACAAATCTTTCATCCCACAATCATATTATTCCCACTCCCCCCAACTTTGCAAGTTATGTAGAAATTGACTGCAAAGGGTGGTACTTTCACATGCGTTATTCCAAGGGACTAAGCAGGAAATGGGATTGCGGTCTACGGCAATGGGGGCGAACCTACAGCAAGTGTGTTGTTTTTAAGACAAAAGATGTTAATGTACAAGTCGTTTTTTCTAAACTAAATCCTCAGTATTCAGTTTTAACTGCAGAGTTGGCACTTTTCAATAAATAAGTGAGTTTGGAGTTACAATCACTACAGGATATCTGCTATCTTGAGCCAGGCCAACATGCATCAAGAGGTAACAAAATGTGGGTAAAATAAGGCACTCTGGGGGAGACCCATGACAATGTACCGGGGCTCTGGGGGCCCTGCAACCACAGATAGCCACAATTTAGAAAGGAGGCCCAGCTAACAATGACTACAATCCTAGGCTCTGGCTTCCAAACCTCAGCTCACCTGGGGCCTGCATGCCTTAAACGCTTATCTCTCGTGAAATGCTTTTCCCTAAGTGAAAATGGAGTCCTGAGATACACAGTGCCTGGCACAAAACAGGGGCTTGAGGAGCATAAGTCTAAGGACAGAAACACTTCTCCTGGGACTCCTTGGTTTCCTCAACCTTCAGAGATATCAGCCAGCACCTACAAACACCGTCCTAGGCACAGGAAAGACAAGGATAGCTAAGAGCAACAAGTTAGTGGCGAACTGACACTCGGACATGCCAGCCTGAGAAATACTCAAAGCCCAGCCACATTAGGAACTATGGAAACCCTTGACCCCAGGGTTACAGCATCTCTGTGATTTAAACTTAAAATACTGAAGGTAAGAAAGTACTGAGATGCAGAAAAAAGACAGCATCTCCCTGGATTCTCCCATTACAAATTCCAGATGAGTTCAGGGAAACCAGCCATTGCTCAGGATCTGGGCATTTCCGTCCTACTAACCCCAGATAGGTGCAGGTTCTGCCTTTGATGAAGCCAGCACGACCAGGTCTCAGGGCGCAGCGACGCCCAGCGGTTTCCAGTGTTGATTTAGTGTCTAGGGCTCTCCGAAGAGTCAGCAAGTGAAGCGGGCGAGGGTGGGAGGAGACTGTTATAAAGCATGAAACCAGAAGGCTGTGCCAGGTGTTCTTAAGGTCTAGGGCTGTGCACTCTTCCACTTGCTCACCCGTCATACAAGGGAAGCTACTTCACACCATTGCAAGAGAAACGTCAGGAGATGAGCTCCCTTTTCTGCGATGCACGGAGGTCTCAGATCCCAGAGAATCCCACCATCACGATCCCAACTTGCTTGAGTTCGAACACCTCGTATCATCCACTGGAAACTGGTACGAGGGTCCCGTACCTCCTGCCTACTTCAGCCACTCGAGCCCAGGAGGCCTGTCCCCCTGGCACACGCCATTCCTTCCGATTTGCTTAACTCCTACGCCTCCTGTAAGACCCAGTTTAAGACGCCTCCTCCCTGAAGCCGTCCGCAGCCCCAAGTGACCTGATTGCTCCCGCCTCTGGCCTAGTCGGACCTCCTCTCGATGGCCCTCTCCTTCCCTATACCATTCCGTGAGCTGAAGAGCTCAGGGAAACAGCAGCCCGAGTCATCCAGATGCAGCAGCGCCCCGGGGACCTACGCCAACTCCTCCCAGGAAAGCGAAAGGCTGGGAACGGGTCTTGCTTAGGAGATGAGTGGGGAGCGGGAAGGAGGACCGAGAACGGGACTGCCCCGGACTGGCTTCAGGCTGGACAGCGGGAGCCACAGGGGAGTCTGTGGTCCGAAAAACTCCGGACGGGGTGGGAGGCGCTAAACCTCATCAGGCAAGACAGTCTACAATCGTAGAGACAGACCCCGAGACAGCTAAAGGCAGCCCTCCCCAAAGCCCACCGACCCTCTCTCGCTTACCAGGGGAAGACCGCCATCTTCCCAGTCACATGACCGCCGGTGCTGGGCCGCCAGCCCCTTTTCTCCTCCCTCTCCCCGCCCCTCCCCGCCTTCGCCCGCCCCCGATTGTGAAGGCAGCCTCCGCCCCCCAGAGTCCAGGACGCCTTCAGTTGGCGCCATACTGTGGCAGCTCCCCGCTTCGCAGTTTCCGAACTCGGACATCCCCCGACGCCATGATGGTGAAGGGCAGCTCCCTGCTTCGCAGTTCCCGAACTCGGTCAACCGCTGGCGCCATGATGAAGGGCAGCTCTCCGCCCCGCGGTGCCCAAACTCAGTCATTTTCCTGCGCCATGATGGGGAAGGGCAGCTCCCCACCCGGCCGAGTCCAGGTGACGCCTTCCGCCGGCGCCACGATTTTGAATGGCAGGGCCCCACCCCGCAGTCCCCCGATGGCGCCATAATTGTGCAGGGCAGCTCTCCGCTCTGCCGAGCCAGTGCGACCCGATCAGTAGACGCCAAGCGTCTGAAGGGCAACTCTTCGCCCCGCCGTCCCCAGCCGGCACCCTCCGTAGGCGCCACGATTCTGAAGAGCAGTTCTCCGCCCCGTAAAACTTGGACCCCCATCCTTCGCAAGCGCCATGATGGTGAAGGGCAGCTCTTCACTTCGCCAAGCTCAAGCGACGCCTTCTGTCGGCCCCAAGATGGTAAAAGTCATCTTTCCGCCCCTTCCAGCCCAGGCGACGCCTTCTGCTGGCGCCACCATTAGGAAGGGCAACTCTCTGCCTCGCGGTGCCCGGACCCGGTCTTCCGCCAGGGCCATGATTGTCAAGGGCAGCTCTCCGCACCGCAGAGCCCAGGCGACGCCTTCGGCCGGCGTCACAGTTGTGAACGACAGTTTCCCCCCCTCAAATCCCAGGCAACGTCTCTCGCCGGCCACAAACTCGTGAACGACAGAGGTCTTTTCAGTAGTCTCCGCACAGCGCCTTTCGCTGGCGCCATGATGATGAAGGGCAGCTATTCGCCCCCTGAAGCCGAGGCGATCCCCTTGGACGCCTTGTTTGTGGAGGGCAAGCGTCAGCTCGGCGGTTGCCGCGCAGTGCCTTCGCCCTGCACCATGACTGAGGGCCAGCCCTCCGCCCCTTAGGGAGGAGGTGACGTATTGCACGCACGCCATGTTTGTGAAGGGCAGGAGTCTCCTCCCCGGTATCTGCGCAGCTCCCTTCCTCGCCGCCGTGCTTCGAGGGGCAGTTGACGGTTCTATGGGGTCGAATCGTCACGGCGCGGGGCAGCTGCCTCTCCTCCGCCCTCCGGGGACGGAAGAGAAAGCGTTCTTGTCCTCGGGTATATTCCTATTCCACCAAAGCTTCCGCGTCTTGTGTACAAGACAGGTAATGCTAGCAGCCCTCAAGCAGGCTGGGAAATGTGCGGGAAGGGTGGATGAGGGGAAGCAAACCTATGATTTGGGCGGCAGTGCCATCAGTCCTTAAGAAACGAGCATGGAGGGCCACTGAGAAACACCAGTGAGGGGAGGCCGCCAAATGTGCGGGAAGGTAGTACCAAGTTTTAAATTTAAATTTATTTTTAACATATACAGAAAAGGATAGACGTGATTTTTCCCTTCTGAACAGCTGATTGAACAAGGATTTCACTGCGGCTTACCCCAAGGCCACTGGGGTTTTGTTTGTTGCTTTGCTGTACTGGACATTGAACCCAGGGCCTTTGCACTGAGCTGTAACATCCCCAGCCTTTTTTGAAATGTTGGGACAGGGTCTTGCTAAAGTGGCTAAATTGCCCCTGCTGGGCTCCAACTTGCCATCCTCCTGCTTCAGCCTCCCCAGAGTGCTGGGATTACAAACGGCCTGTGCCCTGTGCCCAGCTATCTGTTGTTTTTACCATTCTTTTCAGAACCTACACAGATGCCCCATGGGCCCTTACACATAAAGCATTCCAAATCTCTATTTGCTTATGCTGTTACAACTTTTCATTCACAGATGGTGACCTCCCTGAGCTCGTGGGACAGTGATCTATGACTCCAAACAGAATGGGTCCTTCAGTCTTCGGCACGGACGCAATAGCTTCTGGTTGTTTCCACCGCTCCTAACGTATGAAGGGGAGCAGAGGGAGAGAGAGGCTCTTTCCACAGCCCTGCAGATGACTCACGGAGCAGACTTTTCCTGTCCTCACTACGGGAGGACCGCAAGGCGTACAAGCTCAGTGTTAGGAGCTTGGTGCCACCTCCAGCCTCAGCGCTCTGCCCTCCCTCCTCCGCCTGCTTTGTGCACTGTCCAGCTGTCACAAGCAGACACTGCTCCCTTCCCAGCAGCCCCGCTCAGGCCAACTCGAATGCTGTGCCCAGCACTGATACAGGCTACACATGAAGTACAGAATACAGCTTTTGGGGGGCTTTTATAAAAGTTTATTTTGCCATTTACCTAGAAGCAAAACTAGTGAAAATTAAAGTATAAAAATAAATACAATTTACATTAATGGACATTCCACACAAAGTAAAAATAAGAATAAAAGTAATGTATATAAATAAAACTTAAGAAACAAAACAGTCTGGCACTTTTATGAGAAAAACTTGTGAACATTTAAAAAATATGGAAAACACTTGCTTTTACTCTCAAACACACTCAGATTTCTCATTCTTAATCTAAAAACTAGTTTTACCTTTTTCCAAAACATACTATTTGTTTTATCCAATTTGCATATATACGCACAAAACTGTTAGCATCTATTCTTCTTACTGGAGAGACCCACAATGATAGGAATAAGCTGTATCCTGAGTTTTCCGAATGATAAAGCACAGTTCATCGTTAAAAGGATAATTTTATATACTTGGCCTGTAAATAAAAAATTGGTAACTTAAGACTTTTTTGACTTAATTTTATGGTTCACTCAATAACTGATACATCTCAATAAAAATTTATATGCAGAATAGGTTATTTTCCATCTATAGCTGCATGTAAATGTTAAATCTTAAATGGAACTTAAAATTGGAGAAAATAATCTTTATCTCCATATTCTCAAAAGGGTAATAATATATATAAGCTGCATTTTCAAAATACCAGTATCTCTAAAATTCGTTACAAAGATTGAATATACACAGTCCCGATCTTGTGAGCACAGAACCCTTGTTAGAAATGGTATGATAAATTAACAGTGACACGTTCTCTTGGTTACATTTGATAGGTGTTACTTTTACCAAGTATGTTACTGATTAAAAACCTTAAATGTCTGTGCCTTGAAGTAATGCTGTATTGCTAACTAGGCAATATTACTATCCTATTTGAAATCTGGATTTAGTATTCTAGATAGCCCTTTATTCTCTCCTAAGTCAAGCATGCTAGAGAAGGTAGACTGTGAAGAAATAAAATATACAACTAAAAATACAATTGCTTGCAACGAGTCATTCCTGCTTTACAGAAATGGAGTAACAATGCATTCTTGGATGCTACATACAGGAAGATTGTGCTGTCTTCTCCAGAGCTGTTCCCCTCCACAAATGACTGTAACAGTACTCAGTAACATACATGAAACCTGGCATTTCTGTAAGACAGCGCTGACAGGAATGTGTGCTTCTGACCAAAAGTGACCCACAGCTACCTTTGCCTAGATTTGACGAGGACCACAATCCAAGGGTTTATCTCATGGTTACTGTGTTAGGTCAGCATGGTGTTTAAATTTATAAAACCAGGGAAACAGGTCTGCAGTGATTTCCCTTTGAACAGGACCATATCTAATTTCTTTTTCAAATCCAATCAATATGCAGAGATGAATAAAATTCATGTTGTAGAACTTGTTTAGAATTTGTCATATCTTTCCAATATTTTGTAAAACTTAAGCCAGATGTCATTTAAGTTTACAAAAAGTCTCTCTAGACAACTAGGCATGTAAAATACACTTATGTTTGACTAGGTTAAGCAAAGAGATGAACACTAATTTGTCTTTATCCAAACCTGATACAGGAAAATGGGAGAGTGGGCCAGGAACTAACCAGACTGACCAAATTATGCAAAGAATTGCTCGGCCCTTTGATTCAGTCACTTTGCCTGTGTAAACAGTCCAGGGTTAAATTAAAAGTCTATTAGGTAGGGAAATTATATGGATAATAATCCTCCCCCCCTTATCCTAATGAATGTTGTCTTCTTAAATTGTCGCAACATTTGGCCGCCTTCTTTGGATTCTTCCTGCATATACTCCTAAAAGAGCAAAGTTAATATTATTCCTCAACGTTAGTTTTTCTATGATACCATTTAATAAGTGCTTACTATTTACCAGGCATTGGGCTGGCTATATACATTATCACAATCCTGAATATCTCGTCTTACAGGGAGAAAATGTTACCACCATTTTAAGGATAACTGAAACTAGAGACTAGCAAGGCACTTACAGCTAGAAGCAGAAACTCTGAGAACCCAGTTCCATCAGATTTGTTATTTTACTTATCCTGTTTTGCATAATTACCTCCTACCTTGCTCTAAATTGATGGTTTCTGAATTTCTTTTTTCTTTTTTTTTTTTTGGTACCAGGGATCAAACTCGGGACCTTGAGCTTGACAGGCAGGCAGTGAAACCACTGAGCTAAATCCCTGGCCGCCTGAATTTCATTATAAACTCTCTAGCCAAGAACAAACAACAAATAAGAAAATATGTTTCAAAACATAACACCAGAGACTGAAATTGAGTTTGCAAAAACTAATTTTAGATGCTTTGTAGCATAAACACTAGAATTCTGCTTCAGTCTTGAGTATGATATCTTAACAAAAAAATTACTTAATAAAGGGTTTAATCCCTATGTAGATCAAATCCAAGTATAATTCCAGATCTATCCAAAACATAAACCAAGACATTAAAAATCTAAACAGGAAAAAATAATTTTTTTCAAGAGCAACTATAGATTGCTGTGTTCATAGTTACCATTTTAGTCAGTATGCCCAACTGTAAGTTTATGTAAAACACTAAAATTCTTTAGTCTCATTTAATTGTCTAAATAAGCACTTGTTATTAATAAAACTTTACCAAAAAACAATTTTTGAATTTGTATAGCTATATATTAACTGTACATGTTTATTCAAGCGTTAATTTCATTTGTATTAATAATTACATTGCAGTGAGTTAAACCTCAGTAGTTCTACACTTGATCTTAGCCAAAAGGCTGAGAAGCAATAAGCCTCAGTAGTTCTAAACCTGAACTTCAATGTCTGCCTGTCCTGTCCACCCTCTATACTGTTCGAATGACTCAACAGAAGTAGTAGTAATTGCAACTTTGCTTGTAAGTTCACAAGTGACAAATAGTGGAGATGAAATGCATGAGAAAAGAACATGATGGAGCAGTCACTGTGGCAAACTGATAACTAAGCAAAACGATACTCATTCCACAGTGGTTTTCCAAGCAGCTAAGATTCATCATAATATATAAAATACTAACAGGGGAAAACTGAAAGTGTCTTAAAGCTTCACAGAACTTTGCAAGCAACAGATCTGGAGTGTAGTCCGAGTTCTCTAAATGGTTCTCTCTCTGACTACCTGATTCTGCCAGCCTCTGGGGTACGCAGGCTCCACAGCCACGTGAGCTCCTTTAAAACGAGTCCCCCGACTGTCTCGCAATGATTTTAAAAGAGGACCTTTGACATTATCTCCTCTTGCATGCGCTCTCTCTTTCTCTATATTTATTCACTATATAATTATATTCACTATATATCTGCAAGAGGCCAGTAATTACTTCAGTTATTATCAATAACTCATGAACAAATATGATAACATGAAAAAAATACATTGCTTGCTCCCGCCTAACCTGGAGGAAATCATTTAAAATTTGACTGTTTACTAATGGGAAGATTATAAGTATTTAACAGCTTAATCTTCATTGCCTGGTAATTAATTTACCTGTCTTTTCAATGTTTAAAAAGCAGTAGAGTTAAAATGCAGTATTTTTAAATGATCACATAATTTAAGTGAGCTTAAAGTGTCTTAAAGAGATCTAAAAAATATTAAAGCATTTGGTTAGGAGCAAATATTAGCTCAACACTGAATTTGTCTTCTTGCCACCATAAATAATTTTAAAATAGTTTTCAGTTTAGCCCTTAAATAATCCTCAAGTTATGAGAGTTCAAGATTCTCACTGATCCCCTCCCACCTCGCATATTGTGGACAGAGGCAGAAATTCTTCATGCCATTAGGTGCAGATACAAATATTTCTGGGCAATACACTGCCCCATGCGGAACAAACCTGCATAGATTCAGGCATCAGATGATCATTAACTTTTACTCATTTATAAAAAGGTTTTCTGAATTAAGCCTGGATAATTCTACAGAGTTTTCAGAATAAAAAATACAGTGTTTGGGGCCGGGGATTTAGCTCAGTGGTTCCACCGCCTGGCTTGCAAGCACAAGGTCCCAAGTTTGATCCCTGGTACCAAAAAAAAAAAAAAAAAACCAGTGTTTTTCCATGGAATTATTACAGAAACAAGATTGCAGCACCATTTTATTGAGATTTTCTTACTGCCACAAAATGGTAGCACAAAAGATGGCGAATGGGAATGTCCAGGAATATGCCAGCATTATGGTGGCAAGGAAAGACAACATGCTCCGGTCACGCAGCCTGCGTTAGGGCAGCTATGCCCGTCTCTCTAGTGAATGGGCTTCAGGGATTCATTCTCTACACACCTGAGACAGGCGCTCTGCTAGGCACTCTGCTCTGGGAAGGCTTCTGTCTATTCTGCACAACCCCCTTCATTGATGTCTTAGGGGTTCTAATTGAATATAAAAAAATTAATAAGTCACTTGCATTAAAATCTAAATGTTCAACGTTCAATGAAAGCAACCACGCTGCATCAACTGCTCAAAGTGTAAATAAGCTTGAAAAGTCTGTAAGTCTCATGCATGCACACACTAAGGAAAACTGCACTTAGGTTTCCGCAAGAGGTGGTAACCATGGCTCATACTTGGGTGAAGAATCCCCTCGGTGATACTAAACGTATTCTATGGATATTGAAAAACAGTTAATGAATAACATGGTATGAAATGAAAAGTAAAAACATGCCAACGTAAGAGGATAACTAAAGTACATTACACAACAGTACACAGAGGTTATCTTTGAAGACAAAACTTTTAAGAAAGCTACATATGATCTTTATCACATTTGAAAAAGTTATCCTCTATATTAAGAACACTATAATTCTATTTCTTCCTCAAAGCTAATCTTGAATTTTGACTATTTTTAAATACCCATGTGTGTGGCGGTCTTACCCTTGTCTACTAAGTAGCCTATGAACAGGTGCATTCTGTCCTTGGTTTGGCTGAAGGACTCTGTTGACAAATTAAATAAAACAATTAATTAAAAAGAATAAGTTCTGTTTTTCTCATTTCTTTCAATGGATGAAAGATGGTGACAGTGAGGTTGGAAGTTGTCTAGGCAATGATATGACCCACGTTACCACAAAGCCAAGCAGACTGGTGACAGCACATCAATGCTGCTTATGTTTTGGTCACAAACAGCCCACTCTTTGAGTTTTTACCAGGAAAGAGATATCCAACATATGCATTAACTCTTGAGCTTTTGTATCATTTACGTACAGGCCTCACAAAAGCCAACTTTTCAAACACACGACAGAAAAAAATATCACTCATTTTATAAGAGAAGGAAACATGTCAGAAATACTGTTAGTTTTCTAAGGGTTTTAAATAAGTACCAAAGATGCCCTTGACTGTGGACATGTCTAGCTCAAGTTTCTTTTTTTTTTTTGGTACCGGGGATCAAACTTGGGACCTTGCGCTTGCAAGGTACGCGGCAGTGCCACTGAGCTAAATCCCCAACCCTGACCCCATAGCTCAAATTTCTGCCAGGAAGAGCATGCCCCACACAGCACTGCCCAGCAGTGGACATGCGGTATTAGTCCCGAGCCGGAGACGCTGTAGCTCAGCGAGCAGTGCCTTACCGATATAAAGGAGAACAATATTAACGAAGGGGAAGCTTGGGATTTATAAAATTTCCTTTGGGGAAAAAAGGGCCTCTCGCTGAGACGAAGTGGTTTTTCTCACCTTGTTTCAGAAGGACTTTGTTTAACCAGAAATTTCTTATTTGGCATTCTCATTTCAGCAACTCTACCAAATTATAAAAATAAGGACATAAGTAATCCATTTAGAGAAGGAGAAAAAAGTGCTTCAAATGTGATAAACATGACAGAAAAAAATCATTTAGAAACTACTGTACTACTGAAAGGCCTGTGCTAAGCATATTAAAGACTACTTTCAAGCAAGTAGAGTTTCAAAAGTTAGTAGAAAACATTTCCTATCATGTTTCTCTTCCCAGGAAACCTTTCGGATATCAGAAGAAGAATGTATTTAAATGGTATAAAAACAAACACTGAATATAAAGATTAACTTCTTAAGATTTGAATATCAATTATAGAAGTTGAATGTTGACAAATTAAGTCATGGGTACATTTATCAGAAGATGAAATCAGACTTTAACCACTGATTTTAATGATCCTATATAAAAAAGGGGATTTCTATCAGTTCAACTGCAGAAAAGTGAACTGTTCTTTATTTCTAATTTAAATATATACACGTTCGCTTCGGCAGCACATGTACTTAAAAAAAGAACTTAAATATATAAACAGGCCAACAGATGACTAAAATTAATTGGATGATGACAATGTGACATGATACCAAAACAACTTACTTCATGTATTTCTTCCTATCGAGAGACTTCTGTGTTGCAGCTGAAAGAGCCACACGTGGACTTTTCATTTTATCCTTTGAAGTATAAAAGTAACATAACTCCACTAGGACCAGTAATACCACTTTGTCATAATATAGGGTGATCGATTACAAACTGCACTTTATCGACATTTTTTAACTTTAACTTAGTTTTTCTTTGTAATCGAAGCAGCCTGATTCTAAAAATTAATGTTTTCCCCAATGAAATAACATAAATTCTGCTTGTTTTTCTTAGGCCAACCACACTCAGATCGTCAGTTCAAACCACAAACTGCCAACAGTCTGATTTACAGGATATCAAATTAACGTGGAGCCTATTTTCTAACTTTGATTTCAAAAACAGCAAAATCCCACTGGGTATGGCGGAGCACAACTGTAATCCCAGCACTTTGGAGGCTGAGGCAGGAGGATCACTGTTAGTTTGAGGCCACCCTCAAACTACATAGCAAGACCCTGTCTCAAAAACAAAACAAAACAAAACAAACAAAAAAACAGCAAAATCCCTAGGACAGTTTTAAACAAATTCAGTAAGAAGCAGCTGATGGTTTTCTGAAAGCCACCCAAGCAAAACATTCAAGGCTTCAACTCCAAAATCCAATTCAAATGTATAATTCTTTCATTATGTACTTCTTTTATATCTGTCTATAGATATGAATGTTGCTAGTGATCCTGGGAATTTCCTGTGATCAAGAATTATCAGAAGGATGCTGAAGTCAGCAAAAATGACATTCAGCATCAATTATCCTAAAGCCAGAAGAACCGTCTTCATTAGAAGATCACATACCATTTGCCTGAGCATTTTCTCTTTTCGAACTTCTCGATCATGCTGCAGAATAGACATTCTTTCAGCTGCATCCATTACAAAGAATATGTCATGAATACCATACAGGGCAGCGCGCAACTATGTACAAGAGAAGAAAATATTGTCCATGTTTAAAAGATGAATTTAGAGTTCAGTAATACAACCTATGCTATGTCTGCTTCTTTTATTTTAAGAAAAGGCCAAAGTAGTTGTCACTGAAACCTATTTTTAGCAAGTAAATGAAAAGAGAAGCACAACATCTCCATGGCTGGGGCTCTCATGGTTAGTGGGACAAATCGGCTGCCAGGACAGGTGCATTTACCTGTGCCAACACTCTCTCCTGAAGGGACGCATCTTGGGCTGAGACAATGCCTCTCTTTAATGGCGCTTCTGACTGAAAGCTTCTTATGAATTCCATAGTATCCTGAAAAAAGAAATGCTTCTTCAAAATATGTTTCTACAAAGGTTTAGGATCACTGAGTTCCCTTTTGTTCTTTTTCTCAGTCAGTCCAAAATGAGTAAGAACATAAATAAAACTATCACTGATTATATGACAAACAGCACTCACATTCAAATAAGACCAAAAATATAAAACGATTCCATTTACACATTGTTTTTAAATTAGGAGGTAGCAGTCTGCAGCTAGCTGGGATTGCTACGTCCCGGCTCCCCGAGACTGAGATTCTGTGCTCCCCACGGCAGGGAGCTTTCTCAGGCCGCTTGAGGGGCTCTAGGGCCGCAGCCAAACGCCAGGGCCCAGGGCCGTGCAGAATGGCAGTGGCCTCTGTACCTACATCCTTTCCATCCCGGGAGCCTCCTGTCTTGATTAGACGGTCCCAGATAAGATTCTCACTGCACACCCCACCATTAGTTCACATGCGGTATCCAGGACTGAAATGCCTATCTGTGAAAGCAACTATACGTTTTGCTAAATGCCGAATTTGGAGAAGAAACAGAAGAATCTCTTTGCAAGGCTTTTGTAGATAAAGTGGGGAGAGGGGTTAAGGGAGGGGAGGGAGATGAGAAAAAAAAGCAGCAAAATATCTCATGTACAGGTGCAAATTCCCTACGATGAATGTTATCATTACGTATATCTAAAACGTACCAGTAAAATAAAAAGTAAAACAAAAAAAAAGAAGGGCCAGGGATTTAGCTCAGTGGTTCCGGCGCCTGCCTCGCAAGCGCAAGGTCCTGAGTTCGATCCCCGGTACCGAAAAAAAGAAGACAGTGATGATGATGCTGAACCTACTACTGAATTTAGATTTGTGCCCAGTGGTAAATCAGCCCTGGCGGAAATGTCTACTGAGATGTGTGGATGCCAGGCCTTGCATCCAGATCCTGAGGACGAAGACTCAGATGATTATGGTGGCGAAGAGCATGATGTGGAAGCACATGGACAAGGACGGGGGACAGCCCCACATTTCATACCTGTGATGAAGGGCTATCCCGTTTAACAGCAGAATGGGCTATCCCATCTAACACTGGAGAGATCAGAAAGCAAGCTCTCAGTCTGTCAGCGGCCAGTGTAACATGGCCGGGGTCCAGACAGAAGATTCGGTAAGAGATGAAGACGACACGCAGGCAGACAGTTTGAGGATGCAGATGTTGATCACTGAAAGTGATTTTGCTGCTTGTAACTGTAGGGAAGAACTTGTGGCCTCTTCTACTGTGCAGTGGGGTTGATGAAAGTCTTTTTCCTTCTCCAAAATTCACTTAAACCAGAACTTTCTTGACACAAACTACACTGAGACAGCGAGTTGTCAGCAGAAGAAACTTGACCTTTATTCACAGAGATGAATTAACTTAACCGAGGAGGACTGGTAGTCCACCGTACACCCCACACTTCTGTGGCTGGCGTCCCTCTGGGGAGGCCTAATCCCAACCTTCACTGTATGTACCCTGTGTGAGCGAGCGGGCTTCGAACTGAAAGGCACAGGAGCTCGGCAGTGCAGGGAGATGGGTGGGAAAGAGAGAGGCTAAAGCTGAGAGGCCCCTACTCCTCAAAATGCCCTCAGCGCTGAAAGGAAGGACAAGGACCACAGAGAAATTACAGCCAGTGCTCATTCCCCACAGGGGCAAAAGCCTTTTCCTGGTGTGAGGCCAAGATGAATTCAGGCTTCTCCTCACAGCATCTTTGAAGAGATTCCTGCCACAGACCCGAGCACTGCCACCGTGCTTCTGCCTGGCTGATAAACAGATCCTTTCCCTTCCACCCCTCACGCTAGTTTTCTGTCAGAGCAAGTAAAACTGGGAGGAAGTCCTCATAGCACTTCAAATGATAACTGTTTTGTCTTTGTAGGAGCTCAACAAACAAATCTGTTTTCTTTATTACTGGGCTGTCATTCTTGACCAAAACCATGGAGAATTTTTTTTTTAAAGGCTGGCAAAAAAAAAAAAGAGTAATAATCACTTAAAAATACCTACATTACAGTGACTAAAAAAAACTTTTTTGGTACCAGGGATCGAACTCGGGTCCTTGCGCTTGAACAGCAGGCGGCAAAACCACTGAGCTAAATCCCCAGCCTAAAAAAAAACTTTTGATCTAAGTTCTGAATTAATGGCAGCTCAGCTGTCAGAAACTAAGATGAGAAGAACTGAGGAGAACTGAGAGAAACTACGATGGAAGTGAAATACAGAGGGTTTACAGTGACCTTACTTTTACAGTTTGTCGAAGCTGCTTCAGCTTATCGGTCTGCATAAGCCTACGAATAAGAAATCCCTTTGCCACGGCAGTTATTTTGTTAAATTTCACTTGTACTTCCGGATCAAAAACCTAAGAGAAATAAGACAGACACAATGTTTTAAGAACATGAACATTACACCCAAGTCTTTTCTGTTTTCACAGTCCTGGGGACTGAACCCAGGGCCTCACACGTACTAGGCAGGCCCCCCAGCTCTGAGCTACATTCCCAACCCTCAGTTATTTTTTCTTAATCTATTACAATGAACTGAATTCCTCACTCTGTACGTGCTCTGTGTACTCTCGTCTGTACCAAAAGCTAAGCTGCTTGATGTATGTCCCAAACACTGACGCTTATTTGTACGGCCTAAAATAATGTAGCTCTTTAAAAAACAGAGATTGGTATTTAGACAGATGACGTATAACACTGACGCATATGACAGACGTATATTTGCTCACCTGAGTGCATCGAGGTTGGCCCCTGCCAAAGGGCCTTGGTACTGAGAGTTTGGTCGCGCCACTAGTTGATCCCCAAAGGTAGAAGGGTGCTTCATTTGCTGAACCACAGCTATACTGTAGGGCGGAATTTGTGAAACCTAGAGAAATACACATCCTCGGTCAGGATTACTGACCCTGAAACTGATCCGCATGCGGCCTTAAAATATTTACAGCTGTTAGGCTTATACACGGATGGATCTTTTCAACACAAACAGCATCTCGAGATGCTGTGGAGATAAACAGCGGCAGGGACCGGGGAATTAGAGGTAACTGAAGAGCACCTGCTGCATGAATGAGCAGACGGGCCCCAAGCCAGCCCGACATTTCCCTTGCTGCGGTAGTCTCGTCTCAGAAACACCTGCTCCCGGGGCTTTGATCTACTGTACGATTTCATTGTTACTGGTTACTAAGCAGCTGGCAAATAGCACTGGGATGGCCATGGAATTAAAGAAGGAAGTTATGATTTTCAAGTGTTAAAAATAAAATATCTTCCTGTAAAATACTTTTTTTTCAAATAAAAAGGATTTTTCCATATTTACCAGAATTTTGGGAATTTGAAGTGCGGAATGAGTCCACTTGAGACAGCACTGTTTCCAACAAACCAGAGTCACTTATTTTTCTCCATTCTAATTCTACCGTATGGTTGATGTTCAATTCAGAGACTTCTGTTGTAATCACCTTCTTCTCTTTTAATATTTTCTCCTGTTCTTCTATTTCCTGTAGATTAACAGTTTATTATAACATGCTAGATCTTTTATTTAGTTATATCCCAAATGGTGTAATTTTAGACTTAGTCAAAAGTATATATGGCCAGGGATTTAGCTCAGTGGTTTCACCACCTGCTGCTCAAGCGCAAGGATCCGAGTTCGATCCCCAGTAGCAAAAAAACAACAAAAAAAAGTATATATAATTGACAGCAAGTTATTGTTTATTTCAAGTTTTCCTCTCTCAAAAATATGACAACTTATTTCATTGATTTTAAAAAATGATACAGGGCAGGTGTGGTGCCGCATGCCTGTAATACCAGCACTTGGGAGGCTAAGGCAGGAGGATCTCTGTGAGTTCCAGGTCAGCCTGAACTATATAGCAAGACCCTGTCTCAAAAAAAAATTTTTTAAATGATACAATAACCATAATAATTTTAAAACAAGTATCCTTCTTATGATATTGTGCTTACAGATTGTGTATTTCAGCATCTATAACACACTTTTTAAAAATATAAGTTTTGATCCAGGTGTGGTAGCACACACCTGTGGTATCCCAGCATTTGGGAGGCTGAGGCAGGAGAATCGCTGTGAGTTTGAGGCCAGCCTGAGCTACACAGTGAGTTTAAGACCAGCCTGAATTACAGAGAGAGACCCTGTCTCAAAAAAACCCAAAAAAGAAATATATATATATATATATATATATATATATATATATATGTTTATGTTTTGAATTAAGGATTAAAGTATCCTTTTCAAAAATTACTTTTAGATACAGATCTAAATATTAGACCCCATTTTGACAATAAAAATGCTAGCTATGTATCAAAACTAATGATCCCTTTAGATTAGGATCCACAGGAATTCTAAGTATTTTAGACGTAGCCCAAATCCTTAGGTATCTGTAACTTTCACTCACCAGCCCTATCCTCCGTAACTGCTCACCTTCTGCAATCTTTCCTGTTCCCTTTCCTGCTCAGCTATGAGTAGGGATAACTGCTGGGCGTGCTGTTCTTCTAGTCTCTTCCGCATTTCTTCAAAAGCTAACATCTTGCTTTTTAGTAGCTCCTCACCTTCTAAAAAGAAATAAGACCCTTCAATTAAGAGAATGCACTACCTATTTGACTGATGTTTAATACCATCAACTTAATTTACGCTTCTGACCAGAGTGTTCCTGGGTGTGACATCGTTCAAGCAAGACATAGCCAGGTCGCCAGCCTGAACCACACTGTTGTCTGCTTTTTTCATGTTCGCTAAGACAGAAACCCTTGCATCTCATCACCTGTCCCAACTCATTTAACGGATCCCATCATGATACAGCCTGATCAACCGAGACTAAATGTTGAAGCCAGAGTCTCCAGAATCTAATAAACTCCAAAATATGGTCCTGCACCTCACCACTATTCATTCTTTTGGCCCCTGCCCTTCTCCAGGATCTCAGGTTTTGTACCTTGCAATTTTGTTTTGGGGGGGACCGGGGATCAAACTCGGGACCTTGCGCTTGTGAGGCAGGCGGCGGAACCAGTGAGCTAAATCCCCGGCCCTGCTTTGTTTTGATTCTAAAGGAAATGATACTTTGATGGTATAAAGCTCTCTTAGCTTGAGGAGGTTCCAAACCAGACTGTGTATTAACATTCCATATATTTTGGTTATTAACTTAAAATGAAATCAGTATGACTATGCAAGCTAACTAAACAGAAAATATGGGAACACTGAAATGCTGAAATACCAAACAGATGTAGACACAGCAAGTATTTATTCACAGATCAAAGAATCATCCTCTCCAAATATATGGTCAGTGATTTTTACTGAAGACAAGTGTATTATGGGCTACTGTCTTATTGCTATAATCTTCCCATAATTTGTTCCTAAGTACATTTTGTTGAGCTACAACATTTCCATTTGCATCTTTTCTGTATGGTTTTTCTAAGGCAAGAGGAGCTGGCAAAGTAGCAGAATTATAACCTTCAAAAAAGGAAAGAGCCCCTACTAGTAACCACTCAACTGACAGGAATCCATTAGGCTCTATTTTAAGAACTCTGCAAATGGAGATACGCACCAAGTGGCCCAGCAGGCTATGGGCAGGGCCAAGCATGTTGCACTGTCTCCCCTGCCCATTTGAACAGCTACCAGGTGGCCTCCATAACTGACCTCATCCTGCATGCTTATCACAGCACTGCCAGAACTGCCGCAAAGCTGGTTTGTGTTCTGCTAGTCAGAGGCAGCTTTTAGTCATGCTGAGCTGTTCATTTGGAGAATCCACGTTGGCTTCCCAGACACCAGCTGGTTTCATTAGAGCTCTTACAAAGGTAGTTTTAAACATTCTGCCCTAACCTTGTTTTTTCTCAGAAGTCTTAACAACTTAATTTACTCGATGTATGTCCTCTTTATCAGCAATGAAGAATTCCAAACCAGGACGACAAAGGAAAGAACAATGAAGAAGAAATACATCCATTAACAGCCTCTTAATATAAATCTGGATGCAACAGAAATATGAAATAATGTTGATCAACAAAGAAGCACTCTTTAAACACCACTCTAAGCCTTATTTGTGATGTGTACTCTAGTAATTTAGTATTAACGTGTTTACTGAAGGGCCAACTACACATGAAGATCTGATTTCACATGAAAGTGCGCAGTGGCAAACACATTAGAAACCATACCCAAAAGAAGACATCATGACCACACACTGAGCTAAAACCATGATGTTTCACAGAATTGTTTCTTCTAGTCATTAATGTTTTCTATAATTCCAAGTGTACTATGAAAGCTTCATTATTTATATAAGAAAAATCATTTCCAAAAGCCTAACACATGGCAATAAATCATAGCTAATTATATATTTTTCGGTAAGATAAATGAAAGTGCCCTCATGAACAGGAGATAAAGACAATTGTTTTTTATTTTGCAAAATGTCATTTAAAAGTATTAAAACAAGCCAGGGATGGTGGCACATACCTGTAATCTCAGCACTTAGGAGGCTGAGGCAGGAGGACTGCCACGAGTTCAAGGCCAGCCTGGGCTACATAGTGACTTCAAGGCTACCCTAAACTACCTAGTGAAACTCTGTCTCAAAACAAACCAATAAATAAAAGTATTAAAACAAAAGTCCACCTTCTTGGGAGCTATCAAACACTTCAAAGTGTCCTTACCTTTTGTGCTAGTTTCTAATATTTTATTCTTGTAAATGTAGAGTGATGATCCCTTAGGGTATCTTTTTTCTGGCAAATATTGTCTCTCTTGTTCAGCTATCCTGGTGGTTATGACATAAGGACAGTTTTCCTTCTGCACACCATCCATATCTAAATCCAGTCTCCGCTTAACTTTTTCCAAGCTGTTGTCCAAAAGCTGTTCGTTTCCACAGGACACCATAGGTGTGTCCATCTGCTGTCCAGGGTTCTGGTTTTGCATCAGTAAAGGAGATGGATTTTTTACATTGTAAGACTTATTCAGTTCCATCTGAGAATTGCAGGAGTTTTTCTCCAATACACTGCCTGACCTGAATCCACTCACAGTTTCCAAGTTTTGACTTGCTATACACTGACTAGGAATGACATATGGACCCTGCAATTTGGGCCCAGTAGAACAAGTATTATTCATTTTGTGTGTTCCTCTGGCATCAGATGTTAACTGGCCTTCCACAGCAAAAAGGCCATGTGTAACTTTATTTTCTAACTGATTTCCCAAAGACTGACACACCTGACTTGATTTACCTACAGCCACATCTTCTATGGCTTCGCTAGCATTTTTGCTGACATAAGTCTTGCTTGAACAAACTCCTGCTAAATCAAGTGGTAACTTTGGTACAGTTTCTGATACACTTGTTTTTTCATCAGTATCTGGAATGATAATGTTCACCATTTGTTCTTTTCCTTTAGGGCTTAACTCACAGGCATTTATTGGGTTATTTATAAGTATATGACATGCTGAAGATGGCCTGGAATGCCTTCGATGCATTTTAGGGCTCACACTTGGCTCAGGACTAGGTAATTTGGCATATGAACCTGTAAGACTTTTGATCACATTATTTTCAGTAATAAAAGTGGGAATAACTTTAAAATCAGCCTCAGAATGTGGAACAGTGGGATGCCCCGTTTGGACAGGAATATCTACTTTAGAAAAGCTAGCTAAAACAGATGTATTCGTGCTGCCTGGCTGAGAGCAAGCACCTTGGAGAAGAACATTTGATTTATTAAGGCTTAATTTATCAGGAATCGCCGAGCCACAGCGTTTGCCTGTCAGCGGGGCTTTCTCCTTCACACACTCGCTCACTGTAACAGCATCATTTTCCTTGTCTGAGGGGCTTTCGTTGATGTTCCTCCTTGTACTGCTTCTCAGACTGCGCCCAGATTGTTCTCGTTCTGTATATTCCTTTGACTTTTTCATCAAGTTCTGAAGACTCATTACATAGGGGTCCAGGGTGACTTCTGCCAAAACTGGTGGATCCTGTTCTTCAGCCCTGGAGACCAGACTATCAGAAGTGGGGGTTCCTTTCGGTGTTGCTGAGATCTTTGGAGATGTTTCAGTTTCAGCCTGACTACTGCTTGATTTATCACATTGCTTTGGAGAGTTAGACCCTTCTGTGTCTCTAGCTAGTTCTATCCCATTAGGTCTCTGTTGGTCCTCGTTATCAGTGGGCGAAACCCCAGCTGTCTTTTCAAGCCTTGCTAAAGTAGGGTGTTCAGAAGGGCTTGGCAAGCTATTGGGAAATACAGCAGGGACGTTCAAGTTTCTGACTTCTGCATTAGAGTAAGCTGTTTCGGCCTCCCACTGATCAAAATCACTGGCCTTACGTGCTTTTCTAACCTAAAAAAGGACATTAAAAATTAATATTTCTTCATCGCACAAATAGCTTTTGACTTCATTGTTTTCTAAAACAAAACAGACACTGAAGATTCTGAACCCTAACATTTGAAAGCACAAGCAAAAGCAAAGGGTTTCTATGGTATCCCATATCACCTGGGGATCAAATTACAAAAAAAAACCAACCTAGCCTATTTATTAAAAGAGAGAAAATTATTCTATTTTATAAAATGTAAACATATATACATATATGTATATACACGTGTATATATATCCATGTACAATTTAATCTCAAGATGTAAGCATTTTCCTTAGCTCTCTTTTGGCCAGATATTAACATCAACACTATTCCTTCTATGATACTTATTATCTGAGGATAAAAATACATGCAATTGGGCCAGGGATTTAGCTCAGTGGTTTCGCCGCCTGCTGCACAAGCACAAGGACCTGAGTTCGATCCCTGGTACCAAAAAAAGAAAAATACATGCAATAAATGCCAAGTAATTAAATGTCTTACATAAATGATTCCTGCTCTAAGAAAGAAAACCTTGTGTAGGACACTGAATAAGCAAAAAACGATTCAGTAATAAGACTCCTGTCCCTCATACTTACCCCAAAGTTTCACTAAAACTCCATAAAATGAAGCAAATTTGTAATAAATAGGTCATCCATGTAGCTTAAATTACTTAGAAATTAGAAATATTTCAATTTAAAACCCAATTCATGAAACAAAATTCAAATAGATTAACTAGTAGTGAGTTAAAACAACAGCCTGTTAATGCTTTTTGGAAAAACCAAAATAGATATTTGCTATATTAAACAGAGAAAGAAAATGTATACTTAAGACCTCTAACAGAAAAAATAAAATTACATTTTGTATCTAAATATTTCACTTTGCAAAAGAATAAAAATGAACTAGACTAATTGTTAAAGACTATACAAGCACATATTAAACTGGCAGAAATCACTATAAATTACGCTATGAACATAAACCCCAAAGTTCTCAATATTTAAGATTTTGAGCTTGTTTTGTATGTGCTTCTTTTTCTTTCCTATGCCATATGGTACTCTCGTTTCACCTTACAAACCCCAAGGCCAACAGTGGTCTCCAGGTACTATACAATAAACAGTACAATGAGGTGAACTCAGTCGCTACTTCAAGACCAAAATAAACCAAACCAGATGTGTATTCTCCAAATCCATGAATATGTTCATAGGTTCAGGCAAAACAAATGATTTCTTTATATAAAATTGTTCACATTTCACATTTGTAATATTCAGCAGCTATCTACTTTTTGTATACCATTCAAATAAGCCTTTGGTTATACAAGCTACATAAAAAAACCAAATCTAGGGCCAGGGATTTAGCTCAGTGGTTCCGCTGCCATCATCGCAAGCCAAGGACCCGAGTTTGATCCCCAGTACCAAAAACAACAACAACAACAACAACAAAACAAAACCATCATAAAAATCATAAATTTTACATGTGAAAGAGAATTGGAAATTTATTTGTATTATATAAAATTTCTTTACCTGAATAATTAATTCATTACATTTCAATACTGTATATGCTCTTTTAAATAGAAAGTTTTGGAATTCAACAATACTTTTATTTGTAGTATATTTGACATCTCCCTCTATGAACCAAAAACAATGTCATTTTTGTTACAATAATTAGAACTATCCAGTAAGTCAAAAACCCACCTCTTCTTATTGAATTAGTGCTATGCATTACAGTTTTCAATTTAATATGGACAGTAATTATAATCTTAAAATTATAATCTACCCACATTCCATACTATCTACAGAGAAATGAAGGTAGCAGTGAGCGAGAAATACTATAGGCACATGTCATCTAGTATGAATCACAAAGAAAAACTACAAATTCCTAAGATTTTCAAAAACAAAAAGTAACTAGCAAAATAGTGCTACATATGGCAGAAATTATTTGTTCATCTAATTCATTTTTCTTTTTAGTATGAAATGACCCAGACCTTAAAACAAATTGTTTATACAAATTTAAATTCATTTAAATAAAAATACAGTAATTGTAAACAGTGTGGGTATGTTATTTAATGATTTCAGTTTGAATGTAGACTATATCTAGGTAATTCTATTTACTTAATCTAAACTGCATTTTTTGTATCTAAGAGCAGAATTTTCATCAAAAAAATTGGGGACAGTTATTTACTTAAGCAGAGAATGAGAAGGTCCTTTAGTCAATAGTCTGATTAGTTCAGGGGATAACTACAATAGCCAATTCTATCATTTAGTCACTGAGAATTCAATGTTTTTAGAGTCATAAGACAGAGACAATAAGCAATTATATTCAATGTATAGTTCCACTGTCTAAGTATCCTCTGACTCAAGTACTGGACGTCACTGACGAGCAATTGGATTCTCTCTGAAGTGAAATGAAATATCCCAAAATTATAAAACATCTCAAGCAACGGTAAAGCATATTAGTAGTTAGTTATTTGCAAACATTTCTAAAATGTTATCATCACTTACTTTATGATTTCCTAATTATAGCCTGAAAAGAGTTTGAATTACCAACCTGAACATTTTCAAGAATCTCCTGGACACGAGTCAGTAAAGCTTTCTTCCTATTAACCTGCTTCCTCGCTTCTACGTTGAGTGCTTTCTGTTTTTCTTGTTGTATTTCCTTTCTCTTCTCAATATTAAGCTGCGATACACAAAAATACACAATTATTTTTCAATGATAAAAATATAAAATCAAGAAGTTTTAAATCAAAACTGTTAAAACCATGGGCAGGGCCGGGGATTTAGCTCAGTGGTTCCCCTGCCTGCCTCACAAGCACAAGGTGCCGCGTTCGATCCCCGTAACCAAAAAAAAAAACCATGGGCAACAGCCAAAATTAATCTATACCAAAAGAAGAAATTTTAACATTAGTTAGGTTACTGACTGGGATGGGGCGTGAAAGACCTTTCTGCAGTGATAAAAGCATTCTGTGTAGGTGGTGAGTTAGAGAGGTGAATACCACTTATCAAAACTCAAGGAACTTTAACACTTATGATCTGTGCATTTCACTGAGTGTAAATTATTCTCAATTGAAAAAGAAAAGTTAACTAAAAGAAAAACAAATGGTGCACACTTGTAATCCCAGTACTCAGCAAGTGGAGGCAGTAAAGTTTGAGGCCAGCCTGGGCTACATATTGTGTTCAAGGCCAGCCTGAACTGCACAGAGAGACCCTGTCTCAAAACAACAATGACAAAATACCCAAACAGACAAACAAACAAAAACTTGTTCTTTCATCAAATGGTCTAAAGTAACAGATAAAACTAGTCCTCTGGCTAATGCTGAGGTTTTCGTTTGGCAATATCTCACTTCCCTGGGTCAGTTAGTTAATATTCTAACTGGGGCACATTTTACTTCTGCTGCCTTAACAAAATGTTCAAAGGTTTAATTATAAAAGAAACCGATAATGTTTTATTTGGCTACAAAATCATTTTTTGTCCATCTCATTATCACCTCCAATAAAAACATAATATGTTTTAAAAAATTAAAGGTTTCCAAACATTGTCTTTTTATGGTAGATTTAATTGTTAAGTCCTGGGAAATGTAGTCAAGACTTTAGCTTTTTACAAATGGAAAACATGGCATAATAATTATTCTAACATTGCAGTATTCATCTATCAGATACAACACAGAAGCATGAGTAAATCTATAGGAATAAGATTTTGCTTATAAATAAGTAAACTAAAGGAGTCATAGACTCTATACATAAGGCAATAGTCATCAAATAGCTGATAAAAGCATTGCTTTCAAATTTTTTTCCTCTCCCAATGAATGTATCCATCATGTGTCACAAATGTGCTAATAAAAAATAGATAAATAAATAAATAAAATTTTCTCCTATCTGCATGCTACTCAGGAATCATCATAGTCTGCTTGCTAACCAAAAAGGGTGGGAAGGTCTGACTTTTAAAGACCAACTGGTAGTCATGGTAAGCAAGTATTCAAACTAAACATCACTAATGGAGGGGCAGCTCAATTTATATAACTTCTGATTTAACTTAATATGATACAGATGGCATCATCTCCAGAGTTCTTGCCAAAAATATTTAACCTGACTCTAAGCAAATTTTTACACTTAACTTCCAGTTTGTAGGAGCTATAGAGACTAGAGAAACAAATTAAACATCACTATGAGGAAAAAATTGACAAATTCAAAATGTAAGGCACTCTAAAAGGCAAGTGGCCTGGTCTCTAAAAACTCAATGTCATAAAAAAAAAAAAAAAGATTTTAAAGAGGTAGAAGGACAGTTCCATACAAAGAGAGATTAAAGACACATAATAAACTAATGTTATTTGTAAACTCTGACTGATACACATTAGAGAAAAGATATTTTGAGTGTAAGTAAAAAATTTTAATATGAATAGAATATTAAAAACTATTAGGTATGTTAAGTTGTGATAATGGTATTGGGATTTTTATAGGAAAATATATGGTCCTTATTTTTAGAAAATATATAGCAAGATCTTTAGGGAGAAAGTATGAGTCTTCAACTTTCAAATCATTAGGCAATTATTTTTAGTGTATGTATGTGTACATACACAGATAAAATCACAAACACAATAAAGCAAAGATAACAAAAATGTTTAAAAATTATTGAATTTAAATGGTGGAGATATGAATGGTCACTGTATTATTTTTTGAACCTTTTTATGCTTAAAAATTTTATTACAAAAAGTTGACAGAGGCCGGTGATTTAGCTCAGTGGTGCTGCTGCCTGGCTCGCAAGCACAAGGTCCCAAGTTCAATCCCTGGTACCAAAAAAAAAAGTTGATAGAAAATAATTGATTTTTTAACACTTGTTATATCAAAACAAATTTTTTAACTTGCTGTTTTTCTCATGTTAATTTTCTGATTTAAAAAATCACTTACATTTAAAAAATATTCAATGAGTATCAAAGTACAGATGATGAAAAATGTGTCTTCTCTCATCTTATATTCCCTTACCCAACAAAAAATGTAAGTCTTTTTAAAATGCAAATAGTTACCACTCATGATCCAGATAGTATTCTAAGTATTTTACATGTATTAATTGATTTAACCTTCAAAACAGTGGGTACTCTTTTAATTCTCATTTAACAAGGAAATGGAGCAAAAATTTACCCAGCAGGTAAGTGGCAAAACAATGATTTGAATCCAGCCCAGAAGTCTCCAGAGCTTAGGCTTTTAACTATCACTCTGTACTGAGCATAACCACATGCTGCATGCAGTAGTTCAAGGGGACCCTCTTATGCCTGCACTGTACGGTTCTATAAAACAGACTGCAGTCAGTTAAACCAGTCCACTATTAATGGACATTTAGGTTGTCAATCTCTCCATTTTAACAATGCTGGTACAAGTTTTGTTTGAGCACAACTGTAATTGTAGGATATTCCCCAAAAATGAAATTGTTGAATCAAAGTTATGTACACTTTTAAATTCTGATAAATGCTTATACTGCTTGCCAAAAAAAAAAATGGATTTTTTAAAATTTTAATTTCTTTTATTCTATTAGTACATGTTTGCAATTCACAGTTTATAATCATCTTCGGGAGTGGTTACATGGACATGTTATAGCCATATTACAGCTTTTTTTTCCTTTTGCTAATCCCTTTCCCCTTCCCTCCCCTCCTCCCGATTCCCCTATCACCTTTTACATACTTGTTGATATTATCTGTTTTAGCTCATGTTATGGCATATAATGTTTACATTGATTAGTTATTAGAATACTGTACATGGCACATCTTTATTCCTCTCATTTCCCCTATAAATGAATTTTCTTAGCAAAAGTACATTTAAGGGGCATCTTCCCCACTAGAATCTATCCGATCTTTGCAAATCTAGAAGGTAAAAAATTATAACTCATTTGTATTTCTCTAACTATGAATAAACACTAGGCATCTTTTAAATTTTCATAAGCCTTCCCTTTGTTTTCCTGTGAGCTGCTTTTGTTCTTCACTAGAGAAAAAAAAAATTACTTAAAGAAAGTTTACCAGTGGAGAAAGCACAGCCACTCCATGGAAACGAATCAGTGAGATACTTTCGGACTGAGCAGGCAGAAAGCTCTCTGTGGATAGTGACGCTTCTTGGATTCGGGCAAGAGTTTTTTCACAGAATTCTTCATACTCTTCCATCTTCCCACAATCACACTACAAGAAAGAAAAATGTTACTTTTAATGTCCTGAGAAAAATAGATTTTCATTATTTGTCAAATTTTGTAGAGCATGAAATATTCCTAGAATTCACAAGTCCTTGAACTGGTCTTCCCTGAAATATCTCATTGTTCAGATGCTAATTCTAGGTTATAAAGGCACCACAAGATCCCATCCACTTAAGACTTGCTTTCATATAATTTTTATGAATATTTTTGCATGTAAATCAATCTTTAAATATGACTACTTTAGAGAGTACTAAGAATTCAGCGAAACCTTAAAGAAAACAAAAGTGCTGTACCATTTTGCTAACTTCAGATTATAAAAGAAAATATTCTATTTTCTTCAGTAAGGCTTATCTACACAGCACAAGAAAAACTGTATCATATGAAAGCAGAAATCCAATCAGGTGTGTGGTGCATGCCTGTAATCCCAGCACTCTGTGCAGCTGAGGTAGGATAGCAAATTTGAGCCCTGCCCAAGCAACTGAGCAACTTAGATCTGGTTTCCCAAAAAAATTTTTAAAGAAAATTTTTTGAAAGCGCAGGGGATATAGCTCAGTGTAAAGGCCCTAGGCTCAATCCCCAGAACTAAATAAAATAAACAAACAAATAGCAGAAATGCTTTTGTAGCTTAATGGGGGCTATTTAAATAACTTAATTTTTAAGATTATTTTTCTATCATGAAGTCCAAAAGCTACTACTTGTATATTTTAAGGATATATTTTCCTGGGCATGGTGGTACATGAGGCAGGAGGATTGCTACAAGTTTGAGGTCAGCCCAGGCTACATAGTGAATTCAAACCCAGCCTTAACTGCATATTGAGACCCTGTCTCAAAAAAACAAAAAATGAATATATTTTGATTCCAGGGAACTAGCCAATGCAGTCAGCAGTGGAAAACAGAAAATTGTTTGACCTTGGGATTAATTCTTTATTTTACTACTGAAAATTGGAAACATCACCAAGTTACTTAATATAATACCCCAGTAATTTCAGTTTCTGGGAATCTGTGATGGCCCAGGTAACCAAAAGGATTAGCCACCATAATCATTCCTTAGCAAATTTACTGACTGCCTGTTTGCATAGCATTATACGTGGAACTGTTTCTTTTATATAGGCAAGGGAAAATAACAAGAGACACTATTAGAATCATAACCAGCAAGGGAACTGGTAAACTGTGGAAACAGAAAACTCAATACAATAATGTTTAAGTGTTCACATTAGAACAATTAACTACTTAACACTGAATTCATGCCGTGGGATATGCAAACATGAAGTATGGTCGAATATGATACTGTCCTGAGCCTCAGAATACTTAAAAATTTAGTACACTGAAATGTCAGGGGCAAATTATAGTACAACTAAAAATGAGGAAAAAGCATATTCAAAATTATGACCACAATATGAAAAAAAAAGATATATTGCTACTTTTGACCCACTGATAGCTTTATCAGTAACAAAACTTCTTCCTACTTTTCCATCAATTGTAATTATTTCTAAATTATTCAATTTATGCAAAATGAGAGTTTAATTTCAAAGAAATGGTTCTGCAGAGTGTGAAAGCCATTATTTTGGAAGCTTATATTAATTTTTTCTTAAAGCTCAATGATAGCGTGCTTGCCTACTACGCATGGGCCCTGGGCTCAATCCCTAGCACTGCAAAAACAAGTGGACAAACAGAGAAAAGCAAAAGTAAAAAAACCAACAAAATAATTTACCTCATGCCCACTTTATGGTCTAGGTTTAAACCCATATTATTATATCTTAACAACAAAAATCCAATAACTAAGATTTGAAAAAAATCCAAATAACTTCATTTCTGCTAAAAATATCTCAAAGTATTTTTAACACAATTTACACATTCAGTAATACGGAGAACATGATTACATTCCTTGGACAAATAATGTAATATATTTTCTATGGATATGCAAGCAAACCATGAAATTCAATATTAAAGGTCTGAAAATTTTTTAAATGAACTACCTTTGTATCAACAGTTTCAACAACAACATAGAAACAACATACATCATAGAAATATTTCCCTTCCTCATTGCTTCAATAAGTTATTCACATCCCTTAAACAGTGCCATGTATGTCCTACATATTGCAGATATACAGCAATATATTATTACAGAATAACTTATATGACAATGCATTAACTATTCAAATACAAGTGCTAATATGGAGATTATAAAAGATACAGAATAGAGCATGACTAGACCCTTTTTATCCTCCAGTCCTAGCCTGGATGTCTCCTGTCCCTGACTATCCTATCCTGGTTAACCCTGCCTCAGTCACTATCACATTACTGGGCTGTTTCCTACTTTTCAGAGCACTTACCACTATCTGAAATTATCTTGTTTATTTCCTTGGTTTATGTCTGTCTTCTTCCTCCAAAACGTAAGCTCCATAAGAACAGGTACCTTCTTGGTCTTGTTCACTGAATCTCCATGACACAGAACAGTGTTCGCATACAGTAGGCACTGCATAAAAGTATTGAATAAATGCACTACAGCAATTAGCTCAAGCAATAATAAAAACCAGGAAGAAAAAGAAAAGAGTAGACTATGCAGCAAATAAACTAGCAAGGAAGAATGGAATTTACAGAATGGTACAGTAGTTCATGGATGATCCTATTCCCAAAGAAACTGGTACCTCTAAACTGCAAAGGTAGCCATTTAAAAAGTGAGCAGTCTACATCCCATGATTAAACAAGAGGGCAATATGTTTCTCACGCCACAATTATCATTGTCAGCAAGGTTTTATTTTGAGAGCCTTCACTTACAAGGCCATGCTAACCACAAATCTACAGACCCATACTCTACCATCAAGCATTACTGGTCCCCTTCCAATACTAATGTCAGCTCCAGCAAGTTCAGACATGCCTTGGCTCCATTTACACGAAAGTACTGACCCTTGTCCAAATGAGCTTCTATGGTGGAATAACTAATGGTCAACTTGTAATGCCAAGCTGAACTGAATCAACATAGTCTGGGTGTGGCAGACCCACCTGAGGATTGTTATCAATAGCCATAAAAAGAGAACTGGAGGGGAAAATTGTGGGCTGTTGATTTTCTAGGAGAAGCTTGCTGCAGATGGTTTTCCTGATGCAAATTTGGTTTTTCTTGTTGGAGGAGAAGCTTGGGGCCTCGCTATCACTGGGAATGGCTGCTGTTCTCATCAGGGGAGCTCTGATCTTCGCTGTGAGCATCACTTCCCGGCTCCAAAGTACATCCCTCAGCCTGGTGACACAAATCTTTCATCCCACTGGCGTAGGGTTTCTGGCTTCCACCACCAGTCTTTGGGACTTCGGGGTGCAGATCCTCAATATGGACAAGCATGAAACATTGCCGTGGGCTCTAGGCTACTGACTGGACTCGTGGAGGACACTGCCTTGGACTCTAAGCCTTTAGTTGGACTTGTGTGGGACAACCCTGGTGGGATCCAGGGCCTTGGCTAGATTCTTTGGGCCTCTAGTGTGTGGCTAATCTCTTGCACTCCTTTGTATTTGACTTTTTGGGTAAATATCATAAAATAATCCTATAAATTATGTGTCCTGTATTTAATGTATTCCCTTGCCAAAACCCTGACTACAACAGCCTCTTTGCAAACCCTAGACTTGTGGTCCTATCTGCTCCTTCCCAGCATTCTGCCAGAAATGTCACTGAAGGCAATGGTAAAAGTAACACAAAACAGTTCCCCCATAGACATAAACTTCTTGTAGGGGCAGAACAGGGGAAAATCTCTTATTCAGGCACATTCACAGCAAGCCACTTAGCATCACTGCACCTGTTTCCCTATGTGTAAAACAGAGACCATCAGGGTTATCTATCTCAAAGGGATTCTGGGAGAATTGAATGACTAATGCATTTATGGCAAGTAGCATTTTGCGGAATAAGCAGAAAGCATCAATAAATGGGAGCTGCTTTTCTTGTGAAGTGGCCAGTGGTGGTGATGATTTTTATCACTAGCCTATGAACTCTTGGAAGACAGTGACACAGCTTGGTTCCTGGTAAGATTCAAAGATAACTTGAAAACATTTTGGGAAAGGGGAGCAGCAGCTTCCTTGCCTCACTGTTTCCAGACCTCTCCCCATAAAATCAACCTCTAGACGGCTACCATTTGCCTGCACTGGGGGTAGGAGACTGCAATTCTAACCAAATGGGAGAAACAAAAGGCCAGGACCCACCTAGCAGCATTAGAGGCGATCAAGAGAATTTGCGTTATTATCCCCAGGCTTATGCCCCAGAGCTGCAAAGGCGGAGTAAACAGAGCTCCTAGGGCCTTTGGTTGTGGTAACCGACGTTTAGAAATGGCCAGTGCACACCCTGGGGACGCCTCCTGTCCCTCGCTGTGGGACAGAGAGGAAAATGGGGGGAACGGTCTCATCACAGGAGGGGTTCTCCGCTATGGCCCAGTGGATTCCCCACGCCCCCTCTGCTCACCCCAGCGCCCCATGCCCACCTCCCCTTCTCTTACGAGGACCCACCCGGGCGGTGCCAGCATCCGAGCACCACCACCACGTCCGGTGTTACCCGCCCTCGGGACCCTCTTCCCCAAGCCTGGTGCCTTCAAGGGGCTCGAGGCCCTGGAACCCAGCACAGAGCCCACCCTCGGCGCCACAGCGCGCCAATTCTGCTCACCAGCTCGCCTCTCAACCCAGATGCTTCTGCGGTCGAGTCCACTGCTCATGCACACATCTGATCACTCGCGGCGCAGTCAGCTTTTCTCCCTCGCCACGGGCCTTGTCAGAAAGCAAACAGCTCAAATGGTTCTGACAGAGTGAACCTCTGTCCGCCGCCTCCTTCTCCTCCTCCTCCCCGCCATATCATGGGTCTCTCAGGCGGCAACGCGGGATCCTGGCAACCACAGCAGCAGCCGCCGCTTCGACTCCACCCCTCAGGATCCGTACTTCCTGTGGTTGCTTCCCGGGCAGTTGAAACTGTTGTGCCTCCAGAAACTACAATCCCCAGAGTGCATTGCGCGCCCACGGTGCGGGACCTGTGCTTCCGGCATACGATGTACACGCTGGGAAACGTAGTCTTCACTGTAAGCCAGCGCCTGTAAAATTATAGTTTCTTACACATTATGGAAGGTCCCGGGGTTTGAAGCCTCCAGAAGTTTTCCGTGAAGTTGCCACTTTCTAGCTTACTTGTATAGAGATAACATCTCTGTGGTCGTTGGAAAATACAACATTCACCAAAACTTTATAGATAAAAAATTGCTGAATCCAAAGCCTCGAGACATCTGTGCCCTTTTGGAAATCAGTGGAAAATACGCGTGAGGAGAAAAAGTAACATGTTCAAGATGACAGAAAAATCCCTGAATCTTCTGCCAAACTTCTCTGCCCAAACACTATATTATCAGCTTTGCAAAATATGATCTACTGGTTTCTATTTCCTAACTCAAATTTACTGTCTCTCTCTTACTGACCCTCCTTCTGGTGTCTATTTTTGCATATGTAAAACGGGACTCTTAAAAGTGTCTATCACACCTATCATACCAGCGCTGGAAGGCTGAGGCAAAAGGCTCCTAAGTTTGAGGCCACCCTGAACTGCGTAGCAAGTTCAAGCAAGGCTGGCTTGGACTACATAGTGAGACTTTGCCAAAAACAAAACAAAACAATTTTAAAAGTGCCTATCATAAGAGTGATATGAGATATAATTGCAATAACTTTTGCACAATGCCTGTGCTTATTATGCCTCTCATAAAAGGAAAAATAAGACGAGGAAGAAGATGAGGAACAGTGAAAGGCCACAAGCCATGATTACAAATCACCCTACCACTGGTTGTTCAACTTGCTTCACCTCTCAGTTTCCTCATCCATAGAATGAAGAAATCACTAAAATCCCTTCCAGGTTTATAGTCTGATTGTGCTCTTTTCCTATGCTTTTCTTGTTCCCTCCTACTCTGCAAAATTCTTCTGAAATCTGTCTCTTAGGCTGTGGTAATAATGTCCCAATTATTATTGATATAGGAAGTAAGTATTGATCTGCTAGATGTCAGATGTGCCAAGTTCATGTCCCCCAAATATCAAAGAATGAATTCCAAGAGAAAAGGAAGTTAGGAAAGGTTTTTTAAGAGAAAGCTCCTGAGAAACAGGAGAAGGATGTGTGGCCACTGAGGCTCTTTGTCAGGGATAATTTGTACAGCAAAATCACAACGAGGGTAAAACATGGATCAGACTACAATCAACCTATAAGATTACAAGTATAGCAGCTTAGCTTATATTGATCCAATAGGGAAATGAGTCATATAACAAGGGTACATGGAAAGATCAAAGGAGTTCTTAGAAAGGGAGGGGAATATGGGTCCAGGTGTTTTGGTCACCCACCTGTGTCTGATGCCTATCTGGGTCCACTGGTGCTAATTACAGCATAATCTCAAGTTGCTGTTTGTCTCCAGGGAGATATGCAGGCCTATCTATTGCTTTTCCATGGTGAGGGCTGGCTCTTTTCAGATTCACCTCTAGCCACAGTTCTGATGTCTTTATTTTTTGTGCTGACTTCCTTGAAGGTGTTGTGCCCAGATCGCGATGTCCCAAAGACCACCAGGAGACCGTTTCCGATGTAAGCACACGAGGGTCGTTTATTCAAGCTTAAGCAGGGACTCTCAATTGTC